CAATTTTTACCAAATATGATTAACCAAATCAAACCAATTAAAAGGATGGGAGTGAATCTCAATCATAAATTTGAGTTTGAACAAAATTTGGAACCTCTAAAATCTAAAAAATTTCTTCCCTCTCAAAGGGTATCTTCTTTTCTCTCACTCTCACGGGCTCACACCATATCTTATTACTAAAATATATGAGAGTACGGGGTAGAGACTCAAAGGGTCAATTAAGATTATAAAGACATTTGCTATAAATCGAATTTATAGTATTCTTATCAATTACCAAGAATTTGAACAGAAAGGGGTTTCTTTGATTTTTTTTCTTTTAAAGTATCAATAGAAATTTACAAATTGATAACTTTAAATGTAGATAACTAAAGTGAAAAGTATCGAGAGGACTCAAGAAAATACGCAAAAAACTACCTTGATGGTCATAAAATTTAATAACTTATTTAGAACAACAATCAAGATAATTTCAAGAAAACGCACCCTTCGATCATCAAATTCGCCCTAGAAAAGTGAAACGAGTAGTGATTACTCCACTTATTGACTACTAAGGGAGTGTGAGAGCTCGCACCATCAATTTAGTGGCTTGGAGGAATATTATCTTACTTTTACATGCTTGTATAATAGTTTTCTTTCTTTTTTGATAAATCATTGAAGGTTCTTGAACGTGAGTTAATGAATTTGCATTGCATCTGTCTTGTCAAACAAACCTCATACAAGGTTGGTCACAAAATGGTTACATGTTATTATGTTGTGAATTAAATAAAGCTTTGTGAACATTTATTCCGGGAGGAAGGTTTTGAAACAATCTTCCAATGGTTGGGGGTTAGATCAAGAGTTCAAAAGTTCAGTGAATTCTCGATAACTATCTTGGTACCCAACTCAATATTAAGGAAAAAGAGAGTTGTAAAGGCTAAGTAAAATACAAAGTGGGGATTACGGATGCTTTTTGTAAAATATTGTAGGTGGGTTGGTTTTTACAGTCCAACAAATTACTCGCCCTTTAGACTGCCAAATGGATGGATTTGGGTAATCCTTGTATGGTTCCTAATGCACGGTGACAAAATGTATAAATACGCATCCATATTTACTAAACAAAATGGATTTAAATGGATGGGTGTTTAAAATTTATGTTTATCCATGGATATCCAAATTATGGATGACTAGATTTTTAGAAGGTAAATGGTGTAATCATAATTTTTTTTTTGTGTAATAATGATTGGATCTAGTTGATTGAGCCATACCCACGTTTTCAAATACGTAACAGGTTCTTGAACCCTAATTATTACCCACCATTGCCACTTCTCCCTCACATTTTTGGGCTATTATTTCCTTAAAAAAGTTAATATTTACAGAAAAAAATAATTTGATTTTGGATAAATTTTTTCTTTAAGACAATGTGATTATTTGATCTTATTTTCTTTGTAGCCCTTTAGTTTAAAATTGAGTAGTTGTATATTTTATATTTATTCATTTTCATTTTAAAATGCTTAGAAATTATTAGTATTATTATAGACTACATTTGGATATGTGTGTTTTCTTTTCTAGGGTGGAAAATACTGTTTTCTTCCGGAGATTTTGGCTTATTAAAAAGGTTACAAAATTATAAAAAAAAAAAGAAGAAAAACTCAAGGTGAACTTTTTCCATTAAAAAAATAAATCAAATAATTAAAATTTTTTTGTTACAATAAAAGAGGCAATGCTGAAATGCTACTAGCTTAACATAAATCGGGGGTATGAAATCCCAATAACATAATGATCTAGCTATAATTGAGTTCTTGTTGGAGACGCTTGTAAAAGCGTCAATCTAACAAGTCCCTGAGTCGCTAACACAGTCAAATAATCTGCTACACAATTTGTGTCATGCCAGACATATGTCACATCTACAGACCATGCACATTGTAATAATTCTCTGATGGCACGAACTAAGTTATCGGGGATCCCAAGTATTTCATGATCATTCATCACCATCTTTAAGGCACATTGGCTATCCACTTCAACCTTCACTCTTAATTGACCGAGCTACCAAGCAAGATATAAACTTGAAAAGAACCCTATAATTACACTCTCGTAATAATACAGAAGCTAATATTCATCATGAATCTTCCAACCAACTGACCACAATGGCCGCGAACCACACCTCCAGCGCTCGCCAAAGGCAATGTTAGAATTTACTTTTACTCCATCAACTGGAGGAAGAACCCAATGGATCAATTTACAAACCCATCCCAGAGAGGCTTCAAAACTGCACTACTAATGCCAGATATTTTCTTATCTACCTCAAATCAGCCGTTGGGCAACCAGAACGTTCCTCCCCGTAAACACATCGCCATTCCTCCATAGCCGGATACGTCAAACAGTTACCCCAAATTTACATTCCCAATTCTCAACATTAACTCCCGCAGCATTAGCCAGATTCAACAAAATCCATTAATCCTTCAATGGCAAACTAAAAGAACTTGGCCTATCTTCAGCTGGAAAGTGACCATTCCAAATTTGCATGCCATCTAGATTCTCGACAATCACGCAGGACATGAATTGTATCTTCCGTCCGACGTGCCCAAACAACCATCAGAATCAGAATTGGATGCTAAATGTAGCCGACACCATTCGACATTTGTCAACAGATCCTCCCGTGCTGCCAACCTTAAAAATTTACGGATTTTCTGTGCACCAACCCATCGCCATATCACCACCGCAATCTTCTGTTTTCTACGTTTCGGATGAATGGGGCCTAAGTTTTTATTCACGAGTCACCCCCGCTCGTTACAACTTGTTTATTTTTTTTCCTACCTAAACGGATTTAGTGTTTTACTTAATACAACTGTTGGAATAAAATTTGATGATTTTGCATTGTGGGATCCTAATTATAGTGGCCTGTCGATTTTTGTTGTCTTTTTCTTTAATCGGTTTTAAGCTAATTTACTTCTTTTCTTTTTTTTTTTTTACATCGAATTGAATAAAAAGTTTGCTCATAAAAAGACTTTGTTCTCTTATTTGGTGTGCTCTTCTAAATTTCTGCCCTTTTTAGTTCTCCTTGAATCAGCTAGAATAAACTCCACTGGCCTTCTCAAAGTTGCAGCCATCACTATATTGCGTCAAGAGTTGGTTTCTGAAATCTTGTCTCCAAAGTTGAATATATCCTTCAGCCCATAATATTGTTTATATACTCCTTTTACAGCCAACTCCCTGATTCCGAAACTTTATTTAAACAAATAATTGCAGATGAAATTGCTCACATTTCAGAGAACAAAGAATAGGCAGTATCAATATCTTTTCCGATAACCAGACTTAGCCTTTTCTTCTAGTTTTTAGTTGTACCTAAGGCCAACCAGAGTCCAATTTTTCATTGGTTATCCCAAATGGTTTTGTTCTTTGGGTCATCACCTTGTACCCATTTCACCAATGCGGTATTAGTTTTCAATGCCAATGCTCTTACTTATTTGCTTCAAAAGAGTATAGTTTCATAACAAATTAGCATTCCCTTTAAGTTTAAACCCTCTTCCTATATTGTTGAGTGCAATTTCTTATCCTTTGAAAATATGAGAGCACAAATAAATTATTAATTTTTCTCTCAAACAATTATTTTAGTAAAAGCTAATTTTTATTGTATTTAGTTAGATTTTTTTTTTTTAAAAAAGAAAACTATGTATTAACTTGATATGTTTTCATCAGGAAAATTTTTAATTACAATTTGATTTGTATCTTTCGTTTCTCTTTAATAGTTTTAGTCAGGAGTATAAATTTATTTTTAACCAAAATGATGTTGTTTTGTTTAGGAAGAGAAAAGGTTTAATGAGATCTCTGACACCTGACCACGTTATCTCTTTTCAACTTTTGCTTTGATAGGGTTAGTATTAAAAACGTAGTCAAGTTATAGTTGTTCATCTAAACCACTATTACTATTTGAAAAAATATCAAAAATAATTCTTAAATCGGTAATTACCACTGTATCAACTTATAAATTTTTCAATCAACGCGAGTAAAAATTTAAAAAATCTAAATCGAATATGATTTACCAGAGCGATGGGCTTCAATTGAGGGCTTAATTTGTAATTAGTCTGGAAAAATCAGGTTAAATATTCTCCGGTGGAATTATCAATTTCTTCATAAAATGTTGTGAACTCGGTGTCCTTCCCAACTGGCTCTCCCCAGTTTTCATCTTTCCGTTGATCATCTTTCTCTTCTTCTGCCCTTCTTATCTACGTACCAATCCGAATTCTTCAATTGCAAATTTAGTTCCTAAATTAATTGCTAAACGGGACACCGATAAAAAAGTTGTATATTGAAGATAAGTAGGAAGCTTTAACATGCAATCGGGTGACGGCCAAGCGGGGGCGGCGGCGCCGTTTTCTCAGCGTTTGCTCCTGCCGGAACTGATGAAGCGGCGACGGTGCCAAATACTATATGATCAGCATCAGTTGCAGACACGGGCTTGAGGTAGCTTCGTTTGAAAATTACTTGAATAGTTTTTTTTTTAAAATTTTTTTTATTTTATGTGTAAAAATGTTTTATAGATTCACAAATCATCCAATGTGTCCAACGGTGTCTCAAAGCTGGTTGCCAGTAGTGTTATAAGATAATTTACTTTTTTTTTTTTTTTTTACATTAAATTGAATTAGAAACATCAGGCTGTGTGTTAAAATTATTGTCCAATTTGGTTCACGACGGAAGGGAGTATTTAATTTGTTTTGCTCATGCTTTGATGTTATATACTTAGGATAAGTGAGAAGGAGACAATATATGTTTTAAAAAATATTTCCTAAAATTTCAGGCTTGGAGGAGGCAAATCTGTGAAAGATCTCCGGCGGCTGTTCTGGAGGAAAGGGAGAAGAGAAGGCTACAGGAATTAAAGGAAATCATGAACGCTAGCTGCACCTCTTGAAAGGGATTGTTTTCGTCACTAAAAAGATTGTTCAACCAGAATGATAACAGTGATCAAATTCCGTTGGTGATTTAGAAATCTGTTTACATATACTGTCCTCCGTCCCATAATTATTGTCAAGTTTGAGTTTTCATTTCTAGTTCAAATTGTACTAAAAGTGAAATCTCAAACTGGACAATAATTATGGGACAGAGGAGTACATATTATCCTGAATGCTGATCATTTTGTTAACCGCTTTACATATACATATAGTTTCAGTTTTCTTTCCTCTATGTCGTATTACTGTCATTATACAAGTGAAATATATTTCATTCATCGATACGTTTCATTAATACATTTGTTACATAAACCTCGAAACTTGTACTGAATGCGAGGTGATAACATTAACACTTGTTAAGACTGAAACCGATTTGCTTATTGACCAAATCAAAGGTGATACGAATCCCCTGTTGCTGCCTCATACCGATGATGGTTTGGGTATCGGAATCCCCAAACGGCGATAACTCAAAACACCAGCAATACAATTTGCTCCCTGGATCATCTGGCTTCATCATGTAGTTCCTTGGCCCGAACGTCAGCGTTTTGTTGCCATTGTTACCAGCGAAAACAAACCCGACCTCTGGAAATTTCTCCAAGGAGTCGTCGGACGTGATCTCGTAACAAGTCGGATCAGACGGATCTAAATACGACCCGGGTGGAGCCCGTTGTGTAATCGCGTCGGATAACGGCTGATAAACATCCAATGGGAAGTACGTCAGACTGGAGCCGGAGTCAAGTATAACACCGCCGGTTCCGTCGTCATGGAAATCGAAAAGGGTCGCCGGGATCGGCAACAGAGTACCTCCGACGGTAATTCCGGCCAAACCCAGGTAATAAAACTGGGTGGCGGTTTTTGGGTTAGTTACCATGGGAGTAAATACAGAGTCGATTGGTGGGGCGGAGTTGAATTCCAGTGGGGAAAATTTACCGGAATCCATGGCAACGAGGCAATAAGAAAAGGAAGATGCATTAATTTGGGAAGGAAATGATTGGGGTTCAAGTCCGAGTCCAATTATCCCGGCGGCGGAACTGAACCCATTCGGCGGCGTAAGGCTAGTGTGCCCACATCCAATGGCTATACCTTTCACCGGAGAATCATCAAAAGTTAAAGTTTCAGTTGCATAGATCCCGGAGGATTGATCAGATCCGTCGCCGTATGCTATGGTGTAACCGCAGCTTTCGCCGGAACATAGCTTCTCTTCATTTGGAATGGAAGAACACTGTGGGGAGGAACAGGGGAGAAGAGAGAAAGTGGAGGAGTTGGACGGGTCGAAAACGGGTCCGAATTGAAAGAAACATGGATCACACGGTTGGCATTGGAGCCAGGTGATGCTGCTTCCGGTATCCATAACCAAGAAGATCTGTTTCTCGGGTTGACCCACGCCGATGTTGACCAGATACGTTTGATATGCGTTTGGAAACACCGCTGTTCGTGGGCTGGTTTTAGCCTGTTGATGAAAGGGATCATTATGATTGTGGCCCTTGTATCGGATCCGGGAACTTATGGAGTTGATTCGAGCTGCATCGGCGGCGATTCGGGATTGTTTCAGCTGAGTATAGTTTCGATGACGATGCTGTTTTAGTATGGAAGAGTAAGGATAGAGTGGAAGAGAAAGGACCACTGAAGAATTGATAGGGTCTTTGCGACTACATTGAACTACAGGGATGGCAATGATCAACAAGCAGATAAAGAATAAGATCAAAATGGATGAGGTTTTATCTGATTCAGACAACTTCATGATTACCAAATCGCTCTCTTCTTTTCCTTTTTATTTTTTTTCCCCACGAAGATTGATATCTGTCTAATTTATCGCTAGGTTATATTGAGATGCATAATGGCGGGAGAGAGAGAGAGAGAGAGAGAGAGAGAGAGAGAGAGAGAGTCATATATGATGCATGCATGCAGTAAAAGTGTATCCAGAAAAATTCCGCTGGTTTTTGGCATTTCTTGTTCATCAGTGTTAAAGATTGCTGAATAAAAATCAAGAAGCTGGAACTCTTTTCGACATTCCCCACGTTCAGGGTAATTGTGTGGACGTAAAAATTCGTAACAACGAACGATTGGAGACTTTAATGGACAAATTGAAAGCTCAAATCCTAAAGAGTTAATTTTCCTTTTTGAAAGTAAAAAAAAAAAACAGTCGATCAAATGTAAGATAGTCTGATTTTAGGGGAATTTTGGTTCGAATTGGTGAACCGGAATCACAGTGTGTAGTGTAGTAGTCATCAAATGGTCAATCACAACTGACATCATAATAACTTCATGAAATAAGAGAATGAGTCGAAGACAGACGGCGGGATCGGCAAGATTGATCCTCCGATCAAATTCACGTAATACAATTCGATGTTAAATTTTGGATGACTAATTATTGGAACAAAAATGGAATCATTCGGTGGGGCGGAGTTGAAGACCGGATTGGAAAACTGTTTGGTGGAATCCATGTCTACTAAGCAATAAGAAAAGGAAGATACTCCGATTTGAGGCGGAAATGATTCCGGTGCAGGGAGAAGCCGAATCCTGGAATTGATAGACCTGATTCGAGCTGAGTCGGATGCGAGGTGGGATAGAAGCAGTTCAGTATGATTATTAGGATCATGATGATGGTTTGTGAATATGGAAGAGTAATGGTAGAGTGGAACCGAGAATACTACTGAAGAATTAATCAAGTCTTCCTCGTGGAGGTCATAAATTACTCCGTGTGCAAGCATAACAGAGGGAATGATTAAACTTGACAGAATCAACAGAACGAAGATCTGAAATCGAACCAAATCCATATTGGAAAATTAATGACTCTTAATTATTGATTTCATGCAGGTTTGTTAAATATGTTGTTTGCCTTGTTCTGCTTTATAGCTATTCATTGTGCCTATTACAAAGGTTGTCAATTCTTTAACGATGGGGAAAGAGGATCATGAACGACTCACTCAGTAGAACCTGATCAGACCACTCCCATACATATGGTGATCATGCACTTCTTGCTAAGTGTCAAAGACAAATTAAGTCATACTGCTACGTGAAGGTTAGTCGTGTTTGAGGGTGGATACCAAGCTATATATTTTATTCAAAAAAATGGACAAATTAATGAGTATTGCTGAATGGAGTCTCTTTATAGTTATATATATAGTTACTACTAACATCTTTCTATAGCTTTAGATTTGGTAGGTAAACTAGGCGACCAAATGACTGTATGAACAACGTTTTTGTTTTAGATTTGAGGACTCTAAAAGGTATTTTGAGTGAAAATTTAAAATTACTTGGATAACTTTTTAAATAAAATAATATTATTTATCTCACCGGAATCGGACCACCACCGGACCACCGGCGTCAGACCACCACCCACCAGCCCCCGTCTACCACCACTGGCCGGCGATTGGCCAGAATCCGGCTAGCCGGTGGTGATTCGGTAGCGACCAGTGGCCGGAAGTGGTGGAGGTGATCCGGTGGTGGTTTAAAAAAATAAAAAAAAATTATTGATAAATTAAGTTTTAAAAAGTAAGCGAAGATGTTTGGATGGAGTTAATTTTTGTCTTAATTTTGTGTTTGGACGGGAAACAAAACTAAAATGGGCTTTAAAAGGTTGTGTTTACAAACCAATTTTGTAATTACACTATCGCTTAGACGGCGTTGTAATAGGTCGGGCAACTGGTACATCCGTACATGCCATACACTAATCTTGTATTCCCTCTGTTCAATAATTGATGTCTACAATAGATTTTTCGTTTTAGTACAATTTCAACTAAAATTAAATATCGAAATTGGATAATAATTTTAAAACAAAAGGAATATATATTAAAAAGAATAAGAAGTGATAGAATTTGTCATGGAAAGACAAAAATAAATAAAAATTTAGTCTTGTATATCTGCATTATTTTATTTTATTTTTATATAATTTTCATGTATAATATAACTAAGGCATTAGGCTCCAGAACTGTTCATCAGAAGAGTTCTGGTTATTTGGACATGTCAATAGGTGAATCCTCAAAATCAAGTGTTGCAGATATATGTTGTTATTACTCTTTTGGACTCCTCACTTTTCGATATTCTCATTATGGGTTAAATGTAAATACCATGTTATAATTTTATTTTATTTTTGGTAATGCCGAGAACTTCACCAGAATTAAGTAAACTTTAAAACTCAGGCTCACTACTATGGCTTAACATGTTATAACTTTAATTAACTTTTTTTTAATCTTTTCTAAACATCAAATTATGATAGTTAGACACGTAATAAAAATCTCAAGGGTTTTGCATCGTTTCCTTTCAATGTTAAAGATTGCTGAAAAAAACATGTCACCAGGAATTAGACCATGGTTAATTAATGATATTGTAAGGGTACTGTAATTATGTAATATGGAGTATATATCGATCCTTTGATAACAAAAGAAGAAAAAAAAGAAAGAAAGAGGGGATTGCTGGGGAAAAAAAATCAAGAAGGTAATCTTTTTGAGAATCCCCTCATTCAGGGTGTGGAATCAATGAGTGATCGGAGACTAATGCATGCATTTCCATCAAACTGCTCCGTCTTGACTCATTATTGATTGATCTCCAACACTGTCAAATTTTGTCTTTTTTCATTTTATCATTAAAAATGATTTTTTGTGTACGATTCCTAAAAGGTTACGTTAGTGTGGATACATAATCTTATACTTTTCTGGTTCTTAATCTGAGGTATTTTGATTTGCGTTAAGTTTTAATTGGTATACATTTTTAATTGACGAAAAAATCTTTAAAATATTTCATAACAATCAAGAAAATACGTGAAAATATATTTTTAAGATTTTGTTTTTAGCCCGAAAAGCAGGCAATGGAAACGGGCATCCGCCCAAGAACCTAGTGGATCACCACAAAAATCTCAATGAGCCTAGCTCACAAACTCCCAGATATCCTTATGGACTTTTTTTTTTTCAATTTAAAGTATATATTATATAAAATTTTTGACAAATCAAAACATTTTATATTAAGGATAGGAAAGAGTACTATTTAATTAAACATAATACATTTAAAATATTAATTTTGTTAAAATTCGGTTTCACCCATATCAAAATGAACTGCAAATTCGATTGAGCATAAACAAGAAAAAACATCAATGTATAATTTCTATTTCACAAATCATCCGCTCTTTAATTATCATATCATTTTCTCACAGAATAGGAAATATTTATACATTTTAGAACGAAGCAAATTAAGGTTTCCCCATGTCTATCTCTGAATCAGCTATAGAGTACGTATAAACTATAAAAGGATTCAGATTTGTCTAGCTTTTTGAGACAGGGATATTAGAAGAGTATTACGTACTTAACATTTGTTAGGACTGAAACCAATCCGTTTAATGGCAAGATCATAGGTGATACGGATCCCCTGCTGCTGTGCCATTCCGATAACGGATAATGAACCCTTTGTTTCCCAAAAATACGAGCAAAATCTCGTTCCCCCGCCGGAACCACGATCAAGTCTCAAGTAATTCTTCCGGGCCACCAACACGGTTTTACCATTGCCAAACACCAAACCCACATCTGGAAACCTCTCATAGTCCCTCGCACAGTTTATCAGAAAACACGTCGAGTCCGTTTTGTCTCTGCTTATGCCTCTGGTCCTTTCCCAAATCGCGTTCATCAACGGTTCATACGCTTGTTTCGGAAGGTGAGTGTGCGTGGATCCGGTGTCAAGTATCACGCCGCCGTTCCCGTTGCCGTCGATCTGAAAAGTAGCCCGCGGGATGGGTAAGAGTTTTCCTCCGACGCTTATTCCGGTCAGCCCCACGTAATAGTGGCCGGCGGCGATTTTAGGGTTTCGGATCATGGGAACAAATACAGAGTCCCTCGGTGGGGCGGAATTGAACTCCAGAGTTGAGAATTGGTTCTTGGAATCCATGTCTACAAGGCAATACGAAAACGTTGAAGCTCTAATTTGGGACGGAAACGATTCCGGCCCGGCTCCAAGTCCGAGCGGGCCGGCCGAGTCTCCAAGGCCGGGTGTATTCATATCAAGCCCGCATCCAATTACCACTCCTTTGATCGGAAAGCCATTGAAATTCAACGTTTCGGTGGCAAGTATTCCGGCGGTGTAAGTTCCATCACTGTAGCTTATATCGTAACCGCAGAATTGGCCGGAGCATTGTTTGAATTTCTTTGGGAAGGAATTACACTGCCGGGAGGAGCAGGGGAGGGTGGCGAAAGTGGAGGATCTGTACGGGTCGAATCTGGGTCCGAATTGTCTGAAACAATGGGTGCATTGTTGGCATTGTATCCAGGTGAGGCTGTTTCCGGTGTCTACCATCAAGAAAGCCTGTTTCTCGGGTCGACCCACGCCGATTCGGACCAGATACACTCCGGCGTAGTTTGGAAACACCGGCGTTCCCGGGGAGATTCCGGCCTGTTGAAACGCCTTCGTATTGTTCCCGGAGAAGTTGCCATGGTGTATTTTGTACTGGATTATGGAATTGATGGAGTTGATTCTGGCCGCGTCGGAGGCGAGGCGGGATTGTACTAATTCAGTGTAATTAAGATGATGTTGATGTTGTTTTAGTATGGAAGCGTAGGGGAAGAGTGGAAGTGAAATCACTGCTGAAGCATTGTTGATGGAGGTTTTGTTGTTATGAACATATTGAAGTGAAACAGAGTACTTAACGATTGAACTGAAAAATAAGAAGAGCATGAAAGTGAGTTTGAGATTGAGCAATTCCATGATGATTGATTTTAGTTTGAAGCCTTAATTTTCATGCAGATTTCCACTTCAATTTATAGGTAATGTGAAGTGCACTGTGATATAGATTGCATGTACGCGCAGTTGTTGTTAACTGTTCTTAGACGGCGGGAGAGAGAGTCATGCACAAATGCATGTTCTCTCTAATGGTGGAGGGCTTCGTGTTGAATGTCTGAATGAAATTATCCTAATCTCCTGTAGGGTTTGTTTGTCTTTTTTGGGCTTTGAATAGATATCATTAGGGAGATATATACATGATTTTGGAGGTTATAGAAGAAAATAATGAGTCGAATTAAAGAGTGGTAATCCCTCTCAAATTTTGAAATTTGGATTGTAACAATACAAATTTCAAAATTTAATATAATTTTTTTTTTTTTTTTTACAAAATAAGCAACTTTTAGAAATTCATTTTTCAAGTAACCTTATATAGGTTCGTTTTGCTTTGTTGTTTGAATTTATAAAGGTCGGATTCGTGTTAGTGATAATGAATATGAGATAGTGGTGAAACTAATTAAAAGAGTCGAATTCCTGATGAGATATTACTTATTGATTACTTATACCTTTGTCATAACTTGACAGGCGACAGCTAGCAGAGACATATGCAAAATGCCACTTCTAGCCAACACCTTACTAAACTAAGAATTTTCCAGATTATCAAGCGAAGCATATGAATGCTAAAATTGGAACACATTAGTACAAACCTTTTGGGATTTTCGGTACATGTTATGTGAAGTCATAAATAAGATAATTGGAATAGGGAATAGGAACACCAGACCTCATAAATAAGATAATTTTCAAAAATTTTGCTTTCTTTTTTCTTTGTTGCGACGGCAATTTTGCTTTCTTTTTTCTTTGTTGCGACGGTGGCCGCAAAACACTGTGGGTTTTGAGGAACAATTCTGCGGAGGTGTAGAAGATGAAAAATGCTTTTATTATGGGTAATTATGTCCTCTCACTCAAATTTTGTCCGAGATACTAGATTTTGTTTTGGCAAAATTGCCTCTCAAAAGAATATGAGTAATTAATTAGGTAATTAATTAGGCAATTAATCACTTTTTAAAAATATAAAATGGGTGAAATAGATGAGTGATAAATGAGTTTAAGTAACCAATTTACCATAAAGTTTTAACGGTTTAATGAAGGAAAACATCTTTTATCAACACGCGTCAAAAGAGAAACGTGAGATTGACAAGTGGTGGCGAAATCTCTAGACTATCTCATTGCGCGACACGTGTCGATTGAAAACTCTCCTTTTATATATCAGTACTAGTGTTTACGTTATACATTGTGCGGGCTGTTCGAGATATATATATATATAAAATAATGTTAATGATATAAGTAGCAATTGTAATAATTATTGCAAATGTATTTTGTTATTTTAACTACATTTGGAATAATTTTAGAAAATTTAAAATCATCCAATGTAACATATTGTTCATCTTTTTTCATCTTCTTGATGTATGGTTTATATCTTTTAAAAATATTGTCTTAATTTTTCACAATAATCTCTCTAAATATTTCTACCCGTATTATATCTCTTAAGCTCTCACTTTGTCATAACATTTTTTCATTATTTTTTTTCTACAAACTAATTTTTATTTTTCATCATTCTATATACCTTTTGCAATCTTTCGTTAGAAATTTGTTCGTAAATTTTTCTTATAACATAGTGTTTATTTTTATTTTATTTTTTTCGGTTGTATAACATTCGCTCTTGTTAAAAAAAAATTCACGACGTCTCTTTAAAACTTCGTTTCTTGATAAAATTGTAAAATTATTTCAATTTTCACTATAATCTCGGTTTCTTTTTTCATATTTTTTTTATTCTTTACAAAATTTTTCCTTCATATCAATATTTTTAATTTCTTAATATACTTTTCTTCTGCTTTTTATCTCTCACAAAACCTATATTCTTTTTCTCATTTTAAAAAATATAATGAATCATTTAATTAATTTTTTACATGCCAAAATCAAGCAATAAATAATCAGTTGAATGCCAAAAATAGTTATTTTTTTCCCGTATTGAAATAGGAAATACAAAAAGTATCAATAAATAATTGATAGAATAAATTATAGTAATCATCCATTTATTTCTTACGCTTTTTTCATCAAATATAAGATCCGAGGGTTTCACATTAATTGTGGTGTTTCCTTCTTTATATTTTGGTTATGAGTGTAGTTAGGCATTAATATTAATTTTAGGCCTGTCCAGAATGTTGTTCTACAGGTATAAAACGTAAGACATGTTCGTTTAATATCTTGAGACTGGAATTGATTTTAGTTTTATTTTTTTTCCGTGAAAAGGTTTCTTATAAATTAAGAGAATTTGTTATTCACAAATTTCTTTTGCATTATATAATTCACATAATGACTTTCATCGTTTTTTTAATATTGGTATGTGATTGGAATACCAACGGGAGCATCAATCATAAACATCAATCATAAACAATAGTCCTCACAAGTTGATTTTTTATAACGTTATCTTTTCATCTTTTATTTTTTCATTATTTTTAGTATTGAAGATTTATTTTTTAAAATTAAATTAGGTAAAATTAGTTATTTATAGATTTTACCGATAAAAAATTACCATTAAATAATGGAGTGATGTGGTTACGACATGCAGGCGTGATTATCTAATATTTTGCCATGTGAATTAACCTATTTAATATTACGCCATGTGTACGATTAAAAACTCTTCTTTAATATATTCTAGATGCTTGGTCCAAGCAGGTGCCCGGGCGACCCTGCGCTATATTAATATTTTGTTAATATCTAAAAGAAATTGTAATTTTGGAGAATATTAATGAACTATTAATGAATTTTGTTTTGGGTCCAATTATCTACATTCGCCCAGTTGTGTTTCTATTAGTTTGTTATATCAACTGGAAAACTCCTTTTCCGGTTATAATGGGTTTGTTTTTGTTTTTGTTTTTTTTTTTCGAAAACTTTGGTCAAAACGGAAAAAGAGTAATGTTCAAGCTTTTTCTGTACACTTCGTCTGAATAACAAATCCTTTTTTTATATATATACTATATCATAACAGAAGGTAAAGAAATAAATCACATATATTTTGTCATGTCTAAATAGTAAAAAATTGAAAAAAAAAAAAAAAAACGTTATTCCAAATGAAGTTCTCTCTAGCCACCAAATCTCCACCAGCAGTTTTCAATCAAAGCTTTCAATTTTGCACTTTATTCCTTCGCGCACGAAATCTGGTCGGAGTTAAAATGACGGGCATATCTCTGTCCGGAATATCCCCTTTGCCAATTTGTTTCCAATGTAAATAACAAAATCAGCACTAAAGCTTTAGTCAATTATAGTTGAAATTTTTTTTACTTACCTTACCATTCATAACTAAGCTTGGAGTTGCACCCAACCCACTTATTCTTGCATGGTGATAACACATATTGCGAGAACAAAGATAGGTACATTATCATAGAACCCTTAAACTCGCTGTAAAGCAAAATTACAAATAAATAAATAATCTATGTCTCTATGAAGAAGTCAAGCAACTTTATACATCAAGTTCTTCTTAAGAAAATCAAGGTTCCCAACTCCAATACAGCCAATAGATTCAATAATAAAAGGGATTTACCATGAAATATGATTGTAATCTCAATAACAACTTCTAATATAGAAAAGAACTCCAATACAGTACATACACACTCTGAAAGAAACTCAAGTATCAAAGTAGAAGATAGTAGTCTGTCGAATAAGTTTAATGTAGTGTTGCCCTTTTACTTGAGTATTCATTCGACTAATAATCATTCACTATACATCTGAATTGGGAGTATTTTTAATACTCTCTCAGATATTATTCTTAAAGCACAGAGTTATCATGAACTAAATTTGGTGTTATTTTTTGTACGTTAAATCTCTACAGACACTCTTGGCTTAGCTTGTTGCCTGCATTCTCAGATTTATTTTTTCTTTTACATTCAAACTATATGAATCTACTGTGATGATATGAATCAAATTCAGAGGCAAACAAAGTTTGAAAATGATGCACTCAAATGGGAAATTTGGTAAGCAGATGATATCCATAAAATTTAGAGATAATTTCTCAAAATCACACCACTTTTTAAACAATTTATACTTAAGGAAACATAGTGACATTCCCCAAAATCACACCACTTTTTAAACTATTTATACTTAAAAAAACAGAGTGATCATCCACACATGACATGAAGAAATTTAGGTATTAATTTATCAAACAATTAATAACAAACTGCTCCACGGGGTGAAAAATCCAAGTCTCTAACACAGTAAGCATTACCCATACAAAATTTTATATTCTTATTAATCAAAGCCCAGTTAAAATTTTCCTCTTCTTCCTACATATGAAAACTAAAACTACATAATCAAAACATGATTATATCAAATAGTATACGTAACGAAAACAATAGAAAAAAAAGGCATAAAAGAAAAAGGCATAAAAGGAGAAGGCAAGTTAACCTTGAGAGGAGAGTGCAAAACTTTAAAGCGGATCTTAACCGAAAAGGGGCCGAAGAAAGAACTGATTTACTCAAGAAAATCCTCCTTGGTGAGAGCGTAAAGAACTAATCTACCGGTTGCTGCTTTGAATTTAAGATTCATCACCAGTTGTTTATCCCATCACAATCATCAATCATTTGTTGATCGTCTGTTTCATCAAATCTGATTAGAGGAATTCTCTTTTCACAATTACATTGAATAACACATCGAAATCGATTAAATTTTAAAGGCAGAGACAATCGAATACCCATACCGAGGTAGCCACCAAGACTTTCTTCCTATGGCATAAACGTGATTAAGGAGATTGACTTGTACAATTTTGAACCATTTAACTTGCCGGAAACGGCCGGGATTCGTTTTGGAAGTGTCGGGCTGAGGAGGCAATGATACTTTATTTGTCCGTAAGATTTTGAAGGAATGAGGGAGGATCTCTCAAATCCAACCCAGAAGCATTGTGAGATACTGACTTTTTTCCGGCTATCCCTTCTCCTAACAACACAACTTCATTGTTATTATTTCAAACCTTAACAAAAATTGAATTTAAAAATTTTTTTTAAAAAAATGAATTTATACCCGTGAAGACGCCGATAACAACCTCGATGATTGTTGCATTGACGTTCAACAGCTCAACATATCAGTATATCTGTTTTCCATTATCCTAATTTTCCTGCAGTTGATTCAGTGAAATACAATTTTGATTTCATTTGTGCATCTCACCCAAAACCCAAAACTTTTCAGGTTACACCAAAAATGGTCTATCGAATTTGATTTCATAATTATAAATGTTAAACATAGATTTGGAAAATTAGATACCGTGATGTTCTGATTATAGCCCACGTTGTTCTGTCACCGACTCACCGTCGCTCTTCGGATCTTCCAAAACCCATTTACCCCCAATTGATTAGGGTTTAATCGAACATTCTGAAGTAGATTCGGCCCGGATTTAGATGAATTAGGGTTTAATCAAATCACATGAATTGAAATTAACAAAATTCAAAAAAAAAAGCCACCAACCTTGATGTCTCGATCGTGCCGCCGCCCGTCTATTACCATCGCTGCTGTGCCGGCCGAAAAGTGACAGGTTGTTGATGTCGACGGATCTTTACTTTGAGGATTATTCATGTCAGCTGATCTATTTTGTGGAGAGGCAGCGTCGCATAAAAGTGGTGCCCGTGAATAGAAGAAGAGAGGTACTGATATTTATTGTCAGATTTAAAAATTAAATGAATATAGGCCATCTGATCTCTTCGTTATTTTTTGTTTTAAAAAAGGGATTATTTTTCTGAGCAAAGAAGAAGGCACGTGACACATTTTCCTTGCTTCGAATTTGTACTGTAAACGTCTGTAAACGTTTGGAGGGAAAATTTTTATTTTGGTGCCGACATGTATCCTTACTATTTGTTGCTTTAAGTACTATAGATAGATAGATATAGAGATATAGATATAGATAAGGACTGAAACCAATCCTCTTCCTAGCCAATTCATAAGTAATACGCATTCCTTGCTGTTGTGTAGTACCAATGACAGATATCGGCCGCTTCGACTCAGCAAAATACAAGCAAACTTTGCCCTTGGAATCCACCGATTTTAAGTAGTTTCTCGGAGGGAAAGGCAACCTTATACCATTCTCAAACCAAAACTCAATAAGTGGGAATCGATCATAACTTTTGTTCGATGTGAAATGGTAACAAGTATCAAGAATAGCAAACCCATCTGTCTTAGCTATTCCTCTTGTGTAGTTCAAAAGCGCGGTTTTCAAAGCATCGTGCTTGAGGTATTAAAAGCGTGGTGGTTAACCCCGTGTCACGCCTCCATTCCCATATTTATCCATGTCAAAATCTCTCACCCGGATCGGTAAAAGTATTCCGTCCAGGCTGATTGCGGTCATCGGGACGTAGTACACCAAGGAGTAAAGTTGGTGTTCTGATACATGGGAATAAATACGGAGCCTTTCGGTGCGGCGGAGTTGAATTCCAGTGTGGATTGCGATGTTTTGGAGTCGATGTTAACAAGGCAATAGGAAAAGGATGTCGCTTTGATTTGAGTAGGCAATGATACCGCTCCGGTACCAAGCGCGAGTACTCCGGCTGCCCCGCCTAAAGCGCCGCCGCCTCTACCTCGGCAATCATAGCCACAACCGATCATCAAACCTTTGATTTCCCCGGAATCACAAAGTGACAACGTCTCAGTTGCGAAATTCCCTACCTCGTTAAATCTGTCCCTAGTTAACGTCAAAGCCACATTGGTTGTTGCCGATGCATTTGCGTTCGTCTTTGATATCTTTTGGAAGCAAAGCTCACTCCGGCCTTGTGCACCTGATTTCGGCGTAGGACGAGGAATTAGAGGCGGAGAAAAGGGGATCCTGTTGTTTGAAACATACAGAGCAAGGTGCGCATTGAATCCAGGTAAGACCACTGCCAGTATCTATATTCAAGTGTAACTGTTTCGCTGGTGTCCCCATCCCAAAGCGTACTAGATACGACGCGCCTCCCCGGATCAAAGGCGTGGAATGGCCGGAGAATGAGCCCTGTATGGAGTTGAGTCTAGCCGTGTCGGAGGCAAGACGGGATAGTGCGAGTGCGGTATAGTTACCAGTATGGTGTTTTGCTATGGAGTGTGAGGGTGGAGAGGAAGCGACAACACCATTGACGATGATGATGATGATGAAGAGTCACATAGAACCAAAGCATGATTAGTGATTAAAGTGCAGAAGAAGAAGAAGAAACGAAAAGGTATTTGAAATGGGAGCTTGTACTTCATGATGGTCATTTCTTGATGCAAGATGATGCACTTCTAGCTTTCCTTCCTAAGAGATGATGCATCTATATGTATATATATAAACGTCACATCCAAAGGTTGAATTTGTTTGACCAAGGGAGAGTCATGTATAAAACTAGTCAGTACCGAACAATTTTGGTATCCCCCTTTTATCTAACTTCAATCAAAATTTCAGCTACAAACAATAAATGCCTCACTATTAAAATGTTACGATTTATTATCTAATAAACATTTATTACCTTAATCTAAATTACCTAAAAATATAATATGATTGATGGAAATCATTTTAGGGGTCCATCCCCATGTGCTCATGTAATTTGGTGGGCAAGAGTCATGCAAAGTGGAAGAAGAAAAGAATGCGCACGCTTGAATTTGGATCAGGTTCTGGCAAGGTTAGTGTTCAATTTGGACACAAATTCGGCAGTCACAAATGGCTTTTGTTCACACACTGGAAGCGGAGTGCAGAGAGAGAGAGAGGGAGAGGACCAAAGTAAAAAGCTCTAGTGGGGAAAAAAGAAAGAGCAAGTTACACAGAGACGCAGAGGTGTAAGATGGACAAATAGAACTGTAAACTTTGAATGTTCATAGAATTATGACCACATTCAAAGAATTAGAAGTCAGCACCGTGGGTTCGGTTTGCAACCTATCACCAATATACTACTACGAACACCTCTATTGCTCCCAACAAGATCAGAGATTCTAGCCTCGATAGAAAGAGTAAGGTTAAGTTTAACAATTCATACATTTAAGCATCAATTCAATATTCCTGAAAACAAAACTTTACAACACAATTTTGGCTCAAGCTTCAAAGTTTTCCCGGCTATCAGTGCATTAAAATGTAACCACACCTCTACGTACAAACTGCCCCCATTCTACCATGATTGCAGAAGGTCTAAACAGACCGGTTGAATGTGTTTTTATGAGAACTTGTGTGGCAGCATCAAACAAAGGGCTTGTATCTCCAGAAGTACCAACCTCAACAGAGTGAAAACCAACTAGTTTAGGTGACAACCTTGGGTCGTTTCGGAGCTTTTCCACCTTCTCTGACAGCAACTGGCCAGGTGCAGGTTGGCAAAATACAAAGGATAAGCATAATGATCGCATGACTAGTAATAGTGCAAAAAAAGTAACTAAAATTCACCTTCATGAGTTTTTCGTTAGAGTGGATGACACAAATAGATTTCGGGTATGCTAGTGGAAATAATTCATCCAAAAGATCAGTGTAACTTCTTGATGATATGCATATGTAATTTGGATCCATGAAATGGCATAGAGTAGAAAAGCTGAACTCGCTAAATTTCTCGTGGATAATCATGTTCTGCAGAAGAATCAACGATTGCGTATGTCAAGTTACCAACACTTAACTAAAAATATCATCAAAGAGCTATTTGAGAAAGAAACCAGAGTGACATCCTGGATTAGATCTGACGCATGTGGATAAGTTACATATCAACTCTCATTTTATTTCATTTCAGGTTCTCCTCTGCAAAATCTAGTGCATAGGTCTAACAGCATTAGCAATGCAAAATATTAGTGAATAAAACATTAAGATAAAATTTATCACACCCGTCAAGATTAAAATTAAAGGCTAAATGCAAGTTGATTCATCTTCAATAACTTCCCTTCAGGCCATAAAGCAAGTCTCCAGAGAGGTGATCAGTAGAAACAGTTGAGAATAGCACCAACAAGGAAAATTCTCAAAATGAAAAATGCAGAAAATGAGTAACATAACAAAATCCAAGATCAAGGATTTCCCTGAATTTGTCAAGTTACTAAAATATTCATAAAATCAAGAGATTTCCTTTGTTGCTAAGTTTTAATAAGTGGAGTAATTACTCTCTCTGTCTCAAAAGAGATAGCCCACATTGTAGTTTGTAAGTTGTACTAACAACAGTACAAATGACAAATTGCAATGTTGACTGTTGAGTGTTACTTTTTCCAAGCAACAAATGCATTCGTCACTTCTACCCAGTAGCTTTTCCAGATTACAAGCTGAGTAATTATATCTAGAGTTCATCAGCAAAGTTTTAGTTTTTCGTGATTTTGTAGAGGTGATTCATGATTTGGGAAAGTGAAATGTGAAACTTAATCCAAGCTAGTTTCATGATGGAACTAGTAATAACATAATTCAGAATTCTATGAACAATGCATAATTTTTCCGTTGAACACATTCTTGAGATACAGTCATGTTTTTCTATGGCTTATGATGCAACTTCCCCCTGCCTAGAGAAATTTTTTAATCCCTTCTATTACATTGCAGATTTTTCTGTTTCCTAGCTTCTTCAACTGTTGTTTCTACATTTCCAGCTTGGACAAAAGAGTCTTAAGATCATGAGCTGCATGGGAAGCAGAGAAACATCATAAAGCTAATGAGTAATGACTCTCCCTCAACTTTCTTTGGTTGTTGAATTCTGCCCAAGCCTGGCTGAGGAAGATTTACGGAACGTAAAACAAAAAAATAGGATGATGGCGCCGGGGCATACTATGTGTAATGGTTCCGCCATTCACAAAATAAAAAGAAATTCCATTTCGACAAAAGACCGACACCTAAGTTCCATAACTTTTGGTCCGCTATCCCCATCATTCGACCCCCAGAGGGAAAGGTACTTCCCCTTTGTTTGGGCCGGTTATGGGCGAGGAGGATTCGAACCCCGACACCGTGGTTCGTAGCCACGTGCTCTAATCCTCGAGCTACAGGCCCCACCGCGTCTCCACTGGATCCGTTCGCGGAGTGCCCTCAAAAAAGGATCCTTTCCTCTCTGCCCACTGTTTCGGGTTAAGAAGATGTGAAAGCGCGTTTATCTCTATAACTATAAGAAGGGTGTGTTCGAGGTGTGAAGTGGGAGAGAGGGGATGTCATAATTGTGGTTTTGAATAAGACGACCTTTTGATTTTTCATTTTTCGTTTTCATATATTGAAAAAGTAATAAGAATGAGAGGTCTTAAGCTTTTATCATCCTGGCGTCGAGCTATTTTTCCGCAGACCTCCCTACAGAGATCGTCACCGCAGAGAGTTTAACCACCAAGTTCGGGATGGGTTGGTGTGGTTCCTCTACGCCTAGGACACCGAATATCGAACCATGAACGAAGAAAGGCATGAGAGAAAAGTATATTGGCTAGTGATTATGAGGTCCCAATTCTTGGTGTAAGGGACACCAAAGGCCTCTGCCCTTCCATCCCTTAGATAGAGAGGGGCAGAGCTTTTGGTTTTTCATGTTGTCAAGGATTTGAACAATGAGCAATGAAAATAGATGGCGAGTGCACGATCGAATTGATCAGTCATGTAGGAACAAGGTTCAAGTCTACCGGTCTGTTAGGATGCCTCACCGCATACATCACCGCACTTCCACTTGACACCTATCGTAATGATAAACGGCTCGTCTCGCCGTGACCTTCTCTTGAATTCTCAAAACTTCGTCGCTCCATCCCCGCAGCGGAGAACCCGTCATTGTCTCTACTGTGCTACCGAAGGCTCTGGGAAGTCGGAATAGGAGAGCACTCATCTTGGGGTGGGCTTACTACTTAGATGCTTTCAGCAGTTATCCGCTCCGCACTTGGCTACCCAGCGTTTACAGTGGGCACGATAACTGGTACACTGAGGTGCGTCCTTCCCGGTCCTCTCGTACTAGGGAAAGGTCCTCTCAATGCTCTAACGCCCACACGGATATGGACCGAACTGTCTCACGACGTTCGAACCCGGCTCACGTACCGCTTTAATGGGCGAACAGCCCAACCCTTGGAACATACTACAGCCCCGGTGGCGAAGAGCCGACATCGAGGTGCCAAACCTTCCGTCGATGTGAGCTCTTGGGAAGATCACTGTTATCCCTAGAGTAACTTTTATTCGTTGAGCGACGGCCCTTCCACCCGGCACCGTCGGATCACTAAGGCCGACTTTCGTCCCTCGCTCGACGGGTGGGTCTTGCAGTCAAGCTCCCTTCGCCTTTGCACTCGAGGGCCAATCTCCGTCCGGCCCGAGGAAACCTTTGCACGCCTCCGTTACCTTTTGGGAGGCCTACGCCCATAGAAACCGTCTACTCGAGACTGTCCCTTGGCCCGTAGGTCCCGACACAAGGTTAGAATTCTAGCCCTTCCAGAGTGGTATCTCACTGATGGCTCGGGCCCCCCCGGAAGGAGGCCTTCTTCGCCTTCCACCTAAGCTGCGCAGGAAAGGCCCAAAGCCAATCCCAGGGAACAGTGAAGCTTCATAGGGTCTTTGATGATACAATATCAGCAGCACAAATGTTATCAGGTAGTTACACCCATAATATCTCAGCAGAGCTTTAAAGGAGCCAAGATAATGAAAAAGCCGATCTCTATGATTCTTCCTTAAGAAGGACCTAATTACATACTTCTAAAAATGAAACTACATTTCAATCAATTTATTCTTCCTGCTTCAAGATGAGCATTCCTGATTAAACTTTGAGTGGAATTATATCGGGGTAAAGACATATCTACTTTGATATTAAAATCAGAATAGTAAGTTCAGCTGCACTAAAGTTTTGCTTCTAGTTGAACTGAATAGAAACTCTAAAATGACCATGAACTGGTGATCAGTAATCAGTTTATTTCTGACAGTAAATTAAAGTAACAGAAATTTGTAGAAATATCACACACATTACGAACAATATAACTATAAAAAAGTGATGAGATGAGAGAATTTGATAGAACTAGTGACATACACGCTCTGAGATCCAATTTTACGGAAGAAATATGGACTTTAGTACCTTTACTTTGAGTGAACAGGAACTTCAGCAAACAGAAATCTTTCCGACAAGAAACTTGGAAAAAGCAGCATGAATGACAAAGAAACGAAATCTTGCTAAAATAGAACAGCCAAAAAAAAAAAAAGTACCGCTGAACGACGGAAGATGATAATATTCAAATCCTCAGTGTAGCTTAATCTTGAAAGAAACTGCTGCAGTTTAACCAGCCAATTGACAGTGTCTCCCCTAAGTGCAAACCTCAAGTGAATTTGGATAGCATTTGAGACATTGATCGGTATAAATGGCTCATCACAATTGCAGTATTCAAAGGACTCCAAATTAGGAGTGTCAAGTTGGATGTCTTTCAAGTGATGACAATATCTGAAGACCAGCTTCTTCAGGCTTTGGCTTGAAATCATAGATTCCCTGGATCCAGTCCAGTTCCGCAATTCCAAGACTTCAAGGGCTGGAAGTTGAGATACGAGTGGTTGTACCGCAAAGTCAACAGCAAAATTCTTCCCACTTAATATCAACTCCTTCAGTGCTTTAGAGGTGGTCAAGTCTATACTGCTTGGCCAACGACCCAAGTGTGATGCAAACGAAAATGTAAGCAAATTAGAAACATCAACTCTGATACTATCAACCTCATCAGAGTAGAGAAACTCAAAAGTTTTCAAATGGGAAAAACCCGAAATGAAGATAAGGCTGTCCATCCCTCTGCAGGATGACACTTTCACATACTCAATGACCGAGCATCCAGAAAGAATGTTGTTGAATGTAAACTTGTCCACAAAGAAAGAATGAGATAAAGAAAGCTTCTTCAGGTACGGAAGTTTTATGTTCAAACTCCCCTCAAATCTACATCCGCTTAAGCTTAAAATTGTAAGCGAACGAGCAATAAAAACATACTCGGGAACTTTATAGTAATATCTAACAGAATCAGTCACAGAATCAATGGAGAGAGCAAGCTCTGCAGCATTCCTTTGAGCTATCATACTAACCCACTCGTCCATTTTGGCAGATAACAATTTTATATCAGGGAAGTCAGTGTACAGCTGAAATCTTTGCACAGGAAAGTCCTGTTCAAGGCGCCGGCACACTGATTTTTCCATAAGACCCAAATATTCATCTTTCTGCATTGTTGGACCCAAGCTATCCGGAGATTGCAATTGTTCCACGGCAACATTACCATATGCAAAATGAAAAACAACAATGGGATAACAGGACCAAATTCGATGCCAAGTCTTCGATAGCACCGAAGTAGAAGTAACATCCCGGGCACGAAGAAAAGAAAAGATGTAATGAATGATGGTCTCAGGTAATGTGGAGATGAAGTCCAATGGAGCAATCTCTAGACTCTCTATCTTTTGATCCTCTTTCACTATCAACCAAACAAAAAAGAAAGAAACAAATATAAGGAGAAACATCACTCTTGTGCTAACCTAGTTATCTACATAGAGTTCCAATTTTCCAATTAAAACACTTTCAATTAGAATTGAAAAGAACCTCAAAACGCAAAGGCAAGAAATTAACTTAAAATAAAGTGAGATTGCTAAAAGATGAGGACCTGATTCCATGGGGCGAAATGATTCGAATATTGTACTTTAAACCTTGATACCGGATCTTCTTCTGTATCAGAAATCCGACAATTCCGAAATCAAGACCTCAAAATTGACATCACGATCGACGGGTAATCCAGCTCAGAAACAGCTCCCGTAAGACTAACACACGAAATACAGACTCAATTAAGGATTCAATGCACAAAGAACAGCAAAATATGATTATGATTTAGAAAAAAAACGAAACAAATCCATAGTTGATCATGCATAAAGGCGATCGAAATTTCATGTTCCGATAGCCACCACGAACAGCAGGCTTTTTGAAAATAAATTCAAACTAATACCTGGGAGCAATTTCGATTCCGAGCAAGGCAGAGTCTCTGCGTTCCTCTACTCCCTTGACGAGAGAATGAGGCTCTGAACTGTGTAAGTTTAGCCCCAAAGACTAATCTCAGTAAAAATAAGTAGACTGGTAATTATTGGTCAGTATCTGCCTTGTTGAGTTTTCATCGTCTAATGTTTCAATTTCAAAACTATATCATAAAAATTGGACGAACATATATTTATCATAATTGTAAGGTGTTTTCAGTTTCATAAGTCGAATTTTGGAATATCAAAAAAAAAAAAAAAGTACAAAATTTGGACTATTGAGACGGAATACTGGATGAAATCGTTAGAGGTAATTAATTTCCTCTTTTTCTTATGTTATTATTTTTGGAAAGATCAGCTTTTATATATGTTCAAAAATTTCTTGAGAGTCTTCAAATCACACTAAACTCTCCTTTGGCTTTCAAGTTTCAAGGTCAGCTTTTCAGCATTAGGACTACGGTAAACAGAGTCGCATAATTCTCTATCTATCAATTATTCCGTAGCCAAAACTCCCTTATTCGATCCCAATTGCAGCAAATTAAATGAGTAGATATTTTCACCAGAGTTTATTTACTAGAGTAGATATTTCGATTATACTCCCTCCCGTCCTTATTATAAGGCAGTTTGATTTCGTCCTAAATTTCACTTAAAACATCTTTGAAATAAAAATCTTAAAAATATTTTATAATAATTAAAAGAACACAACGAATGTAAAAATATATTTTTAAATTTTTTTGTAATTAATTAAAAAGATATCCTAAATTAAACATAGGACGGAATCAAAATGTCTAATAATAAGGACCGGAGGGAATAGTAGTATTAAGTTATTAACTAGAGTACGTTTATTGATTTTCATTCAGTTTACACCTTAATTTTGGTGTCGGTTGTTCTATATTTACGAATCGAATAATCATACATGAAACTATGCATCCAAGTCTGGTAGAAGTGTACTTTTTTCTTCCATACTCCATTGAATTACAATATAATATAACAAAGTGCACTTAAAGTGAGACGGAAGGGGGAGTAGTTTATATGTTATGTTGCCTGTACAGGAAATTGTACTGTAGTTTTTCTTCCGAGGGGAAAAAGAGGAATGGATTCTAGATGTATGAAGATTGTTCCAAATTAATCGGTGTTTTAAGTCTTAGAAACAGACAGATTAACAAATGCATGTCCGATCCGCAAATTCAATTTAATCAAAAGATTAAGGACAATTGAGAGCAATTCCTAACTGCACCCAAAATTCAGAAATGGTACAATTATGATAAATTCCGAAAGAAATTTCGCCTATTCCTAACTGCATATTTTCAACTTTCACCAAAACTTAGCAAAAACAGAAATGAAGGCCAACTACATTGCAATTTGCGCTGTGGCAGTGCTGCTTTTGGTGGCAAATGCTAATGTGTCTGAAGCTGCATGAATATGACCTCGCACCGTGTGCTCCGGCGATTGCCGGAGGAGCACCAAGCTCACTTTGCTGCACCAAAATGAAATCCCCAGAAGCCTTGTTTTTGCCAGTATGCTAAGGACCCTAGGTTGAGTAGGTTCAGCAGTGTTGTCAACTCTCCTGGTGCCAAGAAGGTTGCTTCAGCTTGTGGAGTTTCCTTTCCTAAGTGTTAATTAATTCAAAGGGTCTAATATGCATAGCTAGATTAATCCATGTGCATGGTTAATCTGCTCTCCTTAAGCGGTTTTTAATATCTTAAAAAATGATCATTTACAGTTGTGATCTTGGTTATCTAGGCCAACATGGTATGTATGTTGCGTCCATTATGTACGATCAGAATAATGTGTACGCGTATTTTACATCTATGATGCATTAACAATATATTCAACATAGAAACTTGATAGCCAAAGAAGGTCATGCAATATAGCCTACGTCTCTGAAAGAGAGAGATACTAAAATCAAATGTAAAACTATTGTCCAATTTAGATTTTCATTTTTAGTTCAATTTGTATTTTAAACTGAAAGTTCAACCTGAACAATAATTTCTGGATAATAGATTTTATGTGGAAAAAAATATTACAAGGAGCAGTGGAACTCCATGCCTTTTTTTTGCATTTTTCCTTTCTTTTTTATTTTTATAATTTTTATAACGCCAAGTCCATTTTACATTCTGAACCTAAGTAGTACGGTCCAGGTACTAGGAAGTAGAAAGGAGCCAGAATTTCTACAAAGTTTGGTACTGCAGTTGGTATAAATAGGAGTGAAAATCCTGCCGAATGAATATCATTAGTTTTGCCAAAACAAAGAAATCTAGTTACAGTTACTACCAAAGATCAGAATAATGATGATGAAGGGATCTTCATGCACTGCAGTGTTCATCTATGCCTGCGCTGTGCTGATTCTGTTGCTTTTTCATCAACAAGCTAAGGTTTCGACAGCTGAAACGTGCGATATCAGTAAGGCTTTGTCTTGTGCACCAGTTGCCATCGGTTTCCCGTTTCCCAGTCTCTCAGGATTGCTGCGACGAGATCAAGGCGGTACTCCCCTGTGCTTGCCAGTATGTTAAGACTTATCCGGAATACTTTAACTCCTCCACTGCCACAACAATAGCCCAAGCCTGTAAGGTTACCATCCCTTAAGTGTCCAGCTTAGGATTCAGTATGTGAATCTACTTGGGTGTATGTGCATGTGTATGATGGTATGGTCTTCTCTTAGGAAGATTCGATTGAAGTAATCACAATTTGTAATGACATAAAATTCATACAAGAATTCAACAATTATTGTGACTTGCTGCATGTGTGTCTCTATTTATCTACAAATCATGACTTAAATAACGTACACCTGCTTACTATTTATTTAGTGCAGAAATGTTTCGTTATTCTCGCTTTGGTAACAGGAACTAATAGAACTTGAAAACTGGAACAACTGAATTTTTACTTGGAAGTTGGAACAACAATCAAAGAGATGTTGTCAAAAGTAATTTCATACAAGGCTTCTTTCAATGTAATGTAATCATATTTAATTACAAAAGGAGAAAAAGAACATTGAAGTTTTCACAGATGAAGGAGATCTGTGATTTGGTTCCATCCCACCATCCACGGATTCTTGTTAGATGGAAGCACGAAATTGAGTTCAAACATTTCTTTTGATATCTTTCCACTCTCACATAATCCCACAAGCCTAGCAACTATGTCGGCGCTTTCATGAACATGCTTTTCGTCGTGTGGATTTCTCCACAATTTGTTGATGAACTGAATTCTTCTCTGCTGTCCGTCTAATGGAACTTCCCATTTAATGTATAACGCTTCCCTTTCTTCCTCCGACAAACGCTTCAACCTCTTTGCAAGGAACTCCCTTTCCCTCTTCAATTCTCTAAGGCCACAGAAAAATGTTCAGCCTCAATTGTGCTTATATTGGTGTGGTACAAAAAGTTCATGCTTGAAAGAATATTATCAAACCTGTTTGACAAGGAGACTGAAGGATCATTTCCAACACGAGGAGCAGGGCTTGCATTTCCAATCTCTGCTAGGTGTTGTTGTAGCCAAGTCAAACGCCGGAGAGTTCCACTTTCATGTATATCTGATCAGCAGGTCACCTTTGAATAGTGGGTAAAATTGCGCCCTATGAATAATGGAGACATGGCAAACATCCCACAATTCAATCATCTGTTGTCTTTGCTCCCTGAAAATTGCTTGCCAAGATGCAGGGAGTCCTGCTGGATTGGGGGAAGGTCCTCCACATTTTCAATTTCATATCCTGCTGCTTCATTTGCTTCCAGCTCAAGAACCGGAAACCAAATTGGAGTTCCAACAGGTTATAGATAAACTAAATACAGATTTCAAGAGAAACTGAACTCAAGAGAAATTAAATCTGGAAGCAAACTACCTGACACACAAGCAGCTGCTTTTGGTATTGGAGCTTGGCGACACGCTCTTTAAGTTCAGTAACATATGCTTTTATGCTTCTAACATTTTCTTCTGCTGCATTCTGAAACATCTTTTGCATTTTCCTTATGTTGACAGAACTTGAACGACGATAGGGAGTTCCTTACTTTGATGAGACATCTCCACCATCTTCACTCTTTGTTGGTGTTTCTTTCTCCGTCAACTTAGTTTCAGTGGACACAACATCATCATATTGAGGAGCTCGGTTTTCAATATCATTGTCCACTACATCTTTAGTTGCTGACAGGGGAGAGCAAGGGGAACTTAAGAAGTTCTGCCTGTTCGCAGCATTGCTTGAAGCAAGTGGAAGCAACTTTTTCTTTTTTGCTTGAGTCTTGGTCTTCAATGGCGACTCTGTATCTGCTTCTTGATGATCATTTTTGGTTGGAAGCGACATTACTAGTTTGTCAATAGACTTCTGAACATTTTCAAGCTGTTCTTCAAGATCTGCAATTGTACTTCCTAGTGAGTGAAGTCTGGTTATCTCATCCTTCAGGTTTGCACTGACACTCTTATTCACAGCAAGACCACTGCTGACTTCAACTTTCTGCGGAGCTGGTCTGACCGGAAGAATCTCCCTTATCTCAGCTAGCAGCTTAGCAATTGTCTCCGCTGCATCTTGGTTGCCCAACCTGTGGCAAGCTACCTCTTTCTGTAATATTTCCAATGCTCGATTGGCTTCATCTCCAAGCTGCTCCTGCAGGTGTTCAAGCTTCCTAATTTCATGCATTAGGGTGAAAGGGGCAGTTGATGATTGCCTCATTGTCTTTCTACCCATAGTATTCCTATTTCTATTCCCACGGCCTAGCTCTTTTCCCTCCATTGGTGATAGTACTGCAGAAAATGAGAGGCATTTCTTTGCTACAGGGCTTGATAACTCCGAAATCTTCAACCTCTGAACAAAGTTATAGACACAAGATAAACACAGAAAATGAGTGATACTTGGAAGATAGATCATTGTATGTCAGATTATGCATAGTTGAATCCAGCCATAAAAACCAGTATTCCAATAATACAGATAAGCTCACTATCATTAGTTTCTGGTATAAAGTGCAAGGATATGTAGACAATGCATCAAAAGTCTCATAAAAGAAATGCACGCCCAGCGCAGAAGAGTCAGATGAGAGAGATACCTGGTCCTCCTGTAATTTCCGGCGGAGATCATCTACTTCTGTCTGTGCAAGATCCCTTTGGCGCCTCAATTCTTCAATCTCCATCTCCATCTATATAGCACAGACACAGTAATATAAGAATAAAATTACGATAACTAAAAGAAGAGGAAAACGAACTAAATGAGTATCAGGCTTAAGTCAGATATTATTTGAACTTGACGAATTTTCAGATCTTTCTCATTTGATGGGTCAGGTGTGCGCAGTTCTGCCTCTAGTCTGGCTACTCCCTTTTGCAGATGCTTAACTAACTTTTTTCTGAAACCACCTGAAAGAACGTCCAAACGAGCATTAGGGTGTAGTTCCAGAAACAAAAGCAAACAATTCTGAACAATTGTCAAAACAAGCAGTAAGCCTTATAAAGTACCATGTTCTCTTGAGCACTATTTGTCACTTCCTTTGCACGTGTAGCAAAAAGAAGAGTGTTGGTTGTTTGCTCGACGTGACTAGATGCCGGACTCAGAGTGCATATGATGGCTGTTCTAGCATTTCCTCCAAGTGAATGCTGCAAAATGTGTCCCAGCTTTGAATCTCTGTAGGGAATGTGGCCACTTCTTTTGCCCACACTGCAAATAAAATTATAGAAACAAGAAGGCTTCAGTAATCAAGAGTGCCATGATAGCCTGTATTTGACACAATAATGCACAGAGCTAAAAGAGAAAGACTTCAACTTCAGCAACTGCCTAAAACTCCCTTTTAAGCATGGTGACTATGTATATTGAGAGATCACAAAAACACCTTTTGTTTTTCTTATTGCATTTTTCTATCCAGACTATTAGCATCAGAAATTTTGCCAAAAGTTAACTTTCTCTATCAAAAGATTATCTGACCTGAGCTTCCTGATCACAGTGGTAAGAGTCATCAAGCTAAGGTTGATATGGCAGCCTTCTCTGAGCCTAGCACCATCTGCATTTGTCTGAGATGCTCTTTCACTTCCAGCCAAGTCAACAAAGTTCTGCAGGAAAAACATAAGAAAGTAAATATTAGCTGATAAAAAGATTGTGCTTCCAAGAAAAAGCACAAAATTTAAACAAGGTTTTGGATCTCTCACCAAGCTTGCAACATAGGATCGGACACATTCTGCACTTTCACGAAGAGTACTTTCTATGGTCTGCATGAAATAAAGACATCCAATATATTTAATGTTAGTGAGACAAAAGAGATGGCTACTTTTTTCCATTGCCAACAGATGCAAATATCTCTACCAAAGTAGGCATACCAGCCTGATAATCTGGTGCGATCTTGAACTAGTGTCATTTAAGGCAGTCTTGCCAAGTTGCCTTTGTGCTGTAAATTAGACATTACATTATTAAGATGATGCAAGGAATCTGATAACTGACACATAACCAAACTTGCATGCTAAACATATACTTACCTTCACATATGCTAATTAGTTTTCTTAGATGTTGATCATCACTAACTGATTCTTCAACAAGTTTCTTGACCATGGTTCCTTTCTGCATGCAAAAGGTACCATAAAAATACATACCAAGGGAAGACTGAAAATCGATGGACTACGACCACTATTGATAATGTACTTCAAAATTTACCTCTGGATCATCTAAAAGCTTCAGATTCCCGCCAGATTCTGAATTCCAACAAATCCCGAACATTTTCATTGAAGATTTCAAGCCCAGATATCTTTATCCTGAATTCTCTTTCCGGAGTCTGTAAAAAAAGGATGAAGAAAAGCAAGCATGCCCACATAGTTAAGAACCAATACATATCTAGAAGATAATGCAAAAAATGAATAGTCCGTTGATAAAGCTTACATTCAAAACGTGCATGTAGATATCATTCACAGCTTTCTCTGTAATCCCTCGCATTGTGTAGGTTTTCCCACTACTAGTCTGCCCGTATGCGAATATTGTAGCTACAGTTTACCCATTGCAGGTGATTGATTTAACAATCAAAAACTTATAAAAGCAATGATGAATCATGCACAGGGAAACAAAAGCAGGATAAGTTACCATTGATTCCCATTAAAGCAGACAAAGCAACATTTTTAACTCCTTCATAGACACTTTCAGTTAAGCTCTCATGACCGAAGACTTTATCTGCATTGATCACAAGAACCCAAAGCTTAGTAATTGCTTCACTCCTCCTAGATGAAGGAAATATACAGGAGGCTGAATCTGCACTTCGATAAGGTTTATCACTCAATTTTGAGGTAGGGAATCTGGACTAACTGTTCATTTTTATATTAGTTGCAAGTATAAAATTATCTGATCAATGATGCATCTTCAACGCCAAAAATGATTCTAAGTGTACTTATAAAATCAAATGGTTGAAAAGAGAATTGTGAATATTTCATTTGGTCAATCTACAATCTGATGTACACCTAGGTGTTAGCAAACGAGAGACTCGAGCTGGGAGTGATAGCAGTTTAGCATTTGTATATTTCACTCTTATAAAAACTAAGAGATCTTTCTTTCAACGCATGTTCTCTGATGAAGTTATTGATCTACAGACAAATTCTTTGAATTGTGCCTCTGGGCCAAAAACATTCGCTGCCAGTGTTATATTTTAAAAGAGGTGGTGCTCTCATGTGAACCTCCAGCATTTGAATTTTGTTTGAGGATGTTGAGAAACATGTTAAAGGAGGAAAAGAGATTGCCTTTGTTTGGAAGAAAAAACCTTTTAAGTTTATTTCACTAATTCAACTTGCTGGTATGGGACTTGTAATTTTGCAATACTGAATTTCTTGTGATGAAAAATTAGTAAGTGTTTATAATCCTCTATTTTTCTGATTTGATGTTTGCCTTGTTCTTTTGGTCACTCACATTGACCGGCATCTATTTCTGGAAAGAAATTCATCTTGACATACATGGGTCATTTTATTGCAGGAAGCACGTGCTCTTCTTGGAAGATTAGAATATCAAAGGGGAAATGTGGAAGTTGCGCTTCGGGTGTTTGATGGCATTGATCTTCAGGCTGCTATACAGCGAATACAACCTCCGAAGAAGGGGCGAACTAGATCCGATTCTGTGCATCCTGTCTCATAGCATGCTGTGAGCCTCGTCCTTGAGGCCGTATATTTGAAAGCCAAGTCTCTTCAAAAGCTTGGACGACTAAATGGTAGATAGCTACTTAAAAGTTCTCTGAGTTACAATAATGGTCATTTTTCAATTGCTCAGTCGTGTATGAAAAAAAAAAATGATAAATTAGTTGCAGAAATCCATTCATTTGTATTTTTTTGATTTGGTTATTCACAGAGCTTCATTTGCTGGGATTTTATAGAGGCTGCTCAGGAGTGCAAAAGTGTACTTGATGCTGTTGAGAAGATATTTTTTTACGGGATACCTGATGTATTAGTTGACAATAAGCTGCAAGAAACTGTTAGCCATGCGGTTGAACTCCTCCCAGAGCTGTGGAAGCAATCTGGCAACTTTTCTGAAGCAATGTCTGCTTATCGCGTGCTCTACTCAGTCAATGGAACCTTGACAATGAATGTTGTGCAAGGATTCAAAAGGCATTTGCCTTGTTTCTGCTGTACAGTGGTGTAGAAGTTGGACCACCCAGTTTGGCTGTACAAATTGATGGGTCCTATGTCCCCAAGAACAATCTTGAAGAAGCAATTTTACTTTTGATGATCCTTATGAGAAAATTTTATCTTGGTAAGATCGAGTGGGATCCATCCATTATAGAGCACCTCACATTTGGATTATCTTTGTGTGGCCAAACTTCTGTATTAGCAAAGCTGCTTGAAGAAGTCATGCCAGGAATAAGTCATCGTATTGAACGCTGGAGAACGTTGGCACTTTGCCATAGTGGGGCTGCGCAGAACGGTACTGCTCTAATTCTTCGGAGGAAATCCCTGCACAAACAGGAAGATCCAAATGATTTTTTTGTCCTTGTTATTGGCCGCCAAAATTTGTTGAGAAGATAGATTTCTTGCTGCCGAAGGAGTGGAGTATGCACAGACAGCAATAGTAGTAATTGATGCTGCTTTAGATGGGACTGGAAAGTGGGATCAAGGGCAATTACTAAGGATGAAGGCAAAGCTGCAAATATCCCAGTCCTTGAACACGGATGCCATTGAATCTTATCGCTGCCTTCTTGCATTGGTCCAAGCCCAAAGAAAATCTTATGGACCTCTTAGAGTTGCTCATCAGGTTACATTCTTTCTTTTTTTTTCTTTTTTCAGGTTACATTCTTTTTTTTTTAAAGGAAAAAAAATTGTTTTGTCTCATCGGGTTACATCAGTTCCTTAAAATTGGCCAATCATTTTTTACTATTGTTCAACTTTATGTATATGGAAGTGATGCCTGATATGTCATGGAAGTGGATTTCTATTTCTTACTTTATGTTACCATGATACTTTCGTGCTTCATTCTATTATTCCAATTTGTAAGTTGCATATTCCAAAAGTTGAGGGTGTGTGGTGTATAAATTATTCCAATATCTGAAATGTGATTGGACTTAATATTGCATTTTGATTCATGCATTGTATTTTTTCTAATTGCAGACAGAGGATAATAAAGTTAGTGAATATGAAGTTTGGCATGGTCTGGCAAACTTGTACTCTAGCCTCTCACACTGGAAAGATGCTGAAATATGCCTGGGAAAAGCTAGAGCTCTCATACAGTATTCAGCGGAGACACTGCACACTGAAGGCAAGTTTTTTATAGTAACCCTTCTATATTATCGATTTGATCTGCTGTAAGTTTGTGTAAGTCGTGGTTCCGTGCTTTGACTTTTTTTTATCTTTACTGACATGAGATCCTTTATGAATGATGTAAGACCGTTAAGGTTGATATACAAGAAGTTATAATCTGATCTAGGAACATGTTTTGAATGATCACTCATGTCATTACATAGCGATGTAAAACATCAGTTCAAAAGACACTCACATTTGTAACAAGGGGATTTGATCTCATACTAGGTATTAAGATTTAAAGCCAGTTGAACTAGCTAACCAGCCATGAGTCCATGACAAGTTAACCATAAGTTGAATAGAAATAATCGTACCGTGAGAAAATACTTTACTCAGTGGATATTGATACCAAGGCTTGTATTAGTTTTAGGACTGTCCGTTGAATTTTGTTTTGCTCAGCACATGTTTTGAGGTGATTTTGTTTTGTCAATCAAAAGCATGTTTGGATCATAGAAGATTACATTTGAGTATCAGGGGTTCTGGACTTGACTATTCTATGCCTCCAGGAGGAAACTTCTATAACATCCTCTTTCCATTACTGTGACAGGTCTTATGTTGGCCACTTTGTTATAGTTTCAGGTAACAAGCTTGAAGATGACATGCCATCAGAGGCGCAAGATTGATGAAACACATGTGGAGGTAGGCTTCAAGCTATCGATTTCTTTTTGTCACTTTATAGCTTTTGTTGCTGCTTGAGGGTCTCCCTCTGTCCCAAAAAAGAGGGGCTTGCCTAACAAGATTATTTTGGGACCGAGGGAGTATTTGCTCTTCAGTTATTCTTATTCTGAGGTTGCTAAATATTTATCTAGGCAGGGGCATGAAGAGCTAGATGCTGCCAGCTTGCGTGAACATGAAGAATTTACTAAGGTTAAAAATATTGCCACGATAGAGCTTGGAATATGAGATTGAGACTTGGTACTTCTCCCCGTTTCCACCGGAAAACAATGACTGTGTGAAGCTTTACTTCTGCGAATTTTGCCTCAATTTCATGAAGCGCAAAGAAGAACTTCAGAGGCATATGGTATGGTTTTCTTGAATATTTCAAGTTACCCACTTCCTATTTCCAGTTAGCCATAATGTTGTGATCATATTCTGAGCCATTTGTTTTTCTTTGGATATGAATGTACAGAGGAAATGTTAGCTCAAGCATCCTCTCGGTGATGAAATATATCGATGTGATACCTTGTCAATGTTTGAGGTACAGTTTTTAATCGTTACCTCATTAAATGAGCACTTTGGTTCATTTTGCACCAAAATTTCTAGTCAAGGGTTTGAGAAAGTTGCCTTGTTCTGGTTTTCAGTTTGTAAGATAAGCACATCATTTCCAGCTAGGTTAAAGTTTGTTTCCTTTGAAACAGGTCGGTGGGAAGAAGAATAAGGTCTATGGACAGAATCTCTGCTATCTTGCCAAATTGTTTCTTGACCATAAGATGCTTTACTATGATGTTGACTTGTTCCTGTTTTATGTGTTGTGTGAATGTGATGATAGAGGATGCCATATGGTTGGCTATTTTTCAAAGGTAACTCTTTTCTTTATGAGTTTGTATCTTGTGGCTATTCTTTGTCCTTCTGCCATACCAAACTTAGAAATTATTGTTTTTAGCGTGAGGCTGTGAGTCTTTGGAAAGTTACTCCTTTGGATGCTAGTTTTAACTAACGTTGTAGGTCCCGATACAGTTACCTTGTTCTAAATTTCAACATACTTGTGCTTGGATCTACATCTGGTGCCTTGAATGTATGAAACACGGGTCCAACCATTCTGGCTCATAAATTGTAATTGCTGATGTAATGTTACATAGATAAGTTTAAATGGTGCAACTCAGTAATGTAATGTGTAACATCGGTTTCTTTCTGTTGCTCACATTGTCCTTGTGTTTAAGGGTCTGTTTTCAATTAGCAGGAGTTCCTTTTTCTGATATTGAATAGAATATTGGGGTTTGCATGTGACTACAAAACATGAAGTATTGTTGTTTCATTGAGCATCTTTGCCTTATCATGATTTTCTATTATAAAGAAAGAAATGCATGTTTAACTTTTGGTCCTACACCCTTATGTGATACACTGGACAGAAGGATTGAGAGAATTGTTTAACTTAGTAACACTGGTTCTTGTTCCTCCCTGCCGTTCTGTTGTATAGACATATTGTATACCTTATTTTGATGTTACATGAGATGTTTTTTCAACAATGAGATATATGATGAGGCATATCTTGAGTCTATGCAGGAAAAGCATTCCGAGGAGTCATATAATTTGGCCTGCATTCTGACCCTTTCTCCATATCAGAGGAAAGGTTATGGGAAATTTCTAATTGCTTTCTGTAAGTCTCTGTTCATGGTGCATTTGTTGCTTCCCCATTTATGCATTGATCCATGGAAACAATGAGAGAGCTTTTTTAAGGAGGGGTTGCGTTGGGATTAACTCTTCTGGTAAAATTTTGGCATAGAATGTGTTTTCTCTTAATTTTGGTTTCTTGTGTTGATAATTTCAAATGTAGCAGGATAAACTAATTATTATAGTCCATGATGCACAGTGTCAATGTAACTTGTTGTCTTCTTTTATCACTAACTACCTACAGTATCAATTGCAGTCTGAAGAGTATCATGTACCCTATCTTGAAAGAGTTGTATCGTTATTGGCTTTTCAGCTTAACTTAGTAAACCTTTTCTTGTTTACTCTTTCTTCTCTTTATTGAGGTGATACCTGATAATGTGCACATTGTACTTGGTTTTTACGTGTTCTTATTAAATCCAGAAATAGAATTTGTGACTCGAATACTTGTTACTACTGTTTTATTGCCGGAATGATATAATTTTTTTGGGGGGGTAATCTGTCGTTGCTCTTTTTCGCTGATGTTATTTTGGCATCTGAAATTCTCATTCTGGTAAAGTTAATTGTCATCTTATTTTTGATGCAGCATATGAACTCTCAAAGAAAGAAAACAAAGTTGGAACTCCTGAAAGGCCCCTGTCTGACCTAGGTCTATTGAGCTATAGGGGGTACTGGACGCGTGTTCTTCTGGATATATTGAAAAAGCACAAGGGGAATATCTCTATTAAGGTTTGTGCCTTTTCCCATTCATGCTTGCCAATCCTGACCATCAATTGTTTGTTAAATACTTATGAATCCTTTCATGCGCATATTTTTAAAATGTTTTCATTGTCTTTTTTTTTTTTTCCCATAGTGACATTTAGTTGCAGATCGAATGTCTAAGTGGTAATGTCGGTGTGCTTTGAGTGTTGCTTGCATTTACGAATACTACTCATTTGTACTACAAGAGATGTACACAGATCAATACTTGAAATAAATCTAGAAGTTTCCTTTGTCCGCCTATTCATCTATTGTTGGGTTGTGTTTCATAGCCTATTGTTTGATATGGACATGGTTGTTGAGTTGTGTTTTCGCTGGTTAATGACGTTGTATCATAGTGTAGGACTTTGTAATTTACGTATGTGGACTAGTTGCATCTCTTTTCCTGGAGCTTTGTCCCCCTATTTTCTCCTTTCTTCTTCCAGATGGGGTGAGAAGAGCTAGTTAGAATAATTCACTTTAGAATTATCTGTGAATTGAAATTTTCGGGCACACAGGTGAGATCGGGACTTCGTCATACCTTATTGTCTCACTGCGATCTCTTGTTAGTAATCTTCTTAACATGTCCCCACGTAATTGTATCTTGCAGGAGCTCTCAGTGACATGACAGTAATCAAGGCTGAGGATATCTTGGCCACTCGACAAACTTTAGAGTTGATCCAGTACCGTAAGGGACAGCATGTAATATGTGCAGATCCTAAGGTCCTTGACCGCCATCTGAAAGCTGTTGGCCGAAGTGGTCTGGATGTTGATGTTAGTAAACTAATATGGACCCCATACAAGGGGCAGAGTTGAGTATCTTGATCGGTTCGCCCCCACTGTAAAATGTATAGTTAACTTACAAGTAGAAAAACAACTGATCTCTCTCTCTCTCTCTCTTCCTCCCCCCCCCCTCTTTTTGTGGTTAACAAACCAACTAATCTCTTTGCATGTAGGATGTTGATTCTTTTTTTGGGTTGTTGTAGACTGCAAATATCATCAACTACCTAACTACCCACTCTATTCATCCCTAGTAGTTTGCGTTTATACCATTGTGGTATGGCCTAAGAATAGTTATGATGTGTTTTGCATAGACTGACCAGATCATATGAAATCCAAGTTTCTTTGATTGGGGGAATGCGTTGCATCCCCTTTTCCTTCCTTCCAAAAGGATCATCTTACTGGGTTGGGAGCGATTACTGTTTTTTCGTACTCATTAATTAAGAATATTAAAGTTGGACTGGCTTCTTTTTTTGTTTTTGGAAAAAGTAACAAAGTTGTATTATAAGTTGTAAAAGGTATGTGAGAAAGTGGATATGTCATCATTCATTAAAATTTTGAGAGGGACAAAAAAAAAAGTAATAATCCTAATATTCATTAAGCATTAAGCATAATTTAGCTTATAATAGCTAAACATTGAGCATTAAGCTAAGCATAAACATAATTTACTTGACAGTCATTAAGTAAAAAGGTTAGCTTAATAGCAACCAAACGGCGTTGTTCCATTGCGCAATTAACTTAATTTAGTGATTTTAACTTAGGTCTTCAAAAATTTTACTAACTACTCAACTGGAAAGCTTCCTTTTCCTAAAATCCGCAGCCCAGGCCTCCATCTTCTCAACCAAGTTATGCTTTTCGACACCCTCGGTTTCTTTGGATCTGCTGGGTGCATGCCACCCTCAGGGTGATTCCAGCTTCAAACACAGCTAACCTTCTTTATATTTGGATCGCCCAAGCCCAAAGAGTTAAATCCCTTCTTAGACCAACCATCATAAAGTGCCCCCTCCCGTTTTGAATAAGGCAACAGCAACATCCATCAAGTCATCTTCTTTGGGCTTCACATAAGCCTTTGTGTTAGTGCCTGGTGAAGTTCGAACAATCGGTAAACCCACTGCAAAAATAAATAAATAAATAAAATTACACAATTAATAATATATTGTATAAATATTTCAAGAAATGGTTATGCAATAAAGACTTACGTGAGATGTGGTTCTAACTCCACCTATAGTAGTGGCATCTAAAACCAAGAAAAGGATGCGAATATTTCAAGTACCACTTGAGGTAATTAGGAGCGCATGCAGTCTTATCATGATCACTCCGCTCAAAATACTCTAGGTCCAGCCCGGTACTGAATGAGAATTGCATCCAAGCATCAAACGCCTCAGTGGGCCTCCATGAAACCTTGTAGGCATGGTGATTACCACTACGATTTGCACTCAGGGGATGAGGAATGGGTGGAGGAATGACTTGGATGTATCCAATCTGGCGCAATACTCGATTAGGCAAATATGGCTCAATAATATCTCGGTATTGTATCCAGCTACTGTATATGGTCCTCGGATCATCGGAAACAGGATCGGGGCCAGAAGGCAACCATTCAACCTACACAAAAGATACAAGATACGTTAATAACATTATTTTTTTGCATAACTATTATTAGTTAAAAGTGCGAAAAGTGACGTACTTGATCGGGTGTCAGCTTGTCGATCTGGCTACGAAGGTGCATCAGACGATCTGAACTGTTATCAGGATTTGGGACATTCCACCATCCAGCTCAGGGTCTGTCAGGAGAGTCAAAGGGACCGTCTCGAGGTGGTCTGAAACATGGAAAGTACACATATATCCATGCCTGAAGTAATGTGTAGCAACCAAACATTGAGGCATTTTTCAATATGGTGGACACGCCTAGCTGATGGTAGAGATAGGCTATAATAGCAGACTCCCAAGAAATATTACCACAGGTAACTAGGCCATCAATAAACTCGGAGAGGATTGCCTCTCTAATCCGAGTGTCACTCCTGTCGATAACCAACGTGTTTCCTAACATGACCCATAACCAGGCGGTCACCTGATCTAAAGCAAGTGCTGCCGCTCAGCCTATCTTCGCAACAAGGCCCGACTAAATCCCTCCACCGTGGATTATTTTACTAGTCTGTAGCGTCTGGCTAGTCATTCTCAGCGCCCTCATGACCAAAGTCTTACAATCGACAGTCCTAGGTTGTGCTGTAATCACTCTACTTTCAACGGGAATACCCAATATCTGTCGTACATCGTGTAAAATGATGGTCATCTCTCCAAAAGATATGTGAAACGTATTGGTGTCTGGCTGCCACCTCTCTACAAATGATGTAATCAATGCCTTATCAATGTTGGTGTGCATGATATCCACGATGTGGGATAACCCTGTACCAGCCAACAAGATCTGAGCCTCAGTCGACATAGAACCCTTCCATTCTTTCAACAACTTGTAGTATGTGACTCTTGTATCCATCTCCAAGGAGGGTTTGTACTACTTATCCTTCAAGCGATGGGCCACGTGACCAAGAAAATTGGAAATAGCATAACCGTCATAAGGGCCACCAACAACTGGTCTCGTGACAACCCAAGGCTGGGCATTACTCACTGAGATTAACGTAAACAAATCATTCAATTTGTTCCCGATAAAATATATGAAAAAAATTAACTACTAAAATGTAAAATATAAACCCCATACACTAATTTCTTACCTGCTGATGATGATGCAGATACAGATGCAGATGCAGCTCCAGCTCCAAGTCTTCTAACCCTAAGACGAATAAAATTGCTTCGTCTTGTTGGAGGTGAATGTAGAGGTGAATGTGGAGGTGAATATGGAGGTGAGTCACCTCCGAAATTATTAAACCCTTCACAGTCGATATCTTCAGTCGGAACATCATCATTGTCACTCACATTCTGTAAGTCCAAACTGGCATGATCAAATACATTGTGAAGTCCCACACTACTATCGGCCTGATCCATCTGCAACTCACCCTTTGACTTATGCCCAGTTGGACTCCCACGACGATATGAGACAGAAATAACTTGACCATGCATGTCCTGTGTACCCGACTCAAGCAACAATGAAGAATCAGGTACATCTGGCCTTTTCTTTTTTCTCCTTTGAACCCACATTAATGAATATATATATATATATATAACTACTCCACTACAATAATCAAAATAGAAATTAAAATAAATTCAATTAAGTAAATTATACTTAATTAATTTATTCTTTTAACCTACATTAAATATTATATATAAATATTCCATAACAATGATTATTCAAATAGAAATTAAAATAAAATCAATTAAATTAATTATACATATTAAATTCATACATTTTTAATGGAATATAATTAAATTAATTAAAAATCTAATTAAATTAATTACAAAACTAATTAAATTTCTCCCTTTTATTATAAATTAATGCAAATTTAATTAAATTAATTACAACTAATAAAATAATATTCAACAACTAATTACATTAATTATAAATAATTTAACTAAAATAATTATAAAAAAATTACAAAAAATTTTTTTTTAAAAAAAAAGAAAATTGCCCAGGCTGGCCGAGCCCGAGAACCTTGGCCGGATTTTTCACCGGTCAAGGGACGGGGATTGGCTTGGTCAGGGGCTAGCCAATCCTTGAAGAGTGGCCGGCCATTCTTCAGGATTGGCCTGGTCAGGGACTTGGCCAATCCACATCCCTTGACCGGTGAGAAATCCGGCCAAGGTTCCCGGGCTGCCGACCTTGGGCAGTCTCTTTTTTTAAAATTTTTTTTTACATAGAATTTGGAAAAAAAAAATTATCGGCATTGATGGTGAGCTTTCTCGTTGTTCTCTGTTGCGTTTCGCCATTTTTTTGGTGTCCGATTATTAGTAGATTTAGATTTAAAGAAGAAGAAGAAGGAGGAAGGAGAAGAAAAAAGAATAAAAGAGAAAGGAGAAGAAGAGAGGGGGAAGGAGGAAGAAAATAGTTCAAAGATAAAATTGTAAAAAATGAACTGCAAGTGAGTAATTTCGACTTGCGAAAAGCAATTCAAAGTACAAACTTATGACCAAAATCTATCTGGCTTGCCACCTCTTCATTTCTTACAAGTTCCTCTTCTCGCTGATGTCAAAAGTATATTATAATGAATACATACATGTTTTAATTACCACTTGATTTAGATATATTCCAATTTCCAAGCGTCTCATAATCATATTGTGGTATACATTATTCCCGGATCTTAAAAACACTTTGATAAGTTGCATTCCTCTATCAAGTAGTTTCTTAGACTAAATTAAGGAAAGAGTATACCCCGTCCAAAGGTAGGTTCCTCTCAAATCTCAATCTCAACAAGGTGGTGGTGGAGAACAGCAACAACAGCCTCAAGAACATCAATTTCTACCTTCGACATCTCTGATTCCTCCTAAACCATTGATGATCATGCACCTCCTCCGCTCGACTCAGCCATTGATGATCACAATCCGCAAGTACAAACTCCCCGTCAACATCATCAATCAAAAGGGTCATCGATGACGCCGGCGGGGGCTTTACCTCCTCAAAGCTTAGACCCAAATCAAGCTGATGATGCTCCCCAGAAGCCACGACTAGCTTCTTTTGATCAACATCAGTCTCAGGCTTTTCCCAACCCCAACCCAAACCTCAAGCCTTCCCTCCTACTCAGGATTATCATCATGTTCCACCACCACAAGCATTTCCTCCGCCTCCAGAAATCCAGCCAGAAGCCTTTCCTCCTCCTCAACCTGAGAAGGTGCACGCTTTTCCACCAGTACAAGCAACAATGCACCATCAATATCCACCAACGCAAAATCAGCAGGCTCCACTTCCACAGAGTTCTTCGACCATGGGAACTAATACCGGAATCGGACAGATTCCAATTCATCAGGCAATGCCAAACCAACCACATTCTGCTCAACCCAATCCCCAGGTTATCAGCACACCCCAACAGGAATTTCAAGTTACTCCCGGTACTCTTGGGACGACCCATCCTTGGAAGACAGATTTGGTAGCATACATGGACAACCCTTCAAATGGTAATGTCAAATTAAAAAAAAATCCTAGTCACCGATGAACCAAAAACAGAGATACTCTGTTTTTCTTTTAACCCAGTTTTTTACTCTTGTTCTTTTAACCTTTTCTCCTCAAATGATCTCAAGATAATTTTTTTTTTTCAGCACTAATAACAGCCTTCCTTCCATGCATTACTTTTGGACAAATTGCGGAGATAATTGATAATGGGCAAACTTGTTAGTCCTCTTACTTAATCCGCTTCCCCTCCTTCTTTGATCAATAAAAATCATTAATTTGATTCGAAAGAATAAATCTGTATTACAGCTTGTGCTACAAGTGGTTTGCTCTATGGTTGTATGGCTCTGTTTGGAGTTCCATGCCTATTGTGATGTAGCTACAGAACAAAGCGGAGGGGAAGATATGGGGCTAAATGCATGGAACTGCATTTTCTTGATTTGGTGGGAAATGCATTTTGCTGAGGAAAGGGTGGGAAGGAAATATGTCAAAGAAGCAACTGATGCAGATGGGTTCTATGACGCCTCCCATGACCCACAAAATATGATGGCCTAATCAAAATGGATTTGTTCTTCTTTGGTTTCCTCTATTACGTTTTTTCTTCACTAAATTGTGGATTTTCACCTTTTTGTGTAATATTGTAAATTTGTAATTAAATTCCTTGTTCACCATATCAGGTGAGAACCAAACAAACAAGCATTCATGGGCGGTTGTGTTTTACGTATTTTGTGCTCTTCTTCTTTGTTGGTTTTTTTTTTGCCTTCTTGGGAAAGGGAAAATTTAATTGCTGAATATTCCAAATAAAGCAATAAGTGACAATTTGACTAATATATATACTACTATACAAGTGACACGACGATTTTGCTTTTTCGTGTATTTTTCATTTCGTACAAGAACAACCGATAATAGGGGGAAATAAGACTGTACTGCACATAAATGTATCTTCTTCAGATTACAACTGGTAACGTAGTTTACTTACTGCTATACCTGAAAAATCGTACAGTCAAAACGCAGTGTAGAGTTTCTCCTATCTCAGATCTCAGTTTCAAAACTCTAACCAGCTAAATCCGTGGATATATAGTATTAGTAATTACAGTAAAAGCTGCACATTGAATTACAACACACACTGAAGGAATGCTAAATGTTTATGGTCGCATCCCACAACCTGAGCAAACCATTGCGCCCGCCACTACAAATCCGTTTCCTTTCAAGGTCAGAAGACACACACCGTACCTGAAAACATGACATCACAATCCATTATAGCCAACCATAGTGATTTCGGTAAACTGATAGTTTGGTTCTTGTGTTTCAACACTCAACGTATTAAGGATAAGCAAAATCCCAGATGATAGACAGAAGGAAAAAAGGGGTTTTGTTAGAAATGATCAAAATGTCAGCAAATAAGAACTTGACTCGACAGAGAGCTTCTGTATGCAGTTAAACGGGTATCACCACAGAGAGGACATGGATCTGCTAAACAAGGTAAAAAGAGATGTGGCATAAAGAAGTTGAACAAACCATGGCAACTGTTTTCTGTGGCGTTCTGTACAGCTGCCACCCAGCCATCTTTGCACCTGTGCTAGATATGCCACCAAGCCTCTCTTGAGGCCGATTGAAGAGAGACATTGTATTATCAGCTGCCCCTACTCCAAGCCAATGTTCACTGGCATTTATGGATAATATCGAAGATGTATGAAGAGTGACATTCTTCACACACTTAATCCCACCTAAGAAAACAGTAGAATAAAACAATATAGATGGCTAAAATATCCATATAGAAAGATGCCAGTACAACTACCCATTGCCCTCGAAAGATAAAGTTAACCAGTTTGTGACAAATCCCACCAAAATGGACACAACGTGGATATTGAAAAAGATGTGTGCTTCCCAGCAGTGTAGCCTCCAAAGTATATCATGTCGACTAAGAAATCACAAACCTTAGGTTGACCATAGAAAGAACTAACATAACAAAGCTACAGCATACATCAAAATGCTCAGACCCAGAGGCTCATGCATTTAAAGCAAATGGTAACGTGGTGAAACCTAAACATTTGGGCATGGACATTGGTTGTTCAACTTTTCAAAAAATGAATGTTGTGGAAGTTGAAGTGAGTTATATGCTTTTGCAATTATATGAGATTGTTATTCTGCTCATACACTGCAGAAAATTCCATAATGATTTATAAAATTTTCCAACCTCATATAACCCAAGGGCGATAATTTTACTCTCTTTATCCCTAGAGACCCTTGGCCCCATAAGAGAGTCTACATTTAACTTTTTCTTCTCTAATGCGGTAATTCCACGATAATATAGTTGTGTCATCACAAGTAAAATGGGTCCTAAGTGGAAGATAATGTAATGCAAAGCCTATATATGTATTATATCCTATTTATGAAAGTGGACTCCTCTTTTTGGAAGGGAGGGTGTTATTCTTCAGGATGGGGTACCACATAGTGCCCAAGTGAAAAAATATATTCACATGCATGATCAATGACCCAGTGAGCACACTCTCTGAGAGTGAGAGTCTACATTTAACTTTTTCTTCTCTAATGTGGTAATTCCACGCTAATATAGTTGTGTCATCACAATTAAAATGGGTCCTAAGTGGAAGATAATGTAATGCAAAGCCTATATATGTATTATATCCTATTTATGAAAGTGGACTCTTCTTTTTGGAAGGGAGGGTGTTATTCTTCAGGATGGGGTACTACATAGTGCCCGAGTGAAAAAATATATTCGCATGCATGATCAATGACCCAGTGAGCACACTCTATGAATGTGTTTGAGCTGGATAGAGACAAGGCAGTTTGCCTTTATTCCTCAACGCAAGAGCAATTTGTCAACAACCAAGTTTGTTATTCTCACCTTCATCATTTTCCCAGAAACGGAGCAGACCATCAGTTGAACCTGAAAATTTTGCCACGTTAGAAACTAAACTCAAATACATACAAGGAACAAACGGATGACACGTGTGATTAGTTGACCTGAGATGATGCCCTTGTCTGAGGCAGAATACTCCACACAAAGTACAGGACCCCCATGGCAGGCTAGAACAGCATCACATGTTCCTCGAGAAACAGACCACATCCTTGCTGTCCAGTCATCACTGCCGGTTATGACAGTATCTCCAACCATTCTAATTGACCTATACATGGAGAATTCCAATTGTTAAATTCAACTTCAGATTCAAAGCTTCTAAACGAACATCAAACAATTTACTCACTTAATCCAACTGGTGTGCCCTGACAATTTGTGCATCTGCCTTCCGGCTCGTATGTCCCAAATATTAGCAATCCTTCAAAAGAAAAAAACAAAAGCCGAGGTTTTTCATAGTAAGGTAAAACACTGCCGGTCAAAACTGTCTTATAAAACTAAAAAATTAATCTTAAGGGACATACGCATCTCTTCCTCCAGCAGCCAGGATTCCAGTTGAGTCATCATATTCTACACAGAGAACAGCACTTGAGCAGCGACCCACAGTAGCAACACAAGTATCCGTTCTCACATCCCACATTTTAATGGTCCCATCATGAGCAGCCGTAAGGACACGTTCACCCGATAACATCCGCACATAGTTTACCTGCCAATACCCCAAAAATAAATAATCACTTGTCTGGATTTCAAAAATAAAACCCTTCAACAACCAACACTCTTGATAAAGAATAAGGGGGAAAAGAAGGTGCGCTTTTGATTTTCATGAAGAATTACAAAACAGAGGCTAAGAGGGTATGATCTTTCAAACCTGAGCATCGTGGCCCTTTAGCTCTTCAAGGAGCTGAGTAGTTTGCTTATCCCATACAAGCACAGTCTGATCATCAGATCCCGAAACAACTTTGCCTCTATCGGAACTTATTGCCCGAATTGTTCTGCATAAAAATGAAAAGAAAAGGAACAAGTTAAAATGCTCACCCATGAAGGAACAATAAAAATGGAAAATACTAAAAACTAAAACCATGGAATTAAACAGCCATCAATATCACTTTGCAAAGAACCAAGACGTCAGCCACACCAACAGCAGGAAATTTTAAGAAAATGGAGGGGGAGGGGGGAATCCAGTTACCTTGTGTGCCCCTTTAACGTTGCCCGGAGTTCAGAACCACGCATACTAGGATCCCAAATCTTAATCTGCATTTTAAAAGAGAAATAACATAAGATGGTCTTTGGAATCTTGGAGAAGAAGGATAAAAGAATTGCTCTTATGCTGGAAATGGGGTAGAGGAATCTGACAAAACGTAAAAGGTGTCAACAATCTTGTTGATTTGAGTTTGATGGAATGAAAAAGGTACATCAATAGAGGTCATCACAAAAATAAATAAATAAGACAGCCATGTAATCAATACCGTGCAATCAGTGCTTCCACTGATAAAGAAGCCTGCATCTTCCCGGTCACCAATGAGATCCCACACTTCCCTTCTAGTGACACAATGTAGAGCAGTGACTGCCCCAGTGTGACCCCTAAGAGTGCGCACACTAGTTTGTATTTTCTTTTGCCCAGCTGCAGATAGCTCTTGTTTGCCATTCTCTGCTGCAGCTATATTAAAAAAATAAGCACGGTCATGGTTCAGTTTAACAAAAAGCTGTGGAAGCCAAATCCGATTAAGATTTACACACATTATCACCATTATCAGAAGTCTACTTACGAGCACGGCTAAATGAGTTAGCTCTTAGTGAAGTATCTCTGCTAAACATGCTCTGGACCCAGCTTCTCCCTGCACCAGATGCCTCAGATGGTAGCTGGGCTTCAGTAGCACCATCTTGAGGACGTGGAGATGCCAAACCATATGATGCTGGAGCCTGGGACTTAACAGAGTAGATTCCCCAGTAACCAATACAAATTTGCTTAATGTGTGCCAGAAATCCCCTCAGTTTTATCTGATCCATAATCAACAAAGTTAATTACAATAAGCTCCAGAGATGATATCCCAATTTCAACTGCATTTTGCAATGGTGAATTTCTAACTTCAAAATCTAGAATGATCTCATGTTGTTGACAATAAGTGATTAGGTAAGCCAACGAGATGCTTAACACAAAAGATCAGGATAAACATGACATCATAAACACAGCAGATGCTAAATAGGAAAGGATAGAAATATGATGAAAACAAACTTGCAAGGACGATGCAACTTAACTCACCATATGCTTGTATCCAATATTGTTTTTCCCAGCTATTGTTTCAATCATACCCCATGCATTGGTATCAGCGAGTCCTAAACCAGCCTTTACAATAGGAAAAGGAAATCAATGCTTTCAGTTACTTTCAGCAGGATGATAAGGAGGAAGAAAATTGGGAAAATGGAAATAAAATTACCATGTGAGTAGCCATCACGATTAGTTGACTCGTCACAAGTGTTGCATAATTTGTAGATCTGACAAAGTCAAAAGCAGTATAACAAATATGAGAACAATGTTGATGCTTCTCCAGTCGTCTTTGGCAAATGGTCGTGATCTTCTCTAAAATCAGCATTCATATGAATACTACCCCATGCCGAAATGCATTGGCCGAACAGTGACACATCAAAGAGCATTGGAAAAAATAACAAGGAAAGGACACTCAAACAGAATAAGGAAAAACATTCTGACAAATATCCGATCCTAAAAGTAAGCAAAATAGAATACATGTTACAGCAAGCAAAGGAACAGGTTGCCACAGGGTTTCAAAGTGGATGTATCACGCATAGATATGACTCAATTTTACTGGTAAGATGACCTAAGAGATGGATAACTGATAAAGATTAGTTGAAAATTCAGTAATCAAAGCATATCTTCAGATTTACTAAGTAGTGAACAGACCTAAATCTGTCAAAAGTGGAAGGGAATTGATTTAATGGAGGAAGCACAATATATAAAAGAATAATGTAATTGGTTCAAAACCAGAGGTATTGAAAAGGATAATTCACGAGATATGTATTTATGAAGAGCACATCTAAACAACAATATCTCAAGTGCATCCATTAAAAGAGAAGATGAAAGACTTGGAAACACATTGATTATAAAGGAGCATAATTCTACCATTGTGAATACTGATATACAATTTTTTTTTTTTTGGGTAAAACTGATATACGATTATCCACCAACAACTATGAGTGGGTGATTATCAATTTATTATTACATTAAATTTGGAAAGGCAGAAATCCGGATATATGTCAATGAAAGATTTTAAAGGATATTTCTATCTATAAATAATGGAGCTCATTACATTTCTTCTATAGATACAACTGATAATTAATCTGAAACTTCAACCATCAGAGGGAGAGAGAGAGAGAGAGAGATCAATAGACAAATAGTAGATAGCTTACTTGTTGGAGAAGCGGTCCAGTAGATAATCAAAATACCCTTCCCAAAAGCTGTACAAAACCAACAGTACAAAGTTACACCATTGGTTTGATAGAAACAATGAAATAAAAGCAATTAAGAGATATGTTAATGCGGGGAGGGGGAGAGGGGAGAGAGAGAGTTCTCACAACTTTCAACTCTTACAACTACTCATGAGCGTGAGTTTTAATACAAGTTTACTAACTCAAAAACATCCTAGGAGGTAAATTAACGTAACAGTGTAATCCGGTGATCTGAAAAGCTCAGGTTTGTGGTGCATCTAGAGCTAGCTTGCAAGGATTGAGCTTGCTTCTTTTGACTTATCAAAAAAATGTTCAGGCAAAGATACTCTCACAATAGAAGGATACATACAATGTCATAGTACCAAACTCAGTAACTTAGTACAATAAACGCATACCTTAGATCCTAAATATGAAACTAACCAAAACAAACTAATTAGATAATTTACCAAAAAAAAAAATTTTAATTAGACAAAGAAGGGCACTGATAGCCTTCAATTTTAAGGAAGACAACATTCTCAGTCCCTAATGTTCTAAATTCTATGGTTCAAGTCTTCAGAAATGCATCACTTTAGTCCTACAAACAGAAATTCAAGCTAAGAAATTGGAGAATGACTTAGCAAACCTGTTATCACAGGTCTAGAAAACTGGCCAAGTACACATACACAATTATTCTGCCTTGACCAAGATTATGGCATATTTTTAATTTAGAACTGAAACAGTCAAGATACATTGAGGAAGAAGTAACAATCCCCTGCACTTTAGGGTAAAACATCAATGGTCCATTTTTTATCAATACCATACAAAGTATATATAAACATACATACCGCAAGTCATCCCACACTGGAAGAGAACGAAGATGTCGCTGGACGTAGTCTGAAACATTGTTTGTGTCCTTCTTGTACATTTCGGCAGAAACCTCAAGGGCATCCCTGATAGTGGCCATGTCATTTCGAGAGGCAGCACGAGTAATTGCAGTCTTGAGCTGAAACAGTGGAAAATAATTTGATGAGGAACTTTGCAAGAAGTGCTCATTAACCACTGACATTACTAATGTTCTACATAAAACTATTTAGTTTAAGCATGGATGTATTTTGAGGCTCCAGAACAATATCCTCGGTGGTTATCGAAAGTAGAAAAGAGATTTAAAGTTGTCACAAAATAGAAGGTAATTACAGAATAGGTTCTAGCCAATGTGAATCAAATATGATTGTACCACATCTGCACACGCTAGTATTACTCGTAAACAACCAAATAATTCTGAGCTTCAGAAGTTACACTAGTGCAAAAGGTACAAATTATACTGGCCTTTTTGGTTTTTGGAACTTAAAACGCAAACAATCAAATTAAGAACTTGTTTGGAACAGATGATTGCCAAAGAAGAGAAAAACTAAGTTTAATGCTTTATCGCCGATGAGAACGTTCAACATACCAGTTCCTTGACCGCAATAAATTGCTCATCAGTCAATTGACAGGTCCAACCCTGAGCAAAAACACAAGAAAAGTTAGCATATCAACACTTATAAAGCATTTCCAAAAACTTTTACAATGTTTTGGTATACACACCGAGTGAATGTGCTCCCTTATACATTCTACAAAGCCACTACCACCGATCCCCTCAGCGTCAGACTCGATCAAAGCTGATAACAATGAATATAAGACAGCAAACTTTTAAAAATACAATTCATCTAAAATATCATAAGAATTTCAATTCGTTGCGAATGGGAATAAGGAAAAGAATCTTCAAACATCATACCAAGAATTGTTCCATATTCAAATGACGAAAGGGGATCGTCAGTTGCTCCAAGTTTCAAAAGTCGCAGCCATAATCCCTGTTTTAATGGGGGAAAAAAAAAGAAGTTTCCAATTAAGCTTCTGTTCCAATGGGAAATGAAGTATTCTATAGTTTGGGCTTACAAAAACACATCAACGGGGCCACAATTTCTTTTTACTAGAGGAATTAGAGGAAAGTTTGTCTGAGAAAATATATAATAAAACATTAATTAGGGAATCTGAATTGTACATGTTATTTTACTGGTGGACATTCTTCTATTCTTATATTTGTAAAAGCTTATGTTCTATTCTCTTTTTTTTAGTGCCTCTATTTCTAGTCTCCAATTGCTTTTCTTTATAAAAAAAGACAGTGTAGCCCATCAAAAACGAAAAATTAATCGTGGAAATATGAAACAGGAATTAATTCCAAAAAATTAAAAAAAAAGGTTGTCTCCAGATAACTGCAAAGAGACAAATTGTCAAACGAACACAGTGATGCAAAAACATAAACAGGTACCTGCAACTTCACTTTGATGTCCAAAACCATCCGCTCCCTTTCAGCCTGTAAGAAAATTGTTATGGCTCTTAAGAAAATGCATAGCTCTATCCCACAAGAAACAGAATCATGATAGTTCTAAACACTTACAGCCCTCTCCCTTGGACTGAGGCTTTCAGCCTTGGAATCTTGACCAGCAAACATAGGTGAACTAATAGAAAGGGAAAAGGATAAAAATGTTAAACATTCTGTAACAACATAAGCAGAAGTATGTTTACAGAATTGTAGTAAGTCATCTTATTGCCAGATCTCATACCCAGGACTATGCTTTCCAGAGTACTCAAGAGCTACACTAGCTGCTGCAAGAACCTGCTTTCTCTTTTCCTCTTGCTCTTCAGTTCTGACGTTTGAAGGGAATCTCTCATAACAATGCTTGGTAGATTCTCCTGATAAGGAAATTACAAAGAATACAAGATAGTTTAACCTTTTCTTTTCCAAACTCATAATGCATTAGTGAGACCAGACAAATGGTGTACCTGCTGTTGTTACATGCAGGTCAGATATAGTTATAATCTCAGGCTCTTCTGAAATGGATGGGAAGATTGACATAGCACTTTGACCCCTGCCCATCGCATCTTGCAGCTTATCGAGCAGGTTATTATTGCTTTCAGCGGAACCAACACCCCTCTCAAAATACTCGAAGACACCTTGTGCATCTAAGAATTGGGTTATCTGGCAAAGTCAACCAATAGCGACGTGAATTAACAGCTAAAATTTGATCAGTTTCAGCAAACACAATTCTCACGTCCACATGCCTTAAGCAATTACTAAAATGTAAAACGAAGTATGAAAATCCAATACGCAAGAAAACGTTAAAGATGATGACATCAAAAGCAACCAAAAACTAGAGAACAACTACAATAATAAACAAGTGACAGAGTCTCTTCCGAGTTACCATTGGATCTGGAGGCTGGTTCGTTAACCGAGAACGCTTCTTCAAGAAAGCCTGAGCGTTGAAGGCAACATTTCCATTCACATTTTTTTCCTGATAAACATGAGCGTGGAAAAGAATTTTAGAAACACTTATATCGCAACTCTATCAAAAGAGCATAAGGTAGAGGCATCATACAATAAAATTGCGGTAGCCACCTAATATTGATGCAAAGAACTTCAGGAATATAAGCCTGCAAGAACATGATCTAGAGGTCAGTTATCAGGATCCCTCCATGTAGATTTCATTTGATGATACGAGCACCAAAATAAGAATAATTTAGGATAATATTAAAAGTTCTAGAAGAGGAAAAGTACAATCATTAATAATCGGCAATAATACATCTTGAAATCATCAATTCATGAGCAGAATTAGCTTCAATCAAGTAACATTTTAGGAGTTTTTCATGACAGATGGTAAATACCAGTATTTTTACCCAGCTTAAGATGTATAAGAATGATGAAGCTACAGTCAAGTAAATAAATAACCCTACCTGAGAAAACAAATTTGTAAATCAAGCAATATGTAACAAAATTGTTGAAAGATTCAAAAAGCAGAGACATTATACTGTCTAAAATATCTATGATAAAGGAAATGCATTGAAAGTAGGAACAAAGCTAAAATTTGTGGTTTATATAAGAATTCTCAGGGGTATTCAAGGATCACCTGAGTTGAAGATCCTGATCTTCTCCCCAAGGCTTGCTATTACCAATATGGAACTCCACGACGCCATCGCGTAAACCAGCTTTCATTTGATCAATACCAACAACATTTGGATGCAACAATTTCATAATGTCCCCCCGCAAATTGCTATACTCTGGTTCTGGAATTGGGGGAATATCCTCTGATGTGGAGATAGAGTTGTGCTCAAGGTCTACAACAACTACCTACAACCAAAGTGTGAGATTTGTCAAAATTCATAAACTTTAGAACTTGAAAGTTAACTTGGCCTAGTATGCGTATATATGAAGGCGCTGTTATGAGAGTAATATCAACAGAGGACATATAGGGACCATGAGAGTTCATTCGAAAAAAAAAACAAATACCAAAAAAAGCAATCAGAGAGCTTTCAGGTTTACAGCACATCAAATTACTCATATACACTATAACAAATTCGTTACTGATTGTCATAATACTGCAGTCAAGTTTCATATCAGAGTGAATTAAAAAGAGAGAGAGAGAGAGAGAGGTAATAATGAATCTCAAACTCTCTCCGGAAGAACTCTGTCTGTAAGATAAAATAGAGCTTGATATGATAAGCGGTACTTATGTTCGAGAAAGTTTCAAGTTTTCTTCACATCCTTCAGGATAGTTCTCTCCAGAGAGGAAGAAAACTAAAAGAAGGGAGACAAGCTGAGAATTTCATTTAATATTGAGGTAGTTTAAATAGGTAATGGCTTAGATGTATCACACAACATACAGAAAGTATTCAACCAGATTTTTGGCGTTCATGAAACATAAAGTACTTTCCCCTCTACCAAATCATACAGAAATCTAACTGCTGAAAGGTGGATGATACAGAGAATTGACCACGTAGGGGAGGAATAAAAAGAGTAAAGTCTGGAACTTACACCATCCATTGTGAGCCCATAAGTATCAACACCTGAATGAAGACCCATCATATAGGGTGTAGGAGCATCAATGTAATCCACTCCACTGAAAAATAGGAGTGGAATGTAGACATGCTTCAGAATCAAACAGAAGTGCCAATGTGAGTCGCTCAGAGAATCAAACCACATAACCAGCATTTTGGAGTTAAGAGAAAAATTTAAAATATGTAAGCTTTTCTTTTCTTTTTCTTTTTTTTTTTGGGGTTTTGCAGTATATAAGCTTTCCAAACAAAAAATTAGATTGTTTTTCTAAAAATTATACCTGCCACCGAAACGGATATATCAAATGGCATATTGCCTCTGAAACAAGAGTCAGAAGAGAATACCTGTATGAGCAAGTTAAAAGCATATATTAGAAACCACAAGTCCAAAAGGCAGAGCAAGAAAACCATGAAAAGAGGTAATCTTCATTCAGTACAGGACAAATTTAGAATACAGGGGCCATAAGGAATAAGTGAAGCCTATTTATCAACTAATTTTCTTGGCCAAACAACAATAAGAATTACTTGTCTGAGCGAAGTAAAATCCTTCTTTCTAGCAACACAGCGGTGAATAATTTGATGAAATTATCAACATCTAAGCACTGGATCAAAGGTTGAAAAGAGATCTGCATAAAGTAACAGCAAGCAATTAAGAAGTGCATGACAAACGGTAATATCAAAGCGACCATTGTTCGGCAAAAAATGCAAAAGTACAGAAGTTGAATAAAGAACACCTACATCAGCATGAGGAAGCCAATCCTTTGGTGGAACCTCAACTGCAAGAAGGCTATTTTCGATGGCAAATAGAACCCGATCTTTCCCAGGAGTAGGCAAAGGTACATTGGACACCAGATATGCTATAACATCCCATAATGGCTTGCTAAAAACAAATAAAAAACAGAAACACATTATTTTCGAGAGGAGTACTCCTATTATCGCAAATAAGGAAAGAACTAGCAAGTTGCCATTGTGTTTGCATAACTGTGTTATGTTAATGAGTCAAATCACCTAAAATGGGAAGTAGGACCACAAAACTATGATGCTACACAGTTAAATACATTTGAGCAGCTGACTGACAGATTATACTCATGTCGGGCTATGGTTCCCATACCACACATATAGCGAAAGTAGGTTCCCTCTCAGTTTCTTTTCATTTCTATGATGATCAACAATTTATCAAGATTGAAAAAGAAATAAAGGTCAAAACAAACCTCATATCATAGAGAAAGAAACAAACAGAATATGGGAATTGAATGACAGTCTAGTGGTTAGGTTGCTGTCCTTCCTGGTAATAGACCAGGGTTCGATTCCCACCAGGGGTTGTAAGGAGGGTTTTACCCACATTTAAGTGGGGTCCAGTGGGGTGGATTTAAAAAAAAAAAAAAAAAAAAACAAACAAACAAACAGAATATTTTACACTTTCTCCAGCCACATTATTCCTTTAAGAACACCTTTTTTAGATTAGAGCTGAAAGCAGTTAAAGTTGCAATGACCGGCGTGTTTTAAGAGATGATTCTTAGACATCTTATTTTTCCAGGAAGGAAGTTTAAGTCTCACAAATAAAAAACCACAAGCTCAGATTCCCAATGCACGTGCAAACCAATTCTAAATTTATCCCTATAGCAAACAGCAGAACAGGCAAAAGGAAGTTATGAGGTCAATGACTGATGAAGTCGTGATATTCCTCAGAAATCCTTGAGAGAGAGATTGAGCATTATTTTAAATTGAGCACATTTTCTATCCTATTTACACTACAGATCAACGACGTCAATGAAACAAAAAATGACTAATTGCCACAAAATGGAGGGGTTGTGGGGCACACCTACCCTTCTTGCAGAAAAAGCAAATCATAAATGACCAAAAAATTAAAAATATATATATATATATTTGAAAAACATGACTTTCAGTTTCAGTAGTATGATTCAAAAGAATATTATATTAAGACACCCATGACACTCCAAATATAGAACAAAATCAAAACTGAGATCATACCGACTTCCAGAAGGGGAGAAACAAAGCGCATATATTTCTTCCAAGGCATCTCGTAGAATACGGAAACAAGGTGCACGAGAAACCAGGCAGATGCATTTATCAGCAAAACTATTTGCAGGGATGCGATAAGCTTCAATAATGTCCTCACAAACAGGATCTCGGAAAGCAATGCAACTAACATAAATCTTAGACCCATCTCCCTCTGCCATAAAAATGATATCCAAAAACAAAGTATATAAATGTCAGGCATAAAAACACAAAAATAAGAAATATTAATTTCATATTTAGTTCCTTCAACTTTGAGGACATTGAAAATAAAAACAGAAGGGGTCTGGGATACGGTTCAAATCATATAACCTGACGCAAGCCTGATAATTATTACCTGTCAAAACAATAGGATAGCTCCGTGGAAAGGTTGACAGGTCTTTGGAATCAAACCCTGAAGCATAAAACTCGACACCAGCAGGTAAAACACACTGCAATGTAACAAAACTGGTGATAAGAAAGAAACATAGAACCTAATATGCGATAAGCCCAAGAGCGAATTCAGTAAGCCAAACTGAAACACATATTCAGAGCTAAATATGCAATGCACCAGAACACACAGCAACAAACTGAATAACGATCCTAAGGGTCCGGAAATCGCCTAAGAAACTATGCAAAACACTAATTTTCTCCCAGCTGAAAAATTATCAAACAATTCAATCAAAAGAAACATCAACAATGCACTAAAATATGATTGAGAACTTACAGTGGGAAGCTGAGGAGGCGGGGGAGGATAAAGAGTATGATTGGTGGGCGGATACTGATCAAGCAGCGACGGCAAATACATGATCCCAGTCCCATGGAATCCCTTATCGCCCCCTTCATAGGTCCGAATCTCCGGCCCAACTCCACAAACTACGAAGTACTCGAAGATCCGGTTCGCCATTTGCTACAACTCTTTTTTTAACTTCAAAACAACAGTAACGCCTTTGCTTTCCCCTCTCCCGCAAACCAATTCCAAGAACGGGAGAGAGAGAGAGAATTCTCGATCGTTAAGCGAATCAAACAGTCTATAACTTTGTAAACCCAATGCACGCAAGAAACTACACAGTTTGTTCGAATTCCATCGCAAATTCTTCTAGAATTAAAGTACAATTACGTTATGAATCTTCTAAGATCCATCTGCCCGAATTTGCTTTTACAGTAGTTTTGCTTTGATTTTGTTTTGAAGTTAGTAATCAAATACGCCTTTGATAGGTGAAATAAAACTTTAGGGACCAAATTTGGTAACTATTGAAACATATTGGGGGTAAAATATAATTTAACAAGAATTTGACTCGGTAAGATTTTAAAAAAATAGTAAAAAGCTTGACTGAGAATGGAGAAAAGGAAGGACTATAAATATAAAAGTCAATTCTGGAGTTCCATTCCATCTTCCTCAAGAGAAGAGAGAAACAGGGGAAGAAGAAGAAGAAGACTGGGTAACGTGTGTAGTAGATGAGAAGCTTCTCTCCTGAAACCTGATCTTCTTCTTTTCTTCTTCTTCATCTTCCAATTTCCCTGAATTTATTTTATTTTATTTTTTTCTCTATTGGGCTCCTAACATTATTGTGAAATCTCCACCAAATCGAGCCATGGAAGAAGGTGATGAGTCAACAAGAGTGAAAGGGGTAGTGATAATCACATTGCCGCCGGCGGATAATCCTTCTTTAGGGAAAACTATCACCGCTTTCGCAATCACTGATGAGGATGATTCCCAATTGCCACATCAGTACCATTATCATGGCCAAGTAGAGCCGCCACAGCCGCCTTCACGGCCACTGGACAATCAGAACTCACAAGCTCAGGGGAATTTTTCTCTTAAAAGATTGCTTTTTGGGAGCCCCATTTCAGTTTTATTGATTATTAGTATGTATATGATTGGTTTGTACTCTTGGGCTTCTTTCACCCAAGAGAATTTCTTTGAATTGCGGGATGATGTTGACGATAATCGGAAGTCAAATACCATTATTCTTCCTTTGTATTCTAAGCTGGGATTTCGTGGGAGTGGGAGCTCGCAGAGTGATTTTGAACTTAAGCTTGGGAGATATGTGGATTCGAATGATCTTAGGCTTGGAAGATATTCGAATTCCAGGTTTCCAATGGACACACTGTTGAGTGATCCAATGAGTCAACGGAAGACTAAAACTGTGGTTTCTGCTGCGTCTAAGGTTGATGCCTCTACGGTTTTCCCAATCAACGGTAACATCTTTCCAGACGGGTAATCATCTTTTTCCCCTCTCTCTTCTAGCAACTTTGTCATTTACTAATGTTGTGCTTGATCACATTCAGTTGTGACAATACTATGGCAGTTTGTTTCGAGTGCGCAATGTATTCGATGCATATGACACAGTTACACTAAGTTGTTTGTGATCATGACATAGTTAAGCACATTAATGATCTTATTGCCATTTAAATTTTTAAGAAGTCTGAAACATTGCTGATAGTGGATAAAAGTGACATTGAAATGTGATCTCTTGTTTATTTTCAATGGAATTGATGTAATGCATAAAATTGTACCATCTTTGCACATGATTTTTTCAGGTATCTTCTCTGGTGTATTTGGTGTGGAAAATGTCCTGTATCTATCTTTTTTATACTAAAATGTTTCCTCTTATTTGAAACAAAAACGTTTGTCAGAGTAGGATTTTCTTATCTAAATTGCCTAAACAGTGGGCTCTTAGGAGGTGAATATGCTGATGTGGATTGGTTTTGTTTGCTTAACATCATGATGTGTGTGGCTCCTCTCCTTTTGGAAAATTTCTTCATAATGTGCTTTCACATTTTGGATCTCAAAGATTGACACTTGGTATTTCTTTTCTGCAGATTGTACTTTACATATGTACTTGTAGGGACTCCTCCAAGGCCCTATTTTCTAGATATAGATACAGGTAGTGACTTGACATGGATTCAGTGTGATGCTCCTTGCACTAGCTGTGCGAAGGTGATAATCAATAGATTGCTTTGATTTCAGCTATCAACACTTCTCATTTTTCCTTTGCATAAAAGTTTATGCTTTTACATTCTAAGTTCTAAAGTTGTGTATATATTAGGACTAACTAGATGATGAAAATATATATGCAGGGAGCACATCCATTTTACAAGCCCACGACAAGCAAAATCGTTCATTCAAATGACGCATATTGTGCTGAAACTCAAAAAAATCCAAATACCAAGTGCGAAGCTGAAAATTGTGATCAATGTGATTATGAAATCGAATATGCTGATCACAGTTCCTCCATAGGCGTTCTTGCCAGGGATAAGTTTTATTTGAGCAGCTCAAATGGATCAATTATCAATGCAAATTTTGTTTTTGGGTATAACTTATTCTCTCTGATCCCAGGTTAAACTTTTGAAACCTTTAACTTAGCTTCTGATATTTTGTTTGTTCGTACTTTTGTCAGGTGTGCATATGATCAGCAAGGCTCCCTTCTAAACTCACTTGTAAAAACAGATGGAATCTTTGGTTTGAGCAAGGGAAAAGTCAGCTTACCATCACAGTTGGCAACCCAAGGCAATATAAAACATGTTGTAGCGCATTGCCTTGCCGCTGAAGCGGGTCGTGGCGGATATATGTTCTTAGGAAATGATCTTGTACCGCACCAGCACATGACATGGGTCCCAATGCTTGATAGCACTTCTTTGTGAGTACAGAGCCTTATAAATCCCGGTGTTTCTCTTTCTGTAAAGGTTTCTTCTTTTCTTCTGGCTTCTAAAGTTTAGCCCTTTTGTCATGAGATGTAAAGAGTTTCACAACGAGGTAATAAAAATCAACTCCGAAAAATGAAAAACATAACTGGCTTGGTCCACCATTTTTTGTGTGTTAGCCTAGAAAGTGGTGATTTAAGAGATGGCCAGCCACTATATGTGTAAGAAATGGTGAATGTATGATGACCATGAGTGACTTTGAAATGCCTTTATACTAAAATGTCATCTTGTTTGAAGTAACTTCTCTGACAAAGATGAATGAAGGTTGTTCATGATTTAAGTTTAGTGAAAATTAACTATGTTTGCTTCAAGACTGACAGAAATTCTATTATTATTGTTCTTCAGTGTGAAAAACATTATGAATTTCAGACTCACTTGCATGGTATCAGGGATTCTTTGAGTAAACTTGTATTTTGTTTGCAAAAATAACGGAGTTCTGCAGTAATTTGTGAATTATATTCGTGTGTGTGTGTGTGTGTGTGAGTGTGTCTCTCTAATGTGGGCATATTTTCATGGTGCTTCTCCAATACTTGCAATCCAATTGGCAGAAATGCGTATCACACAGAAGTTACAAGATTCAGCTATGGGGGAAACGTACTTCGCTCAGGTGTTAAAAGTAGCAGGCTCATAGTTTTTGACAGTGGCAGTTCATACACCTATTTTCCCAAAGAAGCATATGCTGATTTAGTTGCCAAAGTAAGTCACCCAAACTGGTTCAAGGATTGATCAGTACTTGATTCGGAGATTTCACTTCAATTCTCTCAACGTTATGCATCATGGTTGCAGATTGAAGGCATTTCAGGTGAAAATCTCATCCGAGATGCATCAGACGGCACATTACCTTTATGTTGGCGAACTACATTCGAGATAAGGTACATTGGCAGAAAAGCTTCACTGACATTGGGCTGCATTTCTTACTGATTTCTTCTTGTTTGACCATTTTTATTCAATAAACATATCCTCGGTTAATTTTTCTTGTTATACTCGTTTATTTGCTACAACACCTAGTTCATTTGAAATTTTTGGTGGGTATCAACCTTTTATGGCCTTGTTTCAGATCTATTTCGGATATAGGACACATCTTCAAACCATTGGATATTCACTTTAGAAACAAGTGGTGGGTTATACCCACCAAACTTCAGATTCCTCCACAAGGCTACTTAGTCATCACTGTAAGTTCTTTATCTCATTTTGTTACAACATTCTTCCATTTGCCTCTTTTTGTAGGCACCATAAGTTTTTTTTTTCTTTTTTCCCTTTCCATTGTAGAAAAAAGGTAATGTGTGCTTGGGAATACTTGACGGGAGCAAAGTACATGATGGGTCCACAGTGATTCTTGGTGGTAAGTTCAATTCTGATATTAGATGATTGTGGTCAGATTATTGTTACCCAATGTTTTTACTAGGCTAGGATTCCAGCCTTTTATTAAAACTTTGAATTTGAAGAATGATTCTGTATAGGAATAATTGTTTTGAAGGGATGATGCTGACCTTTGCTTTCACTGTTGTGTCAAAACGAAATGCATAGACAAACTTGTCAAATAGCTCAGAAAGTGACAATTACATGTTAACAAGGCTGTTAAAGTGAAAAGTTGAAATATCATTCAAACCTTCAGTTTCACTTGATTGAAAGTCTTCAGCATATTGGTTCAACATGATCAACAGTTATATCATATATGCTTCTCCATCATTCAGCTGCATATTGCTTATGAAATCGGGATGTCAAATGCAGATGTTTCATTACGTGGGCAGTTGTTCGTATATGACAATATAAATCACAAAATCGGGTGGATGAAGTCAGATTGTTTCAAGCCACAGAGATATGACAAACTTCCCTTCTCCTGACTCACTTTATGTCGGACAATTACTGTAACATGATGTTCCTTCTTACCTACAGCTGGTTCTTCTTACCTAGAGTTGGTTCTATTCACCCCTTCAATAATTCTGTGTTATATTAAGGAGGTGATTTCCTTTTCCCGTCCTTGTAAATATGTAGAAATGTAGTCAATTTTGATTCACAATTACAGGATGTTGTGTTCAAGTCGTTGTAAATCCATTGTAAAGGATCACTCTTTAATTATCCCTTTCCTTTCATATGGAGAATGATTTAGCACTGTTAGAAGTAAAAGCTGGATGTTTTTCTTTCTTGTGCTCGTCAAACCGACTCACGTGCTAGAACAGTCCTAAATAGCTGCTATCTGCAGTCTTGAAATCCATAACATGATATTGATACTTGAAAGAAACAAGAAGCTTTGAAGTGCTCATTGTGCAAAAACTTCTAAACTAGAAGCCAAAATGCATTCATCATTACGGTAAATGTGTGTTACAGACCACAACATTTGTGGGTTCAACTTTCCCTAAACAGATGTTAGAGATTGTAGCTTATGAACAATGCCAATGAATCCTGAACAACCTACGACAAAACACAACTGTTGCATCAAAAATCGCTAACTGTAAATAGGAAAAACGCCTCATTCATACGTCGCTTTTAGCTTGACATCATAACCTGTTCTGTTGTTGACTGAAGGGCTTGAGTTGCAAAATATCTCACATCGACATCTGGATCTTCACTTAACTCAACAAGACAGGGTCGGATTGACTTCTCCACAACCTGTGTTAAAGAAACCTTTTTGTTAGCAAGAGCTTCATATAATAGCGGAAATATTTTATACTATAGTAAATTTCAACCACAAAACCTGGAACTTCACTCAGAAAGAGGAAAAATGTGAAGTCGAATACTAAGAGAATTGAAGTCGACTTACAGACTCATCAACAATCGGAATGAGAGACTGCAGGACTTTTGCGACATTGAACTTCATATTTGGTACTCTGAAATGAGGCCAAATTAGAGAGTATTCCAAACAATATGCATCCTCTGTACCAAAAAATTAAGAGAAAACTACCTGTCTTTAGCTGCCTCAACAATTACGGGTAGAAGTTTAGAGCAGGTAACTTCAGAACCCATTACAGGAGCAAGAAGTGAAATTGCATGAAGGATGGTCATCCGGTAAAGGTAATGTGGGTCTGTAATCATCTCCAAAACCTGGCAGACATTAGAAAACAATGTAAAGTCCAACTTAAAGGTTGGCTTTTCCTTTGAAGCCAATACTCTCAATTCAGGGTGGAAACACGTAGTAAAATTTCAAACCTGTGGAATAATGTGCTGCATTGCCCATTCTGGACCAAATTCTTCTGCAAGTCGCTTAACATTAGTTGCAGCTGCCTCCCGAATTGAGTAAACCTAAAATTTTGGAGCAACAAAACCATTGGATGGGATTGGCTCTTAAATAGCCAAGTGAAAATAATTGTTCCTAACACAACTCTTTAGTTACAAAAACAAGTCCAGGCTTGTGTAACGTTATGCAGGATCAATGTTTAACATTTGCAATATACACTTTCCAAAATATTCACATGTCCAATTATGAAAGGTAACAAAAAGTTCCTTCAATATTTGAGATAACCGTGACCTGCTTTCTAGTTTCCTACGCACTTCTAAACATACTAGCCACAATCATACACCCAGCAATTCCTCCCAGAAAAATTTACATCTGATCAGTCAAGAACTTCACTAACCTTGTCTTTCAGCCATTGCATGCAAAGAGCACCAAGCTTATCATCAAAGAACCCAACACCCAACTGACTAGCCAATAACGGTATGTACTCGATAATTGCAAGTCGAACTCTCCAATGTCTATCTTCTGCAAGCTCTACAATAGCTGGCAAAAGAGACTGGGAAAGCAGATCAATTCCAATCACCTGCATCATTATAGGATCCACTCATAAGATACTTGAAGGAGAGACTTTGAGCATTTTGTTACATTTAAGCAAGAGATTAGCCAACCTGGTTCACTTGATCAAGCTTGCTAATAATGTTCAGCCGAACATCAGGGAACTCATCCTTCAGAAGAGAAAGGAAAATAGGCAGGAGCTGCTCTATAGTTGCATCCTGATCATCATTGTAGAGAGGCTAAATTATATTCAACCCAATCATGCGAAATCTAGTTAATAGTAATCCATGCGAGTTAAGGATATTATAACATAGTAGGCAAGCTTAGACCAAATATCGTATGTAAAGTAAAGGCCAACACTATGAAGGAAGACTGCAAAAAGTGCACAGCCTGACTGATTCAACAAATCCACCAAAGGATTCCAAGTCTCATACATCTGAGAGCAATACTTTAACAATGGCTATCAATGTTTTCTTCGAGTAGATAATGAAGGACATCTAAGAACTACAAATGCAATGACTAAGCCAAAAATCAACATATAAAGCACAAATTGCTTACGGGTGATTGAAACTTTCTTTTTAAACAAATAATTTTGCTGAAAGGAAACAATGTATTTCATTACATTCCAGACAAAATATGGCATTTAAATTCAAATTTCACCAGCATTATTATAACTTCACATCCCACAAGATGATTAGGATATGCCATACGTAGGAAGCACACAAAAGAAAGTGATCATAAACAACTAGAGCTGTTGTATCATACCCTGCCAATAAACATTTTCATTAGAATTTACATTTCACATTGATTGAAAGTTTACCTTCCCTAAAACAGGTGCCATTCCCATGATGACTGATGCCAAGGCAGAACGAACGTGCTGGGACGAGTCCGATGACAATTCCTACGAAAATGCCAATTTAATCACATTTCTTGTCAACTAGCACAGAAAAAGTGGATAAAATACATCTACTACAATTTAAAATCAACAGCAGCAACCATTAAGAACATATGGGATACACAACAGCTTCTATACCTTCACACAAGGAAGGATATGCTGGACTGCAAGTTCGGGGCTCAAAATACGGCAGAACTTGGTTACTTTTCCTGCAGCAGCTATACGGACTTCAGCTTCATTGTCTCGAAGTAGCCGGACATATGCAGGAACCAAATCCGTCCTTAACAGCAGATCACCGTAAACATCCAGCAGCAGAAAAATAATTATCCACTGGTGTGATGGAGTATGAGATATCTAAGAAATGGAATTCTTACTTAAAAAGGTTTACAAAACTACCTTGTGGCCTCTGGTCCAACAGCTTCACATAATTCATACAGTTGGTTAGCAACCATATAACGAACTCGCCAAGACTTATCCTGCGATATAAAAGGGAGATTAACACGAAAATTAGTAGAATTGTAAATTTTTCGACAGTACAATAAATGCAAGTTGTTTAAAGGCTCAATGAAAATCTTTCACAAACAGAAATTTAAATGCTCAACACCCAAACAGAAAAAGATGTAATCAAACACAAATGTTTAACAAGTTAGATGGCAACGATAGCAATAACTCTGCTGGACGTACAAGAGTGATCAAGAACTGAACACTAAACAAACATAGGAAAAATACGAAGTGACTAGCAAAAAGCTATCATAGAGATGAATGAAGTTGAGAACTAAAACACAACGCACGAGTCAAAGCGAAAGATATTCAAGTGCAAAATCAAAGATAAATGTGTAACAGCTAGCCTACCTGAGAGAAATTAACGATGACAGGGAGAATTTGAGCAACACAATCTTGGGGATCCAAGTGCTTCCCAAGGGCAGCACAATCTTCAACAGCCAACAGGCGAACAGAATCTTGGTCTGCAGTATTACAAATGCATCCTTAGACCAGACATAAGTAACCGCCACCTTAATGTCACATAGGACTTCTTAGGTATATAGTTAACAAGGGCAAGAACTCCTAAATAATCATATGCCAACAGCCACAATCATCAAGTTTAGTTAATATACATAACTTTTTCCCTGGTTAACAATATAGACAAATTTACAATCTTCCAACAGGGGAGTCATCTGAGCTGCTAAGGTCATACCTAGAAACTTTCTCAAATTCCTACTGATATTAGTGTTAAATTTCAAAACATAGATTCATTAGGCTCTAAATGCATGTAAATTGTTCATAACCAATTGTAGATCAAAAATGGCTCCATTACTTATCCACATGGTAATTAATAAAAAGCACAACAAAGGTCCTCTAACAGATGCATTGTGCATGGGAATAGGATTTAAAGGCAGCTTACCCTATGAGTTTTTTACATTGAACATAGAAAACAAGGCGAAACAACAGGAGGCAATGGATTAAAACATACAAAGAAAACACGGGAGAGAGACACTTCGTATCATACTGATGGCTAAATTTTTGTTACCGAATTAAAATCTCAAAAAGTACCATTAGCCTAAGATTACGAACTAGATTTTCAAGGGATATCATAGCATTAAGTACCATCATGAGTCAAATCCTCAAACATTGACATGATGTCAGTCTTCAAATAAGATGGTTCAACTGTAGCAGCAAACTTCCCGAGATTCGTTGCAGCAGCTCTCCTCACCATAGGCATGTCATCTTGACATAATTGGCTGTATATAGTTCTTAACTCAGTTTTTAACGCCTCCGAAGCTGATGGATAAGCAATATGAAACAATCCACAAGACGAAACTCTAGCTGTAAACCACTCACCCGCAGCTAGCCTCTGAACAACAACAAAAAAAAAAAAATGAAAATATATTAAGAGGAGGTGGAAAGATAACAAAGTGAGCAACACCATTCAAAAAATCAACACATAAAAAGTTCATGAACAAGCAAATCCATAAACATCAGAAAGTCAAAAACAAGATCAGCTACATATTCTTTTGGCCCATAAGCCACCATAGAAACATAAACAATTAAGACAGGATATGTTCAATAGGAAGACATAAATGGAAATTTATACAAAAGTTGGAGAACCATTACACATGATAGCTGCCAACACTACTACAAAGGTCCCGAACTCCATGTCATTCAGAAGGCTGTAAGAGACTAAACCAGCCTTGAAATTGATCATGCATCACAAGATGCCAACAGAACTGACAGTTCTGACAACAATACATCATAAAACACACCTCACTCCCACCAGCAGAGATCAGTAGGCATGAGTTGATTATAAGGCACACAACGACCAGAGAAAGGGAAGTTTGAATATGACAATGGAAAAAAGATACTAGCTGACAATCAGATTCCCCAAGTCATCAACATGTCCAACACGCATATACTAGATTTCCAATGATCTATTACTATTATTTTTATTTTTTTTTTGCCTCTTTCTTATTTACTGATCCTTTACTATTTTTTCTTTTTTCCCAAGTCGAAAATATCTCTACACAAAATCTAAGCAGCGTAGATTATAGATTCCATATAGGTAACTATTTTGACCTCATGATACAACTTTCATGTATATTAAATACTCAACAAACATTAAATTAATTCTGCAGATAACAGAACCTTCCATAGCTTCAAAAATGCATCCTACACCAAACTACGAAGATCCAAGAATACACGAGTCTTATAGAAGGTGAATATGATCAGACCTACCTAACTCAATTCAACTATCACTCTTTTTCTTTATTACAATTCAACTATCACTGTTATTAGCTTAAAGCAACCGAATGCCCCCATCAATTTCAGTAAGAACGATCCACAGAAAAGGAAAAGGTACATTATGTATTCAGTGCTATTTTCCACTTGTCAAGCGAGGTATTTTGCATCAATATTTCCGCAAGATTTTCAAAACTGTAATATTTCCTTAAAAGTCATTCTGTACCGGTGAACGGTTCATTCCCTAAACATATTAGCAATAAATAACCGTCTCCGAAAGCTATCATTGACACACAAATCAATGCTAACATTCGCTTCCATAAAGCCAAATTTCCTAACCAACAGGTGATTCCGTTTTTGTTGTTCCCACCAAAACCATCTAAGAATTTAGCCTCGTCAACTTTAATGACTCAACAGCGTACCATCACACATTTTATTCCCCCAATTGAATTACATACTTTACAGTTGCACAAGTAGATCACATTTTTCCAACCCAATCAAACACGGATACTATTTTCAGCCAAAAGAATTTCCTCCAAATCTCATACACTAAAAACGATTCATTTTCAAGTCCAAGTAATTCTCTTTCAAAACCTAAGCCCAAAAAGAAACAAAAATAACCCAATAAAGAAAGAGTTCATCTCAATCCATTTATTTGTTAAGGTGAAACAACTTGAATGAAGCAAACCTTTACGAGTGGAATAAAGTATTCAAGCAAATCAGCTTCCCTCATTTGAGATCCAACTCTACAGAGCGACTCCACAGCTTTATCCCTAACACATGTCTCCTCGACGCTGCAAAGCCCTTCGAGGGGAGGCAGTAACACGTTGGCATGCTCAACACCGCCGATATAGGGCACAAATACCCCCAATTCCTCCGCCATAGAAAGCAGCACCTCATCGTCGTCGTCATTGTTCTCGCTCAGAAACGGAATCAGCTCTTTCCGTGTTCTTTCCTCTCCAAGGGCACGAGCGATCGTGGAAAGCCGCCGGATCGAGTTCAGGCGGAGCTGAATGTCTTCGTTCTTCAATTCGTCGATCAACACAGCGATTGGATACAAAGGTTCATCAATCATCGCCATGGTAAATCGAATCCTTCTTCTAATTCCAATGCAAAAATACTTATTTGAATGGTTCTAATGGAAATGGGATTATTTGAACGGGTCAGATTTCAAATTCTGAACTGATAATGGAGTAAATTAGGGTTTTTGGGTTGTGAAATGTGAAATTTTTTTTGAAGATCGGATAATATATCTCAAAGTGGGGAAGGAAAAAATGGTAATTGTAAAGTAAATTTGTTTATAAGGCCGTGTTTGGCTTTGTCGGGATCTTTCACTGTTTTAATAAGTCTGGAATATATACATATATGTACATTTCAGGAAAAAAAAAAAAAAATTGTTTTTTTTTAAGTAGATCTAACACTATGTAGTAATACGTATGCTGTTAATATTTTAATTTTTATTTTTTTTGAGTAAGAAAATATTTTTAGGTTTAAGATGCAGCATGTTTTGAGATTGTTTATGTTTAAACAAATCCTAAATTAAATTACGTTTAAATTTTATGTTATTGAACATTACTTCATGCCCTGTCACACCCACCTTAAATTAGATTGTAAGCGTAATGACAATGATATATTTGACGTGATTGATCTGAAAATCTTTTCATAAGAATTTATACAAATAAGAATGCGCACATTAGAGAACTCTTATTATATTTTAATTAAAGAGAGCATTTGAGAATATATATGAAAGGTCAAAGCAAAAATAATTCCAACACACATACTGAAGAGATCAGAAACCAGGATCAACAAGTTTAATTCTTCTGTATATGCTTTTGAACAGTATTTATACAATTACCAATCTAATCCCAGTTACAAGGATCCACCTAGGATCAATGTTAGCACTCTACAACAGAATTCTCTGATCATCTTACAGACTGTTTTTCCTAAACATGTCAGACTGTTACTGATCTGTTGATCTTTTGCTACGGTTGCTTCTAAGCTTTGATGTTAACAGTTAGGCTCCTATTTCAGTAGAGTATCTTCTCTCTTTGATAATCTGAGCAGCCGCCATAATCTGGCCCCAAAACCGACTTGCTCCACTGCCTCAGCCAAAGTAGGTTCTTTAAACTTAGCCTTTTCACTAAGTTCTTCGAAAGAGTCAACAAGGTTTTGAAGTCTAGCCACAAATTCAATGAGAAGAGATGCAAATGTTGCTAAAGACAAGGCACTGGCGCTTTCGTATGTCTTTGATTCCATGTCTTCAGGTGTTTCGCCTGGCGATACCTTTCCAGGATGCGGCTCCTGCTGTGCGTCAGCCATGTTCCCTGAGGGGACTGCTGCTGCTGCAGGACTGAAGTTCAAGTTTGAGCGATAGCCTAAGCCGTCCCAGCTCCTTGATATTGGATGTGATCGAATGTCAATTACAACATCATCAGCGGAAGTAAGTTCATGGGATCTATTTCTATCATCACAAATGTCTATGAAATCCTGAGGAACCTGGTGCTCCTCAGAATTTCCAATTTCCCAGCTTTCTGAATTGACAAGGAGGTAAGATTTCTTATCCACCTTTTTCTGCAATGCTTCCGCGGCATCATGCACTTCATACAGCATGTCACCTTCATCCAGTTTCTCCATCTTTTTTACCTTGCTTCCAAGCTCCCGCAATACTTCTGCACATGCAGTACCTACCCTTTGGAGTTCATTACGGAACACCTGTCTTTTCTCAGCAGGAGCCTAAAAAACAGATATCAAAAATCCATTATCAAATGTTTCCTCTAAAATAGTCTTAAAAATACAACGGTCAATGTAACCTAAGATACTAATTTCCTTAAGTGACACCATACTTGAAACCAAGAGAGGCCAAATGAGTTTGGTTTATCATTAAAGAAATAACAGCATAGTAAATTTGAAGGAACTTGACAACATGCTGAATCCAGATTATATGAATGGTCAAAAATCATATGACGAATGGGTTTAGTGGATGTCTCTGGGTAGTATGAAAGCCAAAGATCTCGCAGACTCAAAAGCAAATACTAATGTTAAAATTTTTATGTGGCAGTATAAGAAATCGATCTTGAATGAACATTATATCATCTAAGTTTTCTGTTGACAGTAGAAAACTCGTAAGAGATTATGTTTACCTGTATTTCTGATAGTATACATCCATGTAAAGCCATCACCATGAATGCACAATGCCTTAAGGCACCACTAACTTCAAGAAAGTTTTTCCATGGATATTTGAACGTCTTGTAAGGACCATGAGGAGGCTCCCAAACAGCAAAGCTTAACTGGAAACACATGAATCCGAGTCAGGATAAAAAGTTGAATTTCTTTCATTTGGTAATTTAAAGAAGTTGAATATCTGAAACGAGATAAACTGATAAAGGAGCTTACTAGTGCATCCTCCTGGCTAGTGGATTCAAGAGCGGCTCTGTAACCGCTATACACTGGATCATCAGAAGCTTGGTAAACAAGTATTTTTGAAGGGACCCTCTGATATTCTACACAATTAAGGTACCCAGTGATGCAACCTGCAAGCAGACTTAGTGAGTCAGGGTACCTAGGATCATACATAAAAAACCCGTGCTATATAGTAAGCATAATGAATTCTTAAACAATGTAGCAGTGACGGATACAAGAATTGAATATCAACTTACCTTCTAAGGAGTTAGCAACGCTAGAGAAATTTTTAGCCACCAAGTTGTGCAGATCTTCACCTGCCCAAATTGGACAAATACATATGTTCACTGTCAAAGCAACACCTGCACCTAAGGCGATGAGCACAAATCGAGTGATAGCTGTATGTGTGAATTCACTTGTACGGTACCCAGAAACCATGATGAAACAATATGTTATCAGGAACACACGAAATCCATACTCATACGGCTTCATTGTAGGATATAGCTTTGCATAAGTAATAATAAAGCCTGCAGTCAACAAAACATCAAAGAATGAGAATCATCCAGTCAGTAATGAGCAAAAACAAAGAAACACTAAAAGAACTACCTACAAAGGTGACCGGTATCAGACCTGTGATAAAAATTCCAACGATGACAACCATCTCTTCCCACTCTCCCACAAGTTGTGACAACTTTCCCATTCCAAGCGCGAGCCCTCCAGCTGATAATGTCCCTAATCCACGGTTGAAACCTTTGCTCAGAGTGGCTCCTGCAACCCAACAGAGATGTTAAGCTCCAAGTAATCATCTATTCTAGTATTCGAACAATAACCACATACAGTAAAAAGAAAAGGCCGAGAAAGAAAATAAGGGGTGAATTCTAAAATTTAAAATAACAGCCAGACTCAAAATCATTTAATCACCCAAGTTTAAAACTATAAAATGTTGACCAAATGACCAAGAAATGCAGCATTTTATGAATAAATAAGCTAAGGCACTATTCCAGGTACCAACTAACGAGATGGACTTTGCTTAAGATAGGCACAATTTAGAACAGACCTCAAAATCCCATTGATTAAATACCAATATTTAAACACGAACAAATGCAAAAAGAATACATTTGTTCTTTTTCGAGGCATTACTTCAAATAACTTCTTCTTAGAGGTATCTCAAAGACAAATAGTGGCCAATTTATTTGGCACAGTGAACAGCCAAAAGTCCAAAAGTGTCTACTGTCTACCCTTCTTCCGGCACATCAACACATCATAAGAGTCTGTAAACCATTAGTAAAAACTTCCAACAGGCCCTGAACATTCTACCAAGATGAGTTTCTGATAGTGAAAGTGCTTCAAACTTCTTGAAACTCCAAGCACATAATTGCTTCCAATAATTGAATTAAAAAACCTAACTTACATCAGTAATTTATGCTTGCTTACTAAATTTGAACTCAATCTTCAGCTTTTCTATCATATCTTTAGCCCTTCATGAATCCCGAACCTTGTTACTACTGAACTAAAATAAGAACATCACTTTCTCACTCCCCCACAAGATCTCCATAACTATAAAATTAAAACTCCTAGTTGACAAAAAAAAATCGCCTCTCTCACCACCTACAGTATACCCCGGACCACCCATAATTAATAATGGCAGCAGACAAACAGCCCACTACTAACACTCTTCAAGAATTTCCAAGAAATACAGGAAAAAAAAAAGAAGGGAAAAAAATATTACAACAGATGAATTTTACCTATACTGAACTCAAAGACCACCACAACAGTTAAAATAGCCCAAACAGAATATCTGCTGATATCTTCCAACGGCTCCTTCAAGAAAATCATGAAGGAAAGAAGCATCAAAGCCAAACCCATCTTGGCTGAGAACACAATCTTTCGTGGGTCGGAAATGCCCATGTCCCAGGCCTTACGCACAACCGTCTTAGAATCCTTCCATAGCTCAAAAACCTTGTCACGGAACAATGAACAGCACCGTCTCTCACTCTGATCATCCAAAGGGTGATAAAAGCTGGGAAGACCCGTATGGTAAGAAGACAACAGCTTCCCTCTCTCCCTTTTCTCAGCAAAACTCTGCCTGAATGACCCTGTTCTGGCCACCATCTTTGTTCAAATTGATGTTTTTTTTGTTTCTATTACCTTCTGGGTTTCGGTTACGGAAAAATATTCAACAACAATGATTGCTTGTACATTGTTGCTAGTAGGATTTATATGGTAAAGAAGGAAAACAACAAAGAATCAAGAAAGGAATTGGTGGAATTGGTTCTGATGGTTCTTTCTGAGAAACGGACTTCTTTCTGGAGTTTGTAAAAAAACTTACTGTTAAAGAGTTAGGACTCCTAATTGTCGTAGGAAAGAGAAGATTGTCTTTTGGTTTTTATGGGTTCTTGGGCTTTGTGGGCCCCAGTGTTTGAAGCAACCGATGATGAGTTTACAAGTGGAGTTTGGATTGAAAGTGGGCCCGGTTCGGAGAATTGTGAAATTCACGAAAGTTTTTTTGATTTCTTTTCTTTTTTTTTTCTTTTTTCTTTTTTGGGTGTATTGACAAATTTTAAAAAAAAAAAAAAAATTCATAAAATCTTGCCTTTATTTTTTTTATTGTGTCTTTTTGTGTGACTGCGACGGAATTTTGGGAAGAATGTAGCAGTGTGGTGCAAGGAAAATGGCGGGTTTCGAACATTTGTTTTCATGTAGACTTTTGATCAATACGGATAATGATTTCAACATTATTCTAGTCAATAGTTCCCTTACAAAAACATTTTAACATCGTTTCTATTGGCCGAACCGAAAATCACGAAAAATAATGGAGATTATTATGACTTCCAGCAAGTTTAATATATTCTTACTTTCAAAAAAAAAAACCGATAAAGATTTTTTGGTATTTTTGCAAACTTGAGACAATAAAAGTAAAACTATAATTTTAAAGGAGCAATTATGTGAAGGTGTTACGAGAGACTCTGTGTAGTAGAAGATAGTTATCCAAAATCCACTTATTTTCTCCCTTTTAATTTCCTTGGAAAGGACTCCATAATCCATATCATTAGTACTAGTTTCATACATGAATGATTGCTCAATATCATGCTCACTCTTATTTTCTTTTTCTTTTTTTTTTTCCCCATGGTCAATTAGGCATCATATCCCTCAAAATAAAAGAGAGGAGGAAAAATCACAAAAGAAAAAGACAGATTGACACACAAAGAAGCAAGGTACATATATGTAATAATAAAGTGCAAAACTAATGGCTTACAATAAAACGTACAAGCTAGTGGTCAAACATCCGTTACTCCTCGTAAAATTGCCATAAAAATTCAATCCTTTCTTCGTTGAATTAAGTTAATTTGTGCTATTTTTCTCATTTACCTAGTTTTAATTTCGCTATAATATGTTCAACCTTACTCTTCCGGTAAGACAGAACATTCAAAATCATGCGTAGGATTCCAAATGAGATGTTTTTTTTTTTTTTAATAATGTTCTGCAGCAAAGATTTTCCCAATAAAATGACACTTTCTTTTTTAATGCTAACAAATAAGAGAGACAGTTATTTTGAAATTATAACAACATATTTAACCGTAAAATGAATAACGGAAAATAATATAAAGTGAGGATTCCGTAAGAATTTTGAATTGGTGACAGTACATTGCTTATGATCTACGAACGCATTTCATTGTCAGCAGTGGCTTGCGATGGACTTACTAGTTGAAATTGAAGATGGCGTCGCTTCTGTGAGATTATGAAACATGTATCAGCACTTGAATCACCCCAAAATATGCAGTCTTTTTTAGCTAGTGCACTCATTTTACTTTTTCCATCTCAAAATAATTTTTCATTCATTCAAAAGATTATATTTTCAGCTCACCTCTCGTACTCCTTTTACGTAATTTAGGCCTTATTTATCCAACCACTTATTTTACTTTTTGTCCCACTTTACATCTTAAACGCAAAACCCAATGCACTATCTAAACAACTTTTTAATTTACCTTTTAAAATGTTGTGTTTGTTCATTAGACTATTGTAAAGTCTTTTTTTGCGTTTGGTCACTGAACTATTGTAAAGTATTGTATTTTGTCACTAAACTATTGTAGAGTCTTGTGTTTGGTCATTATACTATTGTAAAATCTTCATTTTGCTCACTGAACTATTTTAATTTCATAAATGATCACTATACTATAATACTTTTTAAATCAAAAACTAAACTATTTTTTAAATCTCTTCTCAAATCCAAATAAAAAACGAAAATAATACGTTGTCCAAACAAACTCTTATTATCTTCGTGTTAATTCTCATTTAAAAAAAAAAACTTAAATGAACCGTTTGAACTTTTTTGTTTTTTGTCTCAAAAAACCCATTGGCGTCAAGCGTGCGGGAGATACGAGTAACTAGGATAAACTTTGTCACATTTGTTTTTCCTTTCTTAATCACAAATCTAACAATTGACTTAGTTCAAAGAGAAGAAGAAAAAAAAGGAAAAATGGTTAATCGAATTCTGAGATTTACATAATTTACATGGCTTAAACTCTACTAGCGTAATTATATTGCTCCCTACCTACTATTACAGCAGCACAATATGGGGGTTTTTTGAGAATATATTCTTCTCACTAATACAGTGCTCGAAATGCAAAAGAAAAGAAGAAGAAAAAGAAACTCGATTTTGAAGTTGATGTTGGTTGGCATTGGTGAATGCCGAGATTAGTTTTGTATCATCACAATGGTAAAAACATACTCTACAAACACAAGTTTTCAAGTTGCAACTAGCTTTAGGCCTTTAGCAAGCATATGCTCGTGCATGTCGGTTGGCATTGGTGCCCAATAGATTGACTTTATCTAAATTATTACTTTCATAACATAAAAATAGTTTATATTCAATTTTGAATTTTGTACTATTTTTAATATAAATTAAAAAATTCAATGTGTACTACTTTTTCGAGACGAAGGTATTATTTATTTTTTCCCTCTTTACAGATATTGCTTAAGACATCCTCCTCCTTAAGTACTCGAGATATTGGAATTTCATGTACAAGTGAATCATTTACGTATAAGAACATCTTAATAGATACCAAGTAATTAATCTGTGTACAATTGATCTCACTTAATACTCTTTCTGTTCCCAAACAATAATCAATAAACACAGTATGAATTTCAAAATTCAATGTGATTCATTTTGAACGGTGAATAATTGTGGAGTTTGATACTAGAAGGGACTAGAGAGTAGTAGGTCAGATAGGCTATGAACATATCTAATAGAAATTTTGATATAATTTGTAAAGTGTAAACCCAATCAAGCCTAAAATCAAAGAGTGTCACATCTCAACTACCACTCCCACCAAAAAGGCTTCCATTAATACTCATTCTTTGATGCACTTTATGATCAGTTGTCATTCAACGCAATTTTGTATTCTCAACACGCTAAGAAAAACTTCTAAGCAAATCTTTTGCCTCATGGGCTGATATTGCATTACAAAACTTTAGAATAATGCATAAACTAGATCATACAAATAACAATCCGATCAAAAGAAGTATTCCTTCTATAAGTACTATAATCATTTTGGGACGAAAGAAATAATATTTCTCACTTCTTAATACCTGTTCAGCTACTCTGATTAAAAGAAAATGGTGAAAGGAAAGAAAAAAAAGAACATACACTAGCAAAGGTTTATACTTTATAGCAGTGTGAGTGACAAGCTGAAAATTAAGAAAGAAAAAATAAGTAAACAATTTCCTGAGATCATTTGGCAGTGGTTGCACGAGTAAGCGTCACCTTCTTCTCTAATACATGAAACACCATTGACTCCACATCTGCAGCACAATAGACTCCACTTTATTACTCAGCAAAATCAATCACAAACTGTAAATTAACAAAAGCCCTTTTGAAATCTCTATGAAAAAGTTTCTATTTCTGAAAATAGCAAATCCAAATTCTAAATTGTCGAACAGAATCTTTCAAACAGAAAACTATTTTTATCAAAGACCAACAATGAGCTTAATTTATACCATCAATTTTGGAAAGTATGCCAGCGACCCTTCTCTCGCATTCCCCACACCTTAAATCAGCTGATATTACAAGCTCTTGATCCTGCTTTCAACATTTTAACTTAATCAAACTTCAGTGGAACTGATCAATAAAAGGGTTCCTTAAACTTAAAACATTTAGCAAGAAAGAAAAACGTTAGGCCAAATCAAAAGACTGAGTAAGATGAAAAACTCACTGCAGGAATGGACAAGCAATTTGCATTGGTTGCTCTGCTTTGTGGAAGCAATAACCTTCTCTGCTTCTGCAATCGAATTCTTGCAAACTCTTTCTTGGCCCAAGAAAGAGGATTCATGTCTTATGGCTCAAACTCAACAAACTGTGAAACATATGAAGAACTGCTTTGAAATTTGGAGTTCTAATACCTCAGAAAGCTGATTCAATTACTTCAAAGCTTTTGATGTTCACATCAACTTTGCCTATGCTACATGCAAAAGAAAAGTGAGCCCTGATAGAGAAAGAGAGTCAGGAGGACAGATGATTTTCTGGTACAAAAACTCAGCATTTTGATTAAGAAAACTGTCTGTATTAGTATTATTGAAGTGCCTGAGGTTTTCAGCCACAGCAAAGAGATTGAGATGGAACTTATGTAGCCCACATGCTATTGAAGGGCAGCTATAATTAATCTTGAGAAAGACTCTTCAGCATTTCGGTCCATCTTAGTTTCTTTTTCCTTATATTAATAAGTAAAATATAAGAAGAAATATCTTTAAATGGCTTTTATGCCACTCCTCCCCTGTCCCATAATAAAATGATAAAAACTATTTTATTCATCATCAGATTTGGCACCAATATTCCCTTGCCCTCTGCCTCCAATGTTATTGAATACCAATAATGATACAATTTTTTTAAAAAAAATTACTCATACCTATCATCACTTACACTACTACTACAACAAATTCGAGTCACATAATTTATTTTTGGTTCGTAAATCCAACAAGTAGTTTAATCGTTACTGCATGTTCATACTAGTGTCCGAACTCTAGTCTTATTATGATTGATTAATGTATTGATTTGTTGACTGGCCTTCAATTGCGTATGTGCTTTTGTATTGTTGAAGTATAAGCAGTACTTCGAAAAAGGGACATGTGATGTGTTTCCATCATTCAATTAATAACATGATCTAAAGCTTCCGAAATAATTAAACAAAGAGGGGAAAATGAACGAAATTGAAGTTAAGGGGGACCGACCAATTGCGTTACCAAACTTTCAATTGTTGTACTTTTAATTAATTAAGTAAACAACAACAATCATCCCAATGTAATGATGAATAGCGGCTAAAAAGTGCACTGCAAGAATCTGTCGTTGATCTGGGTTATGGTTTGTTTGCCAGTTGAAATGTCCAATTTCAATGTCTCAAGTAAATTTAACCAATTTGGAAATTTTAACAAAACTTATTATAAACAGAAGACTTCTCCAGTTGTGTGGGCTGATTTTGTTTTCTTTTTTTTTCCTTTATGATGTGGAATCTGGAAAACTTTTTTAGCTTTGATTTGATTTCCAGTTTGGTATTGAAAATGTGAGAATGTGTGTTTTAAAATAGTGAGTATTGTGATTATGGTTTCAAGAGGAAACCAAGGTCCGTAGTGTGATTCAGATGTGTAACTTGTCAAATTGTGATGAAGACCGTAAATTTTCAAGGAAAGTGACGATCTTTATCATTTTAGCTACGATAATTATACTGCTTTTTCCGTCCCAAAATGATTGTTAAGTAAATTTTTCGTACATTTGTTGTCAGCAGCTTGGCATCTCCTTGCTAAAATTTCAGTCAGCTGAATTAGTAATCTCATGAGTTCTGCATTTCCTTAGCCTAGCATCAGAAGAATCATGCACGAAGAAGACTAAACAAAATGCATTTTTGAACTAAAACCACATTCATCAAGCATGCTGGATCTCACACTTAAAGCAATGCAAATGAATCCATTTTTTATAAAGCCTTTCAGAATGCAACTACAAATCCTTCTCTTATTGATCTAAACTTCCTGATAGCCAAAAGAAAACTCTGAGACAAGAAATGGCAGCTTCGAGTTTCATGCTTCCTGTTGCCACCATTTCTCTGGCGCTCTTATTCTTCCTACCAAATGTCCAGTCACAAAGTACTGGAGACTGCAGTTCTGTTCTGCTTCAGTTGGCACCTTGTGGACCATTTGTACAAGGCTCAGAGCCGTCTCCGGCGCAGTTTTGTTGCAACACTCTCAGGCAACTGAATAGCCAGCAAGTGAGTAGCCTCTGCCTGATGCTGAATGACCCTTCTATCGGCGCTTTCGCTGTTAATAAATCGCTGGCTTTTGAACTCCCAGACCTCTGCAACCTTCCTGACAACATGTCTGCTTGTTCTGGTATGTTTCTATTGTGTTCTTTAACCATTTTACTTGTGATTGACTTGGGTTGTTTTGACATGGTAGTTTCTATAGTGTTTTCTGAGCTTCTGCTGGTTTCTTGTCTTACTGAAGGAATGCCTGCACCACTGCCTCCCAGTTCCCCTACTCCTCAAGTTTCACTTGGGGCAAAAAGAAATGATACTGTTTCTGGTATGCTCAATGATCTACTTTCATATATGCTTTACAAAGCCACTTTTAGCCTTTTGATTTCTGCATTTTGCAGACTTTCATTCTTACAAACTCTCATCTATTGCAATTTCAGCTTCTCCAATTGTCAAAGTGAAACCTAGGTTTGTTACGGAACCTCCGATTTCTGGTGCAAAGTTGAATGTGGTGAATCACCTGGTGGTGGCATTCCTAGCTGAGACAATCTTTATTGCAGCAGCATACACTTTTCAGTCCTGGAGTATCATGTTCTTGTAGTTTGAGGGATGCATTAGTCTGATATAGGGTTCACTTTTATGTAATCCAGTTGCAGGTTTGCAATAATTTAGTTAGTTAATAGAGCTTAAGATTGTAGCCAAGAAGTAGTACTCCAACAATTATTTTCCAGTCTGTCACCTAAATTTGAGGATTTATGCATATTAATCTGAGAACATGGTTTTATTTTGACAAAACATCCGTTTTAGGGTTTTTTTTTTTTGTTTTTTTTGTTTTTTATTTTTTTTCTCAGGACATACAGAACTTGATAGAACCGTTACATACTACAATGAAATGATTTCTGATTTCTGAGCCTCTAAGAATGAAATGATGTCACTATCCATATATATATAAACGCTTGTTTAGAACTTCAGATATAGAAAAAGCTATCGAAGAACTATATCTGATATAGTAGAAGAAGCTCATCTTCAGTTAAATCAACTATATAATTCAGCTCAATATATTACCAATGGAAAGCAAATGAAAGATACTTTTGTACAGGATTTGGGTACCTTTGCTTGTATTTCACCACAATTTCAGGGCAAATGGAAACAGTTCATCAACTGAATTGGGAAAACGTTGCAGTCAGTCTAATATCATTTCACAATTAAATTTACCAAAATGAAAATTTCCTAAAACTGATTAATGGAACACTTCTTAGTTGTGGGTTAGACCTTAACAGTAGGTCTTTCTGCATGGCCACTGTTTTAGCTCTAATTTTGATTTGGCTTGTTTTGAAAATGTAAAAATATGTATTGAAATCGCATCCTGTGATGTTTGCAGAGGAAAAGCTCAAGATATGTGATTCAGATGCGTCGATTTTAAATCTCGCTTAAGACGGTAAATTTCCAAGAAGGCAAGTGACCATCGTCAATCATCTGGCACACTACATTGGCAAAGTTTCCAATCCTTTTGTTGTCAGCTTGGCATCTCTCTGCTGGAATTTCAGTCAGCTTAATTGGTCAACACAAGGATTCTGCATTTCATGTGAAACTTCTGACTTAAAACTAAGTTAACAGTTGCCATGATGCATCGGAAGAATTATGCATGAAGATGAAGAAGACTGACTTCCGATGCATGTTTGGACCAAAATGACATTCATCAAGCATGCTGCAGCTCACACTTGAGCAATGAAGTAATTCATTTTATAGAGCCATTCATAATGGATACTCATCCAAGCAAACACGACCCTCTTCATTGACCTAAACTTCTGATAGGAAGAACACTAAGACGGGAAAAAAATGGCAGCTTCAAGTTCAAGATTCATGCTGGCAGCTACCATTTCTCTCATTCTTTGCTTCATACCAAATATCCAGTCACAAAATGGGGACTGCAGTTCTGTCCTAATTCCGTTGGCGCCTTGTAGACCATATGCACAAGGCAGAGAGCCAGAACCGACGATTATGTGTTGCGATAACTTAAGGCAACTGAATAGCCAGCAAGTGAGCTGCCTCTGCCTCTTGTTGAATGATAATTCCCTCGGATCATTCGCCATGAATAAGACATTAGCCAGGGAACTTCCAGACCTCTGTAGCCTCCAGAACAGCTTGCCCAATTGTTCAGGTATATTTATGTCGCTTGTCAAGGTTTTAAATTGTGACCAACTTGATTGTTTGACAAAGGTGCTTTCTCAAGGTTTGTGAGCATTTGTTGGTTTCTACTTTCTTGTCTTGTAGAAGAGATGCTGGCACCAGTTCCTCCTAGTTCACCTACTCCCAAAGTTTCATCAGGGGCAACAAGTAACGCTACAATTGCTGGTAAGTATAACCCATTTATGCTTTTTTACTAATTGATCAGAATCATAGAATACTCAAATTGTAGAGTCTGAAGTGTAATAGCAAAGCTGAATGAGGGTATAAATATGTGGGAGTATGCAACTGAATTACTGAATCCCTTTTGATAACCTTTGACCTCTGCATTCCACATACTAACAACTCTCATATTCCAATTTCAGCTTCTCCAATGGTCAAAGTGAAACCTAGGTTCAAGAAAGTTGGGGATCCTCAGAGTTCTGGAGTAAAGTTAAAAAATGCAGGGAATCACTTGGTGTTGGCTTTACTACTATATTTATTGGCTTTTCTTACAGTCTGAGGGATGCATGCACTTGTCGTTCGCATGAGATTTCTTATTAAGAATATCTATGATTCAGTAGTTTAATATTACCCAGTTAGTAGTTTAACCTCCTTCGTTCCATTCTTTAATTACCTCAAATTAAACGAACACTAGGATTAAAAAAAAAAAAAAACAGTAAATAAGCCAATGAAGAGGAAAAAGGGTACCGCAAAAACTACACCAAAAGCCCACATGTACTGAATGAAGAATCCAAAAACATCCCATTGAGGACCTTCCCAAAAATCGGTCGTCTCACCGGGTAGCTCCGGCAGAGCAACCCCACCATCAACGGCAGCCGTCGAATCTGTATCTTTGAATTTCGTCCCTTCTAAACTTTGAAGTTAAGGGGGACCGACCAATTGCGTTACCAAACTTTCAATTGTTGTACTTTTAATTAATTAAGTAGACAACAACAATCATCTCAATGTAATGATGAATAGCGGCTAAAAAGTGCACTGCAAGAATCTGTGTTGATCTGGGTTCTGGTTTGTTTGCCAGTTGAAATGTCTAATTTCAATGTCTCAATTTAACCAATTTGGAAATTTTAACAAAACGTATTATAAAAATAGAGGACTTCTCCAGTTGTGGGCTGATTTTGGTTTTCCTTTATGATCTGGAATCTGGACAACTTTTTTTAGCTTTGATTTGATTTCGAGTTTGGTATTGAAAATGTAAAAATGTGTGTTCTAAATTAGTGAGTGTTTGTAACTATGGATTCAAGCAGAAACCCAATGTCCTTGATGTGATTCAGATGTGTAAATTGTCGATCTGTGATGAAGACTGTAAATTTCCAAGAAAAACGACGATCTTTATGCTTTTTCAGTCCCAAAATTATTGTTCTCTTGAAGTAACATTCTCAAACTTTTGTTGTCAGCAGCTTGGCATCTCCTTGCTAGAATTTCAGTCAGCTGAATTAGTAATCTCATAAGTTCTGCATTTCCTCAGCCTACTTACTGAGTTAGGAAATAACAATTTCCATGGTGTATCAGAAGAATCATGCGTGAAGAAGACTAAACAAAATGCATTTTTGAACTGAAAACAAATTCATCAAGCATGCTGGATCTGACACTTAAGAACAATGCAAAGGAATCCATTTTTTATGAAGCCTTTCAGAATGCAACTACAAATCCTCCTCTTATTGACCTAAACTTCCTGATAGCCAAAAAACACTAAGACAAAAGAAATGGCAGCTTCCAGTTTCATGCTTTCTGCTGTCACCATTTCTCTGGCTCTCTTTTTCTTTGTACCAAATGTCCAGTCACAAACTACTGGAGACTGCAATTCTGTTCTCCTTCAGTTGGCACCTTGCGGACCATTTGTACAAGGCACAGAGCCGTCTCCGGCGCAGTTTTGTTGCAACACTCTCAGGCAACTGAATAGCCAGCAAGGGAGCTGCCTCTGACTGATGCTGAATGACCCTTCTATCCACTCTTTCGCTATCAATAAAACGTGGCCTTTGAACTTTCGGAACTCTGCAACCTTCCTGATAGCATCTCTGCTTGTTCTGGTATGTTTCTATTGTTGTTCTTTTAGCCACTTTATCTGTGATTAGCTTGATTTCTTCTGACATTGTACGAAAAAAAAAATAGTGTTTTCTGAGTTTCTGCTGGTTTCTTGTGCTGTTGAAGGAATGCCTGCACCACTGCCTCCCAGTTCCCCTACTCCTCAAGTTTCACTTGCGGCAAAAAGAAATGATATTGTTTCTGGTATGCTCAATGATCTATTTTCACTTAAGCTTTACAAATTGATCGCAATCGTCAACGATCCAGCCATAGTTAGGAGTTGTAACAAAAGAGTGCCACTTTTAGCCTTTTGATTTCTGCATTTTACATAGTTTTATACTTGCACACTCTCATCTATTGCAATTTCAGCTTCTCTAATTGTCAAAGTGAAACCTAAGTTTTGTTGGGTTTCTCTTCAAATTCCCAAGGAAGCCCATAATGAGTATTGGGCCTATTTGAGTCCAATAGATTAGTAAGCTTTTGTGTTGGTTTTAGTATAAATAGGAAATATTTGTACTAGAATCATTTAGGGGGAAGACAAATATAGCCACTTGAGAGAGAGTTTGAGTGAGGGGAGGAGAAAATAGGATTAAGTTGAGTTGTGAATCCTCTTCTATTTTCTTACTCTTTGTTCATGGTGCTTTTCCTTCCCGGAGCACATGTGTGTGGAGAGGCAACACATAGTGAGAGTGTAGTTGGTAGAATTGAGTGTTGAGAGACTTGTGTGTTAAAAGAAAGAACACACATGTAAAACTCTCTTATTTTCTACATTAGTAAAGTGTTGGTTCACCCGTGGATGTAGGTCTATTGAGAGACCGAACTACGTAAATTGTGTGTGTTGTGCTTGCTTGGTTATTTTACACTTATTTCATTTGTGTGTGTGCTGAATTAGTGTATAAACATTCAGCAATTAGTGTGTAGAGGGGATCAAAATCCCCAATAGGTTTATACCCGAACCTCCGATTTCTGGTGCAAAGTTGAATGTGGTGAATCACCTGGTGGTGGCAATCCTGGCTGAAACAATCTTTATTGTAGCAGCATACACTTTTCAGCCCTGGAGTATCATGTTTCTTGCAGTTTGATGGATGCATTAGTCTGATCGCGTTAACTTATTTACCACAGTTGAAATGCACTAGTTTTACGTATTCCAGTTGCAGTTGTTGATTCTGCAATAATTTAGTTATCTTAATAGAGCTTAAGATTGTAGCCAAGAAGTACTTATTTCCAATCTTTGTCACCAAAATTTGAGGATTTATGCATATTAAGAATACCTTGGCGATTTACCGTCTGAGAAAATGGTTTTATTTTGATAAATCATCCATTTTAGTTTTTGTTTTGTTTATTTTTTTTTTCTGAAGACATGCAGAACTTGATAGAACCATTACATACTACTATGAATACCATTGCAGGATTCAGTATAACCATTTCTTATTTTTGAGCCTCTAAGAATGAAATGATATCACTATCCATACATATAAATGTTTGTTCAGAACTTCAGATATTGAAAAAAGCTATAACAATATATGATATAGTCATATTGGAGAAGCTCATCTTCAGTTAAACCAACTACAATTCAGCTCAATAAACCAATGTAAAGCAAATGAAATATACTTTTGTACAACATTTGGGTACCTTGGCTCGTATTTTACCACAATTTCAGGGCAAATGGAAATAGTTCATCAACTGAATTAGAAAAGGGTTGCAGTCTAATATCATTTCTCACAATCAAATTTACCAAATGAAAATTTCCTAACCTGATTAATGGAAGACTTCTTAGTTGTGGGTTAGAACTTAGAAGTAGGTCTTCCTGTATGGACACAGTTTTAGCTCTAATTTTAATTTGACTTGTTTTGAAAATATAAAAACGTGTATTGAAATCGATTAATGTGTATTCAGATGGGTCGACTATAGATCTTGCTTTAGACGGTTCCGGGTCTTCTGTGACACAATGATATGACACTCTTTGTGACACTACCTAAAATGATGACAAGTGTCCCATTAACTTAACACACCACTAACTAAACCAAACTCTAGTTACTCATCTAATTAATTACCAATTAATTTACCCATTTCAGAAAAAAAAAATAATAATAAAAAAATCCCTCCACCTTTGTATTCTTCGGCCACTACCTTTTAACCGGCGTCCTCACTCCCCTCTATTTTCTCGTATCACTGATATATGGTGCGATGATGGTGATAATGAAGTTTATGAATTTTTAATTTTTTGACCCAAATCAATAGTGCAAATCACTATTCTTCAATTTAGGCAAAACTGAAAACTGAGATTAATGTCGGCACCGCAACATGAAAAAAGAACTAACTTCTGGATAATTTCATCGTCCATGTTATTGCTCCACTTTTTAAAACTTATTAAAAGAAACAAAAAGGCAGCCATAATAAAACAATTTCATCGATAGGATTTCTGTGGGCAAAACTTTGATCAATGGACAAGGGGAAAATGGAGGGGAGTGATGGCACCAGCGAGAAGGGAGCGGCCGAAGAATAAAAAGGGGGGGAGGGATTTTTTTTTTTTTTTTTTTTTTTTTTTTTCTGAAATAGGTAAATTAATTGGTAATTAATTAGATGAGTAACTAGAGTTTGGTTTAGTTATTGGTGTGTTAATTTAATGAGACATTTTCATCGTTTTAGATAACTGTCATAGAGAGTATCAAACCATTATGTCACAAAAGATCCGGAGCCGCTTAAGACGGTAAATTTCAAATAAGGCAAGTGACAATTGTCAATCATCTGGCATACTACATTAGCAAAGTTTCCAGTCCTTTTGTTGTCAGCTTGGCATCTCTTTGCTGGAATTTCAGTTAAGGCTATGTTTGGTTGGATTGAATTGGACTCAAGAATTGGAATTTGAGGCCTCTAATTTCAATTCTTGTGTTTGGTTGATAAAAATAAACCTTCCAGAATTGAAATTATAATTCAAGATGAGGTTTAATTCTTTATTTTTAATTATTTTATAGGAGTAAATAATTACAATTCAAATTCCATGGACTATAGAGAAAACGTGGGTCGCATGCGGGTTAATTTCCAGGTTATAAAGAAACGATCCCTTTTAAGTTTAAGGTTTCTTTCTTTTTTTTTTTCGTTTTTTTTTCCTCCTTCAGCGCTGCACACGCGCTGCTTCCTTTTTCTTTTTCGTTCCCCCCCCCCCCCCTTTCTTTGAGCTGTGGACATTCTTTTGTTTTTCTTTTTTGTTTTTTTGTTAAATTAACATTTGTTTTTATTTATTGTGCAAACGATGAGTACATTAATTTAATTATTATTAATAAGATCTATATATTAAAATTAATATTATATTTTTCTTGACAAAAACTACCAAATGTATAACTATATCCGTAATTTATTAAAAAAATTAAAGGTATTAAATATAGATTAAAATTTTTTTATCAAATGTATAAATAATTTTTGAACTATGCTTGAAATTTTTTTCACTAAAAAATTATGTAAGCTTTCAAGAAGTCGAAATATATATTATTTCATATATAATTATATACTAAAAATAAAAATAATTAATAATTACCATGTATTAATGTTAATCTATACATAAATAAATGGTCTTTACTTTCAACTATATAAAACTTTTCCACTTAAATCCAAAAAAAAAAAAAAACTAGACATTAAAAATTTACAAAAATAATAAAAAGGAGAGGAACAAGGATGTTCTACATGTTACTTGTGAGAATTCCAATCATCACATTAATATTGCTTATGTAATAATAAAAATAAAGTTTTCCACAAGTATATATGTATCTAGTAAATTATAAAATTGATATATATTACTCAAACAACAAAAGTTCTAATATAATAAATGTACATAATAAATTTATTTTTTTATCTTATATATAAAAGTAATAAATTGCTTTGATATATAAAATTAAGTATTTCTTTTATTCAATGAAATAAAGTACTAAATTATAGTTAGATAATAAAAAACTCATTCTAATTCTAGATTTTATAAATTTATAAGGATCCAAACAAAAGAATTAGTATTAGAATCTTAATTCTAGTCAAATCTTAAGATTTTCCAAACAAAGAAATTAGAATTAAATTGTAATATTAATATCTCATTATCAATTCAAAAGTATTGTAATTTTAATTCAATTACAATTCAATCTCTCGAAACGGAGCCTAAACATAATTGGAGGCCAAAAGTTTTGGAAAGTCGGTAATTCTTCCACCATATAAATATGAGCTGTCCACCCTAGAAAGAGTTAACAGCAAAAGGAAAATCGCCGAAATCTGCGAAGAAGGTAAGAACTCTCTGGCCGCGACTCTCCTTTTCTTTATTATGGCTTCCTCTTATATCCATATTATCTTGGTGTTGGATTTTTCTTCTTTCATCAGTATGTTAGTCGAACACAATTAGGGCGTATCAATGGATTGATGAATCAACTTTGTTCTTCGGCTGATTTTTTTTTTTTTTTGCTGTTTTTTTTTAGGATCAAAAGTGTGAACAATGTCGTCTACCGTGGATACGAAGGACCTGAATCTTTCTTCAAAGGTATAAAACCTCCGTCGCTTTTGCATCTGACCTAATTTTAGACGAGACCCTACCAATTAAAACGACTTTGTTCTAATCTTGGTGGTTTGGTGTTTTTCTTTGTTTGTTTTGCCTCGATTTAAGGAAACAAAGATGGATACCGTCTCCAATGTACCTGAATCCTCCACTAAGTTAATATCCTTGTCCCTTCAAATCCTCTTTTCGTGTGTTGGGATTAGGGTTGATCTTCTTCTGTTTCCTTGTTGAATTTCCTGGGTAGTGTTTTATTCTAGGCAGGAATGGCAGCCTTTAGTTTCCTTTTTTTTTTTTTTTTTTTTTAACTTGGTTCTTCCTTTTCGCCTTATTTCACTCTTTTCTGACTAGTTATTATACATTTATTAAACTTATTAGCTTTAGGATTAGTAATCCAGAACCCACATTAATTTAATTTTGTTGGTTTTGCTCGCATAGGAGGGAAGGAAGAGGGCACAATTTATCAAAATTTATCTACGCGAAGATGGCGTAAGTTTTTCTTGCTTACTTTTTATCAGAGTTTGGTCTGTAAGCTTTATTTTTGAATAATTATTTCTTTTGTTTGTGGTAGTCTTTTAAGGCCTTTGACCCCAAGTTCGAAAAGGGAACCACTTGTCTTGGTTTAGTTTTTGAAGAAGGGATTATGATAGCTGTTGATCATCCACGCACATGTGAGTTTGTTACCAGGTTAACCTGCCTTATTTGTATGTTTGCCATTTATATGTACAGTACTAACTTTATTAACCATCTCTGTCAAAATCTAGCATTGTGTCCACTGAACGTCGTTCAATTGAATTCTCACATGCTGGCCACAATATCTGGTGGGAACGAATTTTTGCTCAAAGATCTGCAAATGAAGGTACTTGCTATAAGAGCCCTATTTTCCCTTGTATTGTTTTATGGTACAAACTAAGCAAGGTAACCTGACACTTTCGTCTTAAAAAATTAAGAAATATAAACTAAAGAAAGGATTGGTCCATATGTGTTGCAGTGCAACGAATATGAACTTGTGAGGCGGAGGGAACCTTCGGTTCCAGAGGTTTTGGACTGGCTGCGTGAGGCTCTTTTTGCTTACGAAAAGCCACGTCTGTCAGTAGGAATACTGATAGCTGTGTGGAACAAATCGGTAATTCTTCTCTCAATAATTTTTAATTTTGTTGTATATTCTGTAGTAGAACCTTTTCATATCCTAATCTCTAACTGTGTGCAGGAGCGTGGCCTGTATCGCATGAATGGTTTTGGGAAACTTGATACTTATGATAGACTTGCCACTGGATCAGGTTCAGTCGAGGCTATTGAAGCGTATGCACCCTTCTCCTGTATGTGCTCCTATGTAATTCATTTAAATAGTGTTTGGAGCTAAACGAACTAGTTTCTGGTTTTTCCTTATAGGTGCAGATTCTTTGAGCCTGTAACTCAAGCTGCCAATGTTTGTGGAGTTACCCTGCGTTCTCAGTATGCTATCTTCTCCTATACTCATATTTTGTTCGTTTATATTGTGTTGGGTGCTATTTTTCCTGTCGACTTCTTGAAAACAAATAGTTTGTTTCTTAGTACTAGGATGCGCATAACTGAAGTTGCAGAGTTGGCCAAAGGGGCTATATGCAGGGCTGCGAATGTTGCTCCTCATTATGGGGAGGTTGTCAGTGGTATGTTTTTCAATCTCCTTGCTGCTGTCTTTCTTGCCTGTTAGTCTGTCTCTATATTTATTTCCTTGATGTTTGCTTTTAAGTTTACTGCCTACGAGATGGAGGCTGCGAAAGGATCCTCATGGATGATATGGAACCATGGCAAAAGGAGCACATCAAAGTCCAAATGTTGAGGTACAAGATCATTGGAAAAGGATGGTGATGCAGCTGCTTCTCTACCTTTTATATGCGCTTGTGGTTTGATGTGTTTTTTGGTGAAGCCAAAATGTTTTTCAGCACTTGAGACAAAGTAGATAGACTACTGCCAGCTTTTGTATTGTTACTTTGAACTAGCATGGGAATTTTTTAATTTTATGTGTTGCATATCTATGAGGCCTAAGCTTGGAAGATTTTCATTTTTTACACGTCACGGCGGAAGTCTTGAGAATAAAATCGGCGAAATGACGTCAAAGTAAAACCTGGAGATGCCAAATAGCCAAAGAACTTTGCCTAAAGGCGTTTGTGCAAAGGAATATCAATGGATGAATAGTTGTATTTCTTGATCTTGATATTTAATGATTCATTATACACCGCCGGTAAGGGTATCCAGCGTCTGTTGATTGCATTTTCTTTTCACTTCCATTCTTGTCATCAACGAGAAAGTCATCAGACACTTTAATTGCTTCTGTTTTTAAAAAGTGACAACTATTGCGACAATTTGTGGATCTATTACTATTTGAATCATAAATTTAGCAGATTTCTTTGGATGCACTGGTCTTTGTTTTTATAGCCATTCGGACAGGTTAATATGAATTGTACAGTCTCTTATGAATATCAATGGCAGCAAGCCTAACTGAACCAGTAGCTCCGTATTTTAAGGCCATCCATGGTAGCAATTTGTTACAACAAGACACTAAAAGCATAATTACATTCGAATTGCCAACTACGGGCAAGTGTACTAAAAGGATTTGACCATTCTACTGATTCTTCCTGCGAGATTATTCCGCCTCAGTAATCAGAGGATAATTGCAAACCGATACTTTCGGTTAATCCTCCAGCCTTGACGAGCAGTCAACACGGTAGCATAACTGGCCTGTAGTAGCACATCACAGTTTACAAGTCACCTTAAAGCATATCTTCACTTTTATTTTTTGGTTAACAGCATATCTTCAATTGAAAAACAATGAAATGCTATCTACTTTTATGGTAACAGAAATGATTACTTTTACAACGTTTTAATAAATAAGGCCGCCCCTCTTCCCTCTCCAACCCTAAAACCCTAAAACAAACAAAAACTCCATTTTTCCCCATCTTTCCACCATAGAAGGATGGGGAGATAATTTTGTCTCGATCCTTACACTTTTTATTATTGTTTAATTTATTTTTAATAAATGAGATTATAATTTCCTTTACTAGTTAGGTATGGCGGCGACTTCCTTATGGATATTCGCTGGTATGGCGGCGACTTCCCTGGTGATATTCGTTGGCATGGCGATATTTTTGTCAGTGATGTTTATAGGTACGGCGACGAGTTCGTTGGAGTTTGCTCGTATGCGACGAGTTCGTTGGAGTTCGCTCGTATGGCTTTAAAAGATTCAGTTATCATAAATTTAGTTGTTAGATCTATGATTTGGGAGTTTCAATTGATTTTTAATGTTGTATCTTTGTTTCGACACATGATACAACCACTGCTTGATAAGGTAGATTTATATAGGTTTATCTATATGAAACACAACAAAGGCACTATGATTATGGCCAATTGTAAGTTGTGTTTTTCTGGCTGTATCTTTTCTTATCAATTGCTGCTGGACGGTTTCCAGTAAATTAATAAATTTTATTTCTAAAAAAAAAAATGATTACTTGTAAGCAAACGCAGATGTTTACTACTGAATCTAAGAAAATGCAGTCAGCCATTTTCTCGTAAAAGCAAATTGTGTACACAATTTTATGGTTCATATATACAAATACATATATCTGGGCAAATAATTATTTTAGTCCCACATATTTTGAAACGAACATTTACGTCTTATTTTGTCTAAAAGAATGTGATTTTTTTTAACTATTTACGTCCCAAACTAACTTTCAGTTGAGTTCATCGGCAAATTTCAGGGGCATTTTTATCTTTTAGTCCGACTTTTGGTTTTTCATTAATTAAGAAATAAAATAATAATTAATTAATAATCAAATTAATAAAAAAATATTTTTAAATTCAAAAACATCGAAAATAAATTTTTTATGTACTTTCACCAGGTTGGACCTCAATAATTTAAATTTTTTTATTATTAAAATAATTAAAAATTTGGAAATTCAAAAAATAAACAAAAATTGGCTCTATTTACCATGTTGATCCTACTGAAAAGGCCCTGTTTTTACTGAGTTGCTACAATAAACTCTAGTTTGTTAAAAATATTCTTTTTCTTTTTGTCGGGAAAATACTTATTAATTTTTTGGGCTAATATCAAAAACACCCAAGAGATTTTATGGATTATCAAAAACATCCCCCAAATTGTTAGAAATATCAGGAATCCCTTAAGATATTAGTGGCTAATGAGTTATGAGGAAGCCTTCCATAATCCTTTTTAAATGTAAAAGCTGTTGTCTCAAACCACTAAAATTTCAGAAAAGTTGATAATTCAGAGTTTAATAAAAGGTGATGAAATTATTAACCTTCCTATCAAAGACTAGATTCTAGGCATCTCCACTTAGGGGATAGCGCACAGCAAATTTGATGACATCTAAGTGGTATGTTGAAGATGAGACTGTACAACCATATGACACCAGCAAAGCTGATGTTTGCAGTATCAATGGCAAAGAGGAAGACAGTGGCTGGAGGAACATTCAGAGATTACAAAGGAGATAACAAAGAAAATATTAATGTATATGGTTGAATCTTAGAGTTACTAAACCTCCAATGGCAAGTTTCAATAGTACATAGCCCTCGTGCTCGGAATGAGGTAGCGGATGGGTTGGCAAAATTTGAATTCTCATGTCCTTTTGGGAGACAAATTTTGTAAACTCCAATAGAGAAAGCTCATTCCATATCTAGGGATGTTTTATAATCAAGCTCAAGCTTCCTTCGAAAAAAAAAAAAAAGCTGATGTTTGCATAGACTGAAATCAAATATGGCAACCTATTTGGAGCCGGAAAAAAGGTGCATCAGAAGTATTATGCATGACGAAGAAGATGACTGACGAAATGCATGTTTGGACAGAAATGACATGATCAAGCATGCTGCAGCTCACACTTGAGCAATGAAGTTATTCATTTTATAGAGCCATTCACCATGGATGACTAGCAAACACGGTCATCTTCATTGACCTAAACTTCTGATAGAAAGAACACTAAGACGGGAAAAAAAGAATGTCAGCTTCAAGTTCAAGATTCATGCTGGCAGCTGCCATTTTTTTCTCGCATTCTTCGCTTCATACCAAATATGCAGTCACAAAAGGGGGACTGCAGTTCCGTCCTGATCCCGGGGGCGCCTTGTGGACAATATGCACAAGGCAGAGAGCCAGAACCGACGACAATGTGCTGCGATAACTCAAGGCAACTGAATAGCCAGCAAGTGAGCTGCCTCTGCCTCTTGTTGAATGATAATTCCCTCGGATCTTACACCGTGAATAAAACATTAGCCAGGGAACTGCAAGACCTCTGTAGCCTTCAGAACAGCTTGCCTAATTGTTCAGGTATACTTATGTCGCTTTTCAAAGTGTTAACTGTGATTAACCAGATTGTTTGACAAGGTGCTTTCTCAAGGTTTGTGAGCATTTGTTCGTTTCTTGTCTTGTAGAAGAGATGCTGGCACCAGTGCCTCCTAGTTCACCTACTCCCCAAGTTTCATCAGGGGCAACAAGTAATGCTACGATTGCTGGTAAGCATAACTCATTTATGCTTTTACCAATGGATCAGAATCATAGATTATTCAAAGAAGTAGAGCCTTAAGTAAAGCTGAATGATGGTATAAATATCTGGGAGTTGAAAATCAATGCAACTGAATTACTGAATCCCTTTGGACAACCTCTGACCTCTGCATTCCACATACTAACAACTCTCATATTCCAATTTCAGCTTCCCCAATGGTCAAAGTGAAACCTAGGTTCAAGAAGGTTGGGGATCCTCAGAGTTCTGGAGTAAAGTTAGATGCAGTGAATCGCTTGGTGTTGGCTTTACTACTATGTTTACTGGCTTTTCTTACAGTCTGAGGGATGCATGCACTTGTCGGTTCACATGAGAATTATTATTAAGAACATCTATGATTCACTAGTTTAATATTATCCAGTTAGCAGTTTAGTGCTTTGAAAGATCTAGTTACTGAGAGGAGCCTTACTGTAATCTAATTTTATCATCATCTTCATAATTCTAAGTCTAGCTACGTTAAGTGCAGAACAATTGCCTATCACGGATTCCCCAACAGTTTAACTTTAGATTATGTACTGTTGTTTCATGATATAAAAGCAACTATTGCACTTCTGAACACAGCTTCCTATTACCACCTCTCCCCTTAGAGAAGAGACGTATTTGCTAACCAACCAACCCTTCAAATTAGGTACATTTATTACATTTAACAAACAAAATAGATCATGATAGGCTGATAAGTTAAGAAACCCCTATTCATATCACAAATAGGTACACTTTAACCTATATCTCCGTGAAGTGATGCCGCTATCCAGTCAGACCCTTGTTCAGCCACTGAAAGCAACACTTTATGTAAGGAGAATGAAGATATTAAAACGGGCCAGTTTTGTCTACAATGTTATGTTTTTAGGACCAGTAGTCTACTTTCTCAATCATATTTCTCCAGAATGCTATCAATAGGGGGTGATAATACAAGACAAAGCTCTTCATAGTTCAATCAACTATATAACTCATCAGATTATATACCAATGCGAGTAAAATGGAAGAAACAGAAACCTAGATACAACATTTGGGTACCTTGGCTTGTAATTTACCACAAGTTTACGGCAAAAGAGAAATAGTTCGACTGAAATGGAGAAAATTTATTCTAAATCAGGTGCTTGCTCAGTGGGATTAGACTCAAAGACATCTGCATTAGATGAATCTGGTTCTTCCAGGAGGTCTCTTGATTGAACGGCTTCCTTGTACACCGGGGTATCCTTGAAATCTGTGGCTCCCTGGTTATATGTTACAACAGCAACTCCACATGCAACTAACTGCAAAAACAAGAAGCTCCATGTCAATAAAAGGTAAATGTAACCGGAATGGCTCGTGATTCGTCATAAACCAAGGTGAGGCAATTCCCATGTTTTCATTAGATTTAAGAGCACTATATGTTCCCCTTTATAAGGTAGCTAATACATTTCCATCACCAAACCAGATAATTAAGGTCCGAGACTATGAGAGAACTCTCGTGTAAAGCTAGGCTTACGGGCAATGTTTTCTATAAAGAGATTGTTTTCTTCTTATTTTCAAAGTTAACAGGTCTATGTTCTAAAACTGTTCCAAATAGATATTCATCAGGAATACAACGTTTATATTTTGAATTAAACCTTCATGCCTAGCGGGTTGTGCATCAGGAAAGCCCAACTGTGAAACCACTAGCCTAGACTTCGCACTTTACCGGAGCTGAAAAAGGTTCATACTTGATCAATAACTATACTATCATGAATGTAGACTTGTAAGATAAATGCAACTTTCCCACAAATCTTTCTCTATTATATTCTTCTTTTTTTCTCCCTCTTCTTTGGTGCAATTAAATAGACCGAACAACTTCTAATTGCCAACCAGTCAGGCACATCACACACTTAATTCCTTTTTCCTTCGAATTTTCCATCGTTCAACAGCTCAAAGTGATATTTTTAACTCAAAAGTTATTTCAAAAGCAACCAATCTGAGTTTGATGATAAACCAAACCAGTTCAACAATACTCCAAATATCAATCAACCCAGAGAGGCGGATGTTTTAATTGGGAACTAAAAAGAATTAACCTTGTTCATTCCATTCTTTACTCCAATTAAACGAACACTTCAAAAAACAGTAAGTAAATAAGTCAATGGAAAGGAAAAAGGGTACCGCAAAAACTACACCAAAAGCCCAAAGGTACTGAATGAAGAATCCAAAAGCATCCCATTGAGGACCTTCCCAAAAATCGGTCGTCTCACCGGGTAGCTCCGGCAGAGCAACACCATCAACGGCGCCACCATCAATCGCAGCCGTCGAATCAATATCTTTGAATTTCGTCCCTTCTACAGCAGCTGCTGCTTCTTCTTCTTCTTCTTCCTTGGTAGGAATTGTGTTTTTCCGATTCTTACTATCAAATTTGCCCATCCTTGTAGCAGAAACTATGGTGAGATTATGGGTTTTCGGAGATGACCAGTGCCATGAAGGTATTAGGAACGTGCGGCGGAGAGGGATGCCCGCGGGGGGTGACGTGGCTGTGGGCGTATTGTAGAGAATTTGATTTCCGTTGAGAGCCATTTTTTGAGTGGCTTACAGTGGCTCTGTTTCTGTCTGTGCGGGAAGACGATGATGATGATGAAGGGATAAAATATCAAGAAATGCATTTTTAACCGTTTTTCAAATAGTATTATAGTATCAAATGGGCTTTGAAATGTTGCGGCTTGGGTTGTGCTTTTCCTGGGGTGGTGTTTTGGGCTGTCGTCGAATCAAATACTTTCTCTGTCTCAAAATAACATAACAAACAGAATAATTATTTTTGTAACGTAAAAAATAAGAAGTTAAAATTATAATGTTTACTCCTTTATCGTAACATAAAATATATAGTATAGTCATAAATCCAAGTTATTCATCATGTTTTTTCACATAATATTAAACGTGAATTTATAAAACGTGACAATTTACTTTAGAAAAGAAAGAGGTATTTTGAAACTGATTGACAAGTGTCATTCTTTTTTATTTTACATTTTACCTTAATAGTATGTTAATATCGGAAACAACTCATTTTTTCACACACATATGTTGAAGTACTTAATCTTTTTAAAAAATCATCTCATGGTGTAGCATTTTGCGAGGTAATATGCAAATTATGCATATGAGAATACTTCGTACTTGGGAAATGATAGGTTAGCTGAATTTCATTGTCAAGAACTCGCGGCGTTAATGCTAATGAGTTGGTGCTACAACAAAAGATGAAATATTGAAAAAAAAAAAGAAAAAAAGAAAAAAAAAGACTATTCCCTCCCTCAGTCCTTATTATAAAATATTTTAATTTGTACTAAAGTTCATTTAGTATGTTTTTCAATTGACATTAAATCCTTAAAAATGTATTCACATTTATTATACTCTTCCAATTATTATAAAATTTTTAAAGTTTTATTTTCAATAGGAAAAAAATATATTAAATCAAAATACTTTAGTTTTCCAATTGTTGGTCAAGAATGCTAAAGATTTCACCCAAAACAGACGGCCTGAGGTGGTTAATTAAGTGGCTATAAAAATACTAGTGCATTGACAAATGAAGAAAGGGTTATGGGAACGGTCATTTCATTCTTGGATAAATTTTGGTTTGGAATGGCGTTCAATTTGGAATTATGATCATCCTCCTTCCAAGAACCAGAAGTAGTTTCTTTCTCTTCTCGGCCGACCTTAACTTTAATGGACGTTAGATTAATTGCAAGTTGGATTAGTTGTTTCATGCATGGAAAATGTTTCATAACAGTATAATTTAGTCATTATTGTTAGGTTCGTAAAAAAAAAAAAAATTCATAATGGTTGAATTAAATTAGAAGACAATGGAAAAATAATTGATATGAATTTCAAAAAGGAAAAAAAAAAAAAAAAAGGTGTTATAGAAGTTCGAGTTGATTAATGCATCAATTTTAGGGTTCCAGAATGTTATTATTGCTCGGTATTTAATAAGACAAGCTCATCGTCAGATCAGCCCACTACAACTCATATCTTCGTATGTTACCGCAATTTGAGGGCAAAGAGAAGCGGTTGAATGGCGATTAAGAGTTGCGTAATTTTGCCTTAGATGATGAATCTGGTTCTTCCAGAAAGCACTTAATTTGGGATTCATTAATTAACCATATTGAAGAAATTCTTAGATTTAAGAGCGCACTTTGGGTTCTCCTTTATAAGAGAATCGCTATGGAACATTCCATCACTACAAAACCATGCAAACATTTAGCACTGCAACTATGAGAAAAACTCCCCAAAAAGGGTTCTTCTGTTTCCTTCTTCTTTACACGTTAATTCGTTGCTTGGCTTATTGATCACTTAACTGATTGTGGTGATTTTTGAAGTATCAGTCAAACGAGCTACCTTGAATATGGCTACTTACCAGTTACCACAATAAAAGGTGTCCGTCAAAATGGCTATACATATCAAAGTAAAATGTGTGTTTTTTTTCTGTACTAAAATGATTATACAATTTAAATTTTCATTTTTCATATAATTTATATTAAAAAATAGAAATTTAAACTGAATAGTTATTTTGTGACGGTAGGGTAGCATTCAGATGTTGACACGGAAGAATCACGGTTCGCAATGAATTAATGTACCTTCAATTTCATATGAAGATTGTAATGTCAAATTCATGTATAGCCTTGGATTTCCCGGCAAAGACTAAAGAAGTCAATCCTCCAATAATAGTTTGACTAGTTTCCGTAATGAGACTGCGAGGCTTTATGAAGTCAACCCTCAAAGTATTATTATAACAAGACTGGTTTTTGGACGAAAGTATATTATTGCAAGACTGGAGAAATTATTAATGGACCTTTGAGTTTCTCCATAAAGTTTTCTTCAGTCCCAAATTATTTAAAACTTAATAATTTAAAACCTTATTATTATTATTATTATAATATAAGTTTGTAAAATAAGATTCATAATAAATCAAATAATTTGTCAAAACCTTTTTTTCCAAAGATACGAGCTTTATTACATCTTCACTGTAGCTAAAATACAATCACGAGATAAAAAGTGTAAATCTAAAAATATTAGAATGAAATATGAATTTATAGGGTATAACTATTTTATAAGACGAGAATTTTTTCAAATTTGAATCATTGCATTGCGACGAAAGGGAGTAATGTTTCAAGTAACTTGGATATTTCATCATCTCATAAAGTTTTGTCAACAAAAATTATAAATAATCCGTAGTTATTGCTAGCTAGTTGAAGAGAATGATTTCCAAGTCTTCAAGATGACCAAGACTTAAAAGGCTGCGATAAAGAAAATAGCATGAAATGCATTATTACTGTCACTTTACTCCTTTTGTTTCAGAAATCCATTTTATTATTATAATATTTTAATTTAACAAAATAGATGATTTTATTAGAAGGGGTCGAGAGTATATAATAAGAGCAACAAACTCATCATCTGCAAGCAAAGTGCGCAATGAAGCCAATCAACATGCAAACACTACTTGTTCCTTTCTTCATCCTTTGTCTTCATTCTCAAGTCCTCATCTCAACTTATGTAAACCGTACTACTACCAAACCCCATCATCTGTGCACCCATAAAAACAGCCTCCTCTTGTTCCAATTCAAACAAAGTTTCGAGATTAATAAAAAAGCTTCAAAAGAATATTGTGAAGTTTCTTATCCAAAGACGGAAACTTGGAACAGAAGCATAGATTGTTGTATGTGGGACGGCGTAACATGCGATGAACAAACTGGTGAAATCATCGGTCTTGATCTTAGTTGTAGCCAACTTCAAGGGATCAAGGTTCCAAACAGCACCCTTTTCCACCTCTCTCATCTTCAAACCCTAAACCTTGCTCAAAATGATTTCTTGTTCTCCTCCATTGCCAGGGATTTCGCCGGCTTTCGGAGTTTGATGCACCTCAACCTCTCCCGCTCTGGATTCTCAGGTTTAGTTCCGTCAGAGTTCTCGCACATGTTTAATCTAATCTCCCTTGATCTCTCATCACTTCAATTTGGAGACATTAAAATTGAACCCCACATTTTTGAGCTTTTGCTGACTAATTTAACTCAGTTAAAAGAAATTTCCATTGAAAGTTCTACTGTTAATTCTATGTTTCCTCGTTATAACCTATCTGCTTCCTTACAAGTTTTGAATTTTGAAGGGATATGTGTTTTTGGCAAATTGCCAGAAGAAATCTTTGTTAAGCTTTCGAATTTACGAGTTCTTGACTTGTCTGGTAATGATGGTTTGTATGTACAACTCCCTAGGTCTATTGGAAATTTGAAGCATTTGCACCAGTTGAGTCTCTCATATTGCCAATTTTCAGGGTCGACAATTCCCCAACACCTTGGAGATTCAAAATCTTTGTCCCATTTAGACCTCTCTTTTTGTAACTTTTCAGGATCCATTCCTGAATCTCTTGGAAATCTCATGCAACTTAGTCACCTCGACCTTAGTTATAACAATCTCACCGGAGAATTGCCAACAAGCCTTGGGAATCTTGGACAAGTTGTTTATCTAGACTTTTCTTCCAATGTTGGTGGTCTAGGAGGCCAAATCCCAAACATTTTCAGTAACATGAAAAACTTGACCTATCTAAGCCTTTTTGATAACCTGTTCAATGGTTATTTACCGTCCTCCATCTGTGATCTACCAAAACTTGAAAGTTTAGACTTGCGATACAATTCACTCATCGGTCCGCTACCCGCTAACATTAGTGGACTACCAAAGCTATCTACATTTTCCCTGGATCACAACTCCATCAATGGGACAATACCATCTTGGGTGTTTAACCTACCTTCATTGATTTATTTGGGTATGAGTTACAATCAACTGACAGGAGAGCTCTATGAATTTCACCGTCAATATTCATTGCAAGCAATTCGTTTGGGAAGCAATAAGCTACATGGTCCGATTCCTAACTCAATTTCAAAACTCGTGAATCTAAATGTTCTTAGATTAGAATTTAACAACTTCAGTGGAAACGTAGAGGTTGACTTCTTTTTAAGTACTCGACGGCTTGATTTACTTGATCTTTCTTTCAATAGCCTATCTCTCATCAATACCAGAAATTCAACATTGCCTTCTTCCTTAACATACTTGAAGTTGTCTTCTTGTGGGGTAAGAGATATGGATTTCTTGAAAGGTATGAAGCATTTAGAATCATTAGATCTTTCACACAACAAGCTTCAAGGTCAAATATTTACCAAACATGCAAAATCATATGCATGGGGTCAAGATTTGACTGATCTGAATCTATCTCATAACTCCATAACTGTGATCCACCAACTTCCTTTTCCATCCCTGAGTTATCTTGATCTTCGTTCAAACTCCTTGACTGGTCCATTGTTGATTCCGTCTTCCGGTACGCGATATATTCTTGCTTCTGATAACAAGTTCGTTGGAGAAATCCCTTCATCTATATGCAATTTGCATTCCCTACAAATACTTGATTTGTCCAACAACAGCTTGAGTGGTACACTTCCTCAATGTTTGGTGAACGGGAGTCAAATCATTTCAATATTAGATTTGCACTCCAATAATTTTCAGGGGACAATTCCATCTAATTTTCTTGTTGGAAGCCAACTAAAAAGCCTGAATCTACGAGACAATCAATTAGAAGGGGGAGTCCCTTTATCTTTGTCCAATTGCTTAGACTTGGA